CGGTGCCCCGTGCTCGCGCCTTCGCCCTCTCCCAGAGCTGGGGCAACGCCCCCTACTATGAGACATCGGCTCGCCGACGAGCCAACGTCAACGAGGTCTTCATTGACCTCTGCCGACAGATCATCCGGAAGGACCTGCAAGGCAACTCCAAGGGTCGCGACGAACCACCCAAGCGGGAAAATACGAACCGGCCCGATCGCAAGCGAGAACGACGACAGAAGACGAAACGTAAAGGACCTTGTGTGATTCTATAAATTAACGAATGTTATAAATGAAGGAGATGCAGAAATACCAACGACTCGCTCATCGTATTTGAACCAGTCCACCTCAGTGACCTCACATCTTATCGACGCATCTCTCGAGCCACCGGCTCCGATCCTATCTGCACATACATACTACATATCTTCACCCACCCTAATGTTTTCAATCATCATATGCCCATCCAATGATAGATATATGTCGGTTCACAACCATTCAAATTTTTCTGTCTAACTTCCTGTTGATACGTCTTCACCTGTTATTCTACTTTAAGGAATGAGAAAAAAGTTGCACGTTTCGTTCCCCCTCGGCATTGGCATTCACCACCCCCCTGACTGGTATAGAACAGTTCGTTTTATGACTACGCCGCCGTTTGTTCGTTGCGAGTTGATAAAAGCAACCCTACTAAGGAAAAGAACCACATTCTCCTTTTTCTTTTCTTCCTAGCCCCCTCCTGCGTTCTCTCTATCTACTGGATTTTTTTTTTCCCTTCCCTATTTGCTTTTCTTTGTGCCTTATCTGACCCGTTATTCCTTCCGATTTCTACCCCCTTTTCCCCCCTTTGCCCCTTTTTCACTCCCCTGATCAATTTCCCGTTCTCGAAACTAGTGATAGTCTGTTTAACGCAGGGTAGATTATTAGAATGCAATATTGCTTTTCCTTCTTTTTATTCGCTCTTCCTTTCTCCCCGTAAATTATAGGGACTATCATAATAGTACGCAACTTAAGATAACTAACTATCCTCACGACCGACCTCCTATCCTTCACCCTGACATAGCACATACAACCCCTCTAACATAGCAGAAACTGCATCAGGAAAGAAAAAAAAAAGAAACGAGTCCATTTCTAATATACCAACCCACCATACGTCATACAAACCTCGATATAAAGGTGAAGACATAGATATAAATATAATAAGAAAAGAAAAGCGCGCCCCCAGATCCAATTACATACTAGCCCTAGGCCTAGACCTAGAATAGATCGATAGTATATGGTTAAGTAAGTGAACTACATCCGGAAAACACCAAACCGCGTCTGCACATCCTTATCGACCCTTCCACCCAACGACGCCGCCAAACTCAATCCAAGGACGCGTCTCGTCTGCGCAGGCGGGATGACTCCGTCGTCCCAGAGTCGGGCGGAGGAGAAAATCGCCTCCGACTCGTGGTCGATGCGAGCCTTTAGGGCTGGGTCTGCGGTGCGTCCGACTGCTTCCATCACCGAGGAGAGCTGCTCAGAGCCCATGACTCCGATTTTGGCGTTGGGCCACATGAACATTAGGCGTGGGGAGTAGGCACGGCCGCTGTTTTTTTTTCACGTAATATGTTAGTTTTCTTTTTCTTGGGTTCTCTTGGCTTGTCTGGGGGGTGTGTGTGTGTTGTGTGTAACTTACCACATGCCGTAGTTGCCTGCGCCGGCGCTGGAGCCAAAGACAACGGTGAACTTCGGTACATCGGCGCAGGCTACTGCCGTGACTAGCTTGGCGCCGTTTTTGGCGATGCCGCCCTTCTCGGCGTCGGCGCCAACCATGAAGCCGGAGATGTTCTGGAGGAAGATGAGGGGGATGTTGCGCTGGGCGCAGAGTTCGATGAAGTGGGCTCCCTTCAGCGAGGATTCGGAGAAGAGGATGCCGTTGTTGGCGACGATGCCAACCTGGTGGCCGTAGATGCGCGCGAAGCCCGTGACAAGGGTGGTGCCATAGTCGCGCTTGAATTCGGCGAATTCGCTGCCGTCGACAATGCGGGCGATGACTTCGTGGACGGGGATCTGGCGGCGGAGGTTGGTGCCGACGATGCCGTTTAGGTCGTTGGGGTCGTAGAGGGGTTCTTTGATGGTGCTATCGTCGAGCTGGAGAGGCACGCTGGTTTTGGGGTAGTTGAGGTTGGCGATGGATCTGCGGGCGAGAATGAGGGCGTGGGCGTCGTCTACGGCGAGATAGTCTGTTACGCCGGAGATGGTGCTGTGCAGTTGACCGCCGCCTAGGTCTTCGGCGGAGACTTCTTCGCCTGTGGCGGCTTTGACGAGGGGAGGGCCTGCCAGGAAAATAGTGCCTTGATTCTCGACGATGATCGTCTCGTCGCTCATGGCTGGGACGTAGGCACCTCCTGCTGTGCAGGGGCCCATCACCACGGAGATCTGGGGGATACCCATTGAGCTCATCCGGGCTTGGTTGAAGAAGATGCGGCCGAAGTGCTCCTTGTCTGGGAATACGTCGGCTTGATGAGGGAGGTTGGCGCCGCCGGAGTCCACGAGGTAGAGGCAGGGGAGTTTGTTCTCTTGAGCGATTGCTTGTGCTCGGAGATGCTTCTTCACGGTGATAGGGTAATATGTGCCTCCCTTGACAGTGCTGTCATTGGCCACGATCATACATGTTACGCCTTCGACGGTTCCGATTCCAGTAATAATGCCACCGGCGGGAACGTCTTCGCCTGGGTACACCTCATGGCCGGCCAGCGGGGAAAGCTCCAGGAACGATGTGCCAGGATCGATCAGGGCTGTCACCCGATCTCGAGGGAGCATTTTGCCTCTGGCAATGTGCTTATCTTTTGCTTTTTGTGGCCCACCCTGTGAGATGGTGCTATGTAGATTGCTCATCCGATCTACGAGCTCCTTCATCTGCTCGGCATTCTCCTTGAAATCCGGCGAGGACGTGTCCACCGCGGTGGGCAGAACCGATATGGCCGAGGCATGATGCGGATGCGTATAGCTTGCAACTGTCCTGAGAGATGTTTTAGAGGAGACTGTAATTGGAAAGCGAGGCGTGAGCAGTCGTCGCGAGTAAGGCAGCGATAGCGACGCTTTGGAGCTCAAGCTCCGCAGGAGCGGAGACGGTGCGCGCATTGCGGGGAGAATCTAGGGAGAGCAGAAGACGAAGTAGCACCGCGAAACACCAGACTCAGCTATCTCATGGTCCTGTCCGGGGCTTTATGAGGGCAGCCAAGTGGGAACAATGGCCGATGAAGGAAAAATAGACGAGGATGGACAATGGACGTGGGGAGGAATTCTGATCAAATGTGACCCCGGATTGAAGTTGCGGAGAAACTAAGTGCGACGATTTCCGTGTTTAGCCGCGGCTGGCATCGGCCTCCGCATTTGCGGACTTGCGCATAACTCTGCGACTTACTTCATTCTTTCTCGGCTTTGCTTGCCTCATTTCCCTTCCACTTCCCCTTCCCTTCAGATCTCTTGTTTCTTTCTCTGTGTGAATTTCCCCTGCAGAGATACCTGTTCCACAATGGCTGCCGCATCTCGTCTCCCATTCCTCTTCCGCAGTACCTCCAGGTCCCTGGGGTCAATCAGGAAACCCCTCATACAGATCCCCGCATCACGGACGTTCGCTTCAAAACACCCCAAGGGCTTTGTGCCGCCCACGGAAGATGAGCTACTAGAACTCCGGGAACGTGTGCAGGAATTTACCAGTCAGTTGCTCTCCTACGGATGTTCTGTGTTCCGCAATCTGACCAGAAGCTCAATCAAGGGCGTGAGATTACCGAGGAAGTAGCCGCAAAGACGGACGCACAGAATGAATTCCCGGCTGAGATGTGGAAGAAACTTGGTGATGCTGGGTAAGTATAAAATCAAGCTGCCGGGTAATTTCCCATTATAGGCGATTCTAATTCAATTGTCAGATTCCTGGGCATCACTGCAAATGAGGATTATGGCGGCCTCGCCATGGGTTACCAGGCGCACTGTATAGTTATGGAAGAGCTTAGTCGTGCATCAGGTATTGCATTCTTCCTGTTACCACATTACTAAATGTGAGCCCTCTGTTCGTGTTCTGATTGTGGCGTGCTATAGGAAGTATTGCACTGTCATACGCTGCGCATTCCCAGCTTTGCGTCAACCAGCTCTCTTTGAATGGATCGCCGGAACAGAAGGAGCGGTTCTTGCCGGGACTCCTGTCCGGTGACAAGATTGGTGCTCTGGCGATGTCGGAACATTCCGCGGGCTCGGATGTTGTCAGCATGAAGACTACGGCTAAGGAGGTCGATGGTGGCTATGTCCTGAACGGGACCAAGATGTGGATTACGAACGTGAGTTGACATGTGTCCCAAGAGGCTTGTAAGAAAGGCTAAACTTTAATCTTCTCTCAGGGCCCCGACGCAGATTTCATTGTTGTCTACGCCAAAACGGAGCCCGAGAAGGGCTCCAAGGGAATCACGGCATTCGTTGTCGAAAAGACATTTGACGGATTTTCCTGCGCGCGGAAGCTCGATAAGCTTGGAATGCGCGGCTCAAACACCGGAGAGCTTATCTTCGAAGATGTGTTTGTCCCCAAGGAGAACGTCCTCGGCGAAGTAAACCGCGGTGTCAAGGTTCTCATGGAAGGTCTCGATCTGGAACGTCTGGTTCTCAGCGCTGGCCCCCTGGGGTAAGTTTTACTATTAAGACACCATATATTTACAGCCAAGAACACCAGAACTGACGATGATGAACGATATGTAGTATCATGCAAGCCGCCCTTGATCTCGTTCTTCCCTATACTCATGTCCGCAAGCAATTCGGATCACCCATCGCCCATAACCAGTTGATCCAAGGTAAGCTGGCAGATATGTACACAAAACTTCAGGCATCGCGCGCCTACACGTATGCCACGGCACGGCACATTGATAACTCCGCATCCTCGTCTGAGGTGAGCATCCGGACCCAGGACTGTGCAGGTGCTATCCTGTATGCGGCGGAACGGGCGACGGAGTGTGCACTTGATGCGATCCAGCTGATGGGTGGCAATGGATATATCAATGAGCTCCCCGCAGGACGGTTGCTTCGCGATGCGAAGCTGTACGAGATCGGTGCGGGGACCAGCGAAATCAGACGGATGGTCATTGGACGGGCATTCAATAAGGAGTATGCATAGTTGTATACGTTCCTGTTTTAATTGCATTCCTTCTATCATGTCATATATAGCTGGCATTTGTTATATTTAGCCGCCAATGGGCAGAGTGTTGAATTAGATACAGAATAACGATTTCATATCTTCATGGCCCCTTCCGTCTATTGCTTGGCCTTGTTCCTGGTGGACCTCCGTACAGGACCCGACGCCGCTGGAGGGTCCGCGGTTTCACCCACTTTCTTCGATGCAATTCTCTTAGATCTGGTGGTTGTTTGATTTTTGTCTACATCCGGTTGGTCTAGTGCATCGGACGCCTTTCGTTTCCTTGTCCTGGTAGATGGCGCGGTTGCAGAATTAGGTTTCTTTGGGCTAGACTCCTGGTCCTGCGTTGTTGCAGATTGCAGATCAGGTGACTCCGGTTCCATTGCCATTGGATCATCGTATGACTCAGGCGCTTCGATAGGGAACTCATGCTCAAGCATCTTAGAATTGACTGGCAGATCAGAAGCCGACTTGATCACCCTATGCGAATGCACCGTCAAGGGCGGAGAGAGCGATGGCTCCGCCGGAGTGGTAGTTTTCGAGCAACCATCAGACCCAACATCAGTCTCGCGAAGGCTCTCCAACGAGGACGCAGTAGACATATCATCAGAACTGGTATCCGCCCTCTTAGAGACCACTGGCGCCCGAGGCGGGGCCATGTCGGAGCTGACTTTCCGCATTCGCACCCGCCCAATGGCAGGATGGGATGACCGGAACACCTCGCGCCAATTCTTCAGGAGGGCCACTTTTTCGCCGTCGCCAGGCTCGTACAATTTACGGGGTGGACTGTCGTCGTGGAGCGTCTTCCATACCGTGCCCTGGAACGATGCCACGTTTGTCTCGGGGAGGGTCTTCTTGGGGATGGTTCCGTTGTGGGCTGAAAGGTCCTTTTTTGCGGCGAGAATGTCGTTGATTTCTTTGATGTTGTAGTTGTTTGGCCAGAGGCCCATTGCTCGCTGGAGCCGTACGGCGGTTGGGTCTTCGTCGTAGTAATCGTCGGATTGGTCGTCCCAGTCGCTGAAGTAGTCTTCTACCTCGAGTGAGGGATCCTCAAAGAAGAGAGCGTCATAGACTGCGGTTGCGGCGAGGTCATCCTACAACGGCAACGGGTTAGCTCTTTGTCCGCGACTGTATGGTGTCCTTGGTGCTGTGTTGAGACTGACGGCGATCTCCGGTTCCGGTTCCTCAATCCAGAAGATATCTTCGTCGTATTCATCGTAGTACTCTTCATCATCAGACATCTTGGGTATAGTAAAGCGAAAGACTGTCAAATATAGGGTTCCAAAGCGTATACAAGGGCGATAACAGAAATGGTGGAAAATTGCCAAGTCTAATGGGTATTACTAGAAAGGAAAGCAGAGACACAAAAGGTGAGCCGAGCGAAACAGCAAACAAAGAGATGAGTCAGCTTGTCGAGACCAAGTAGGACAAATTCCAGAGCGACCGTAAGACCGAATCAGATGGATACGCTGTAAGCCACCAGGACAATGGACCCGGTGACGTCGGAGGAGTTCGCTGATCGCGTCTTTCCGGCGAGGAAAAAAGAGATTAACTGCGCTGCAGAAGAAGTGGATCTCAGATAGCATCACGTGCCCGGCGTTTTCCCCGCAGCTTCGCTTTGCGTCGGCTCAAGGGGCCGTCTGGGGGAACAGTAGTACTTCCAGGCAACTTAAGCTGCCGGCCTTCTTATTTTTCCCTGAGAGCTCTCCCTGTTTGCTCTTTCAAAGCTTTGTCTTCTTACGCAGAATATGCTGCTACCCTCCTATATACTGTGGTGTTGATTCAATCCTGTGATCCTAATCAGCAGCGTTTCTTTACAATGCCACTCTCGTCCCTTCTCCGCACTGCTTCCCGTCTGAGGCCGACGGCCGCCCACAGGGCAAGAAGAGCTGCATCTACAGTGTCCTCGACTACCCCCAAATCACAGAATTCATTAGATTCGATTCTCATCGCAAATAGAGGAGAAATTGCTTTGTATGTCTAGGAATGGTGCTGCGCGCTGTTTTCATACTAACTATACCCTCACCTTAGACGAGTCGGGCGTACCGCCGCTCAACATGGTATCCGCGTAACTACGTTATACACAGATCCCGATAGCCGGGCTCAGCATGCATTGAGCTCCCCATTCGCCTTCAATCTAGGATCCGTTTCCGCTTATCTCGATGGAGACCGTATCATTGAGATTGCGAAGCGGGAGGGCTGTCAAGGGATACACCCAGGCTATGGTTTTGTATGCATTCCTGAAGAGGCGATGTTTATCAGTGTGCTAACCTGTAATTAGCTAAGCGAGAACTCGGAGTTTGCGCGAAAATGCACAGAAGCCGGACTGGTCTTCATTGGACCCCCATGGAAGGCTATCGAGGACATGGGGGATAAGAGGTAAGATAATTACTTGACTTAAATTTCCCATAAACTTTACTGACAACCTTTGAAGCCAGTCTAAGAAAATCATGACGGCGGCCGGTGTTCCTTGCGTTCCTGGTTATCACGGCCAGAATCAGGATCCCAGCTTCCTTGAAGCCGAAGCGGATAAGATCAAATATCCTGTGCTTATCAAGGCAATCAAAGGAGGCGGCGGAAAGGGAATGCGTATAGCTCATAGCAAATCGGAGTTCCAGGCTCAACTGCAATCTGCAAAGTCAGAAGCTATGAACTCCTTCGGAGACGACCATGTGTTGGTGGAGAAGTACATCACCACACCACGGCACATTGAGGTCCAAGTGTTCGCAGACAAGCATGGCAATAGCGTGGCTTTGGGAGAAAGAGATTGCAGTATACAAAGACGGCATCAGAAGATTCTCGAGGAGTCACCCGCTCCTCACTTGCCTGATGCTACGAGGAAAGATCTTTGGGCAAAGGCACGGGCGGCTGCTGAGGCCGTAGGCTATGAAGGTGCCGGCACCGTTGAATTTATCTTTGATAACGATAGCGGGGAGTTCTTCTTCATGGAGATGAACACCAGACTTCAGGTTGAACATCCTGTGACCGAGATGGTCACTGGCCAAGACCTGGTCTACTGGCAACTCAAGGTGGCCGAAGGCGCTAAGCTTCCATTGACCCAGGAGGAAGTAGAAGCTTATATGGCAAGCCGTGGGCATGCCATTGAGGCGAGAATCTATGCAGAGAATCCCGATCAGGGGTTCATACCTGATTCCGGCACACTGCTTCACGTTCGCACCCCCACCCCCTCCGAAGACATCAGAATAGACGCAGGCTTCGTCGCCGGCGATGAAGTTTCAGCTCATTACGATCCAATGATTGCTAAATTGATCGTGAGAGGCAGTACACGAGAGGAGGCCCTCCGCAAGCTTGCGTCTGCATTAGAAGAGTACGAAGTTGCGGGGCCAATTACCAACATCGAATTTCTGAAGACGGTCTGCAAAAGCCCTGATTTTGTTGCCGGAGAGGTGGAAACCGGATACATTGAAAAGCATCGCGAAGAACTGTTCACTCGCGAGGCTATCGAACCGGAGGTGCTCGCACAAGCCGCATTGGCTTGTCTGCACCACGACTCTGCCCCGGTCGCTCGGAAGCAGGCCAATTTCGAAGGCTCCGCTGTCGGATTCAGCCCGAGCTATCAATCACGCCAGATAACATTTGAGGATCTGACGCCTGGAGCCAAGGATGGCGCCAAGTTTGATATCCGTGTTCAACAAACGAATGACAATACATTCAATGTAGAAGTGGGCGGGCGCACCTTTGAGCAGGTAGTCAGTCACAAGAACCCTGGGTCGCATGTTGTTACCTCTTTCTTCCCTCACACCCGATTGGACACCACCGTAATTCGTGATGATGACTCTGTCATTGCCTTTCAGAGAGGAACACAATATCGTTTGACGATACCACGGGCCAAGTGGATGGACAAGGCACTGGGAATGAAGGACGTAACCAACAGCGTTTTGGCCCCAATGCCGTGCAAAGTGTTACGTGTGGAAGTCCAGGCGGGCGATGTGGTGGAAAAAGACCAGCCACTGGTTGTTATTGAGAGTATGAAAATGGAAACGGTCATCCGCAGCCCGCAAAAGGGAACCATTTCAAGAGTGGTCCATAAACAAGGAGTAAGTCACGCGGACCGTTCCCCTGCACGAACACTACCCTTGCCCGGCTATTTCTCAATGTTTGGAGCTATTGGTTTGACTATTTGTATCGAGACGATGGATTCGGCCCGGTGTGGGCACGCCTTCCCGTTTCTCGCCTCCTTTTGATCTTATTGATTTTTGGCCGACTCGGCGACCAGGGTCTGGGGTTTGGCTGAAACGACCGGGCACTGCCGTGGATTTCATGCACGGACCGGCTGTCCAGCTTCCACGACCTTTCCGCCGGGCTTCGAAAATCTCCACATACCCCAATCAATGCGGACGAATTGGCTAACGTGTACCTTGCAGGACCAATGTAAGAGCGGCACACCTCTGGTCGAATTTGCCGAAGAGGGTGATGAGAACTAGGGACAGGTCGGCAAACCTCCCGGCAGATGTACAGTCGTGTATGAACAGAAAGGTAAAAGGAAGGCATGGCCAGGGCGACATTGCACTCAAGAGGAGAAGAAAGTTAAGGCCGTCGGTATTCTGGTTTGGTACGCAGACCGGCCGTCCTTCCCCAATGGATACCGGTGGATATTCAAGGAAATGTTAAAACACATCCCTATGGAGACAGCTCCAATTTCTCCCTCCCGCGGTAGTGGCAGAGTTTTCGGCGAGCGATGTTATTGCAATGGCGCAGTACAATTAGAATTAAGGCGCAGTCATGTGGACAACGGCACATGACTTCCTTCGGTAGTCTAAATGAATCAATAGATCTACTTAGTGTTCTGTGTGTCGTACAGCCGAAAAGGTTAGATGAGTAGGTTCCATAGGAACACCATGAGAACGGAACAATGAAGAAACCAGGCGATGGGCAAGAACAAACAAAAAAATAAAAACAAAAAATAGCTCTGTCAGACCCGCAATCTCACAGTGGGGCAAAGCAACAACGACAACCATCTGTGGGTACTCACATTTTGATAGAGTTGAACCTAAGGAACTTAGCTCCGGCTTCCATCCATAGAAGTGCAGAACCAGAACCCCACCACTCGCCAGGAAGACAAAGTAACTCTGCCTTAGGTCTCCAAGCCCACCATATGAGTTCGGTTCGCTGTTGCATATAGACATCATGAGCTTAGGAGAAAGGAATAAAAGAGCTTCATCTAGAAGAGTATCCTGAGTCCGAGGAGGGTTGTGCTCTGACAGAATAAACGGTGCACCCGGTGTCTAAAATCTAAAGGGCGCATACCATCAGCAAAGTATATACAGTCGCAAAATACTAATAACGATACGCGAACACATTCTGGCCAGGCTTCCTGGAAAGCACAAATGCCACACAAGTCGCAAAGAAGAGATGAAGCAGGGATATGGATGTTCGAAGGCGATGAAAGTGGGCTGTCGAGTAGATGTGAAACCTAAAGGATAAATCCTTCTGACTCCACCAAAATTACCATGGCTGTTGCTTTCCGCAGCAGGATATGTTGATCTGAGGAGAGTATCAGTGGTATAGTTCGGCGACCGATATGTTGATCTCTCACGATGTTATGGAATTCCTGCACATGAATGGTCGTAAGGTAGAAGATGAACAAGAAAGTATGTGGGAAGGTGGTGAAGCGAGCCTCGGGTATGAAACGTTCTAGAACGGAGTCGATGAGCCTCCCGAGAAATATGTCTTTCGGCCTCCAATTAGATACGCACATGTTGGGAACCAAAGCCAAGCGAATCTCCATCGTCTTTGACCATACCGATAGCTTATTAGACCCGCAGGGATTGGGCGTGAGGGCTCGTTCAGTGTATCCTCCAAGATATCGGTAACTTAGTTGGCTATATCGAATACATATGCGAAGGACAAGCCTATGACGAGAAACATGAGGAGTATGTTTATAAAAGCCGAGGTTGACTGAACAGCAAGGGCAAAGAGTCGGGAAATGAGCAAGGCAGGTGAGTTCCCGAGATGTGCGGTGGCCTTGTGCTTCAGCAGATGGTATGTGACCCGGGCCTCATAGAGCATGCGTGGAAAGCTGACAAGATGGTATAGAGTTCCTACAGCATCTCGAACAAAATCAACCTGTAACTTCTGTATTCCTTGCATATCAGGTCCACTGAGCAGACCTAGATGATCTCTTCCTTCCGCCAGGCGTGGAATGACTTGTCAGGGACCTGCACTCACTTACCGAGAATATTCAAGCAGGGTTATGTCCGGTGCTAGCCCATTAGCCGGCAAACTTGGGCTCTTCATGAAGGGTTCAATTACAGTGTTGCTTGATATTTTCAGCAGTAGAATGTCTCGTTCTCTGAATCATTAAGTCGAGGATTATTTATCTTATCCACCGTTCGAAGCCTACGACCCCAGCCTGAGGCAACCAGGTAAGCTCGCAGATCAGAAGTTGCTACAATTCTCTGGATCACAAAAGCCGGCAAGATCCCTTCGATGCTGTAACTTCAAACGTATAACTGAAAAGGTATGTGAAACTCTAAATACTTCTCAAGTGGCACATGTCATGTCGGGCTTGATTTTACGTGACGTGCAGCATCTTGTGGTTGTATCGACGTCACGCATGTCGCTATGGCCAGTTTATAGATGATTGAGAGCTTCGAATTCTTGAACTATCTGCAATTTCTAGCTGCTTAAATATCTGTAGGTTGGGTATTCTGAGCGTGCTTCTTGTTAACCAGGGATTAGGATCCAAGAATCATTCTTGTTGATTGTATCCATGATAGTGGCTGATGGGAAAGAAAGCAGTACAAGAAAGCAACTAGATGGCGCGGTGCAGCAGGGGTAATATGTAGGCACACACAGTGGTGCCAAGCACCAGGCATACACTATACCGAACCGGCAGTACTGCTAGTAACCTGCTGTTACCAGGGTATATAGAGGATAGTAACCCCATAGTGACGCCCCACTCTCTCCATATCCAGAGATTAGGGCACAGGAAGTGCGGTCAAAGGAAGTTGTGGTTGTCAAGGTTCGAGAAATTAACCAAGTGGGGCCAGGAATTAGTGGTTCAGGAACGACGCTAACATTGCCCGGACCGGAGTTTTACGTACTATGAAAAGTAGGTAAATACTGCGCAGGAGGGCTGTGTTAGTAGTCGTTGGGTAGATATCTACGGTGGCAAATGTGAATCGTGGGGAGGATGAAGTGGCTATGAAGATCTCCTTGAATAGTTTAACAACAAGATTTGAATTTGAACAAGCAATCTGATATGTTGATGACAAAGTACGTGCAGTCTGGAGTCTGGACTGTTGCATGCATGTTGTGCAGGGGGGTGACATGGACGGCAAGTTTAATGATGGCGTTGGCGCGTGATGATAAGAGATTTCTTCTTTGACTTTATCTTTTGTATTTTAAGAACGGGCTGAGATTGACTTAGCCAATGGTTGCTGTGCATGCGACCTGGCGTCCTTGTTGATTGAGTTTGGCTGTGTTGCTGACGAACGGTTGTCCGTCGCTTGGCTTTGATATAGATCAGATGGAATGAAATTGAATTTCTGAGCTCAGGGTTATTGCAGTGTTGCATTCTTTTATTGCATGCTCGGATACATAGCTTGCTCCACCGGTCGAGTTGGGTTGCGATTGTGGTATGAGCGTTAAGAGTCGGCAGGGGAGGAGGCCATTGTGCTTCGTTCGGATGCTGTCGTTTCTCTGAATTGACTATCGATAGGAATAGAAGTTAATACGGAGTAATTAAGTAAAAATCGAGAAAACTTGGCATCAAATCAAAGGGGAAAGAATTGATGGGAAATAAAACCGACAATAAAAGACATGGGGAATCAATAGTATCGAATCCCTGGAAGGTTAGGAGCGGGATACCGGCATTGGGATCGTCGAGAAGCCGGTGAAACTTCTGGAGGCGTGTTGGAGTCACGCGGAAGCCGGCGGGAGGCAAAGAAGAGCGCCGCCGATCCACTCCCTAAGGCGATCCTGGTCAGATCGCTGCAGGGCGGTTGAGGCCTGGCCACCACCACCTGATGTCACTTGATGCTGGCCATGAAATATGAAAGGGTCGTCCAAAAAGTACGTGGAATTTTCCCCAGTGCCTGGGGATGGTGGATACTTTCCCCAGCCATTCCATCCTGAGAACCAGTCAATTTGGCCACGCCTCCAGTCATGATGGTCCAACTTGCTGGTCCCTTGGGGCGGTCGGTCACCGCAATTGCTCTGTTCCTCACATTCCCCAGCTCCTTTGTCCAGTCAAGGTTTTCTTCTCTTTTCTTTTTTGATTTTTTATTATTTTGATTTTTCCATTTCGATTATCAATGTTTTAGAATTTTCTAATTTAATTGTACGTCCCAATCCTTCGCCGCTTGTGGACACCTATACGCATTGCTCCAATCCTTGATTGATACTTCTCGGATTTCCCCTTTACCGTAAAACAGGCGAGCAACCCATCAGATTTTTCTCCCACCATTGTTTTTTTTTCCTTCTGGTTTTAGGGGAGACTACATATACTCCTTCCCATCGACCTGGTGGACCTTCATCTTTTCTTCTGTCTATCCATCCCTTGGTTCATACTCTTCCTTCCCAAACCGATCTCCTCGAATTCCTCCTCTCCCTTGAGTACATAGCTATATTCTTAGCTACCTCTGTTACTCTACACAATGTTTAAGTCACCAGCCGCTCGTCAAGCCGTCAAGGCTCTCAGCATTAACACACGCCCTGCTGCGGTAACAGCAGCATCACGGCCAGCGGTGGCGAATACCTTCTTCCGAGGGCTGTCGTCGACGGCTCCCCGTGCCAACGATGAGAAGTCGAAGGCAGCAAAGGATCCCATCTTGGCCGCCACCAACAAAGCCCCGGATGGTGTATTGGACACAGAGGGTCGTTTCGCTCGTGTCGATGAGAGTTTGCAGATCGAATACCCCGATGATGAGAATATGCCTCGCAGTCCTATTGTTCAAGGCCGCGGAGGAATGCACTTCAAGCGTACCCTGGCTCAATTTTCCCTCGAGAACAAGGTCACCCTGGTGACCGGAGGTGCCCGTGGTCTCGGGTTGGTCATGGCTCAGGCGATCGTTGCATCAGGCTCGGACCTTGCAATTGTTGATCTTAACAGTATGTTCTAAGCTGTGGTGGACCAATTGGCTTGCAATAGTTTTACTAAATGATTTCTACAGAGGCGGAAGCTGAGGAGCAAGCTCAGAAGTTGGTTGAACAGTTCAGGAAGGAGAACCCCGGTTTGGAGCAGTGAGTCTAACTGATTGATCACATTAAATTGTAATTCCAAATGCTAATTGCTATGAATCTAGAATGCCGACTGTCACCGCCCACTACGCTGATGTTTCCGACCCTAACTCCGTGAACGATGCTCTTTCCGATATTATCTCCAAGCACGGTAAGATCGACAACCTGGTCACCTCCGCCGGTTTCACCGAAAACTTCGATGCCATCTCCTATCCTCACGACCGTCTGCAAAAACTTTGGGGGGTTAACGTCGATGGAACATACCTCTTTGCGACCGGTGTTGCCAAGCATCTCATGGAGCGCAAGGTCCCGGGCAGCATTGTCATGATTGGTAGCATGTCCGGTGCTATCGTCAACGTGCCCCAGCCTCAGGCTCCATACAACGCCGCCAAGGCCGCTGTTCGTCAACTTGCCGCGTCCTTCGCTGTGGAATGGGCCGGTCACGACATCCGTGTGAACTGCATCAGCCCTGGATACATGCTTACTGCTCTGTATGTGACGTTCCGTCCCCAAAGTGTTCAAACCGTGACTAACCATGTTTTGCTGCAGGACCCGCAAGATTTTGGATGAGAACCCCGAATTGCGGGACAAGTGGATCTCCCTCATCCCCACCGGCAAGATGGGGACTCCCGAGGACCTGATGGGTCCCGTTACCTTCCTTCTCAGTGACGCCTCCAAGTACATGACTGGGGCCGATATCCGCGTTGACGGTGGCTACACCCTCACCTAAATACCGCCGCGGAGTGTGGTGCTTGTTTGTTTCTGATCTTATTTATCTAATCTGGGCATGATGTACGGGGCTGTTTTTGGATTCGATATAGACCGGTTTGCTTGATTCTGGGCGGTGACTCGGGCTTTTGCTTGCTTCCATTCTCTCTCGAAGTGGTTTGTGACGACCCATCGGGCTGCATTAAGACGATTATTTTTGTTCTGAAGAAGCGTGTTGTTTTTTGGAGAAAGTGTTTTGTTCCAAAAAGCGGGAAAGGTTGTATTTTTGCTATGGAGTACCCAACATCGCGGTCGGACTTGTTTTTGCATGATAGACTTGTTTTCTTTTCTTTTTCAGACCATGAGGTCATTGTGCTTATTTTTATCGTGGACTCTGGAGCGACTCCAATGATCAGATTTAATTATTTTTAATTACTGAACTGTGACATCACACCGAGGTAGCTGTTTGTCTCCATCATTTGCGGCTTCAATATGACGGCATTCGAGTGAATCGACGCATCGACTCCATCAGAAATCCATGTAAACCAACTGATCGCAAATAAGATCCAGGATGACTATGATACAGTCAGCGCGGAGTCAGTCGGTCAGAATTGCTTTTTTAGCTTATCAATGATTACATGTCAACTCGGAGACATCCGCCTTAACCGCGTTATCCTTCGACAGGAGCATCTTTTTACAAGATAAGATTTATCCAGACAGATAGATAAATTAACTAATCGAAACCATGCAAAGGTCAGATACCAGACGCCCCCACGCTAGAGCCCTATTCTACCTGATCTACGAAAGGTAGTACACCCAAGGCAAACCAGCCGAGAGCAAATACTCCGAGGAGAAAGAATCGTACATTAAGCGAACCCGAGTAAATTTGGGCAATCGAACCGAAGCCAAGAGATATGGTTAGTAGCTTCCCCAAGGTAAATTGAGCCCTCGCCTGTATTGCCGTTTTATAATTAGACCTGAAACCTTTTACTTACCCAGTCTGGAACAGAGCTTAAATGAAAGGATCTCGTGTATTTCTCTTTTGTATAAGATTCATGGTTGTTGACTGGGCTAAATATGTCACTGGTGCCTCAGGCAACAAAAACACATATTTCCAGATGAACTAAGGAGCTAGGGACGAACGATACTATAAACAGATAGTACTATATGCAAAGTTGCAGGTCTTTGACTCTTTGTCCGCCACAGCATAACTTTGAACCCTTACACATTATAGGAGGAAAAAAAAGGATATGGCCTTGGCGCTGAGGCGCACTAGAAAGAAGGAAGATCGTTAGACTCAGCAATCTTACATTAATTGGGGAGCGGTAAAAGGATCAGGAAGCTCGTCAAACACCCAGTTAAGGGAATCGAAGATTTCCGCGAATCCGGTCTCGTTGAAGAAGGCACCGCCTGGGCCAAAATCAGGCGGACAGATCAGCGCAGAATTGTCTATAGATCCATCGAATTGATCGGGGATCATGGTCGCAGATCCAGTCGGATCAGCGGTAGTAGCTACTATACCCAGGTTAGCCGGAGAACACAAAGTAAGACGCACTAGACGCTGGAGGAACATGCCTTGAGCATCCGAAGGGTCCTTTCTGGGCCGGAAGCGGTGTCGCCAGCGCCAGACAGTGTCGTAGACGTGGCTCATACTCATCCGACAGCGTACTTTGAGTTGTAAGCTATCTTCTTCGGCGGATTGCTCGGGATCGCCTGCATTCCACATCTGTGCAAGTACGTCCGCAAGTCGAACGGGGCGATCGTGGTCCATGACGCTGATCCTTCTCAGGGCGGATATTGCGCCGTTGAATAACAGCTTCCCGTATTCGAAGTCGATGTGGTGTCGGAAGGTACTTTTGAGTAGTTTCATTAGACCGAATGCTGCCGAGATGATCATCTGCAGGATATAGTTTGTTGCGTAGCTGATAAGTTGGCCTGGGGATGTTTCGAGGTCCAGTACCTGGCTGAGAAATGAGGTGGTTGCGATAAAAAGCTTCGTAATGTCGTTAGGTCTTGGGTTTGAACCTAAGAATATGAAGTATCGTAAATGGAGCTCTGCGGCTCGGATATGGATCTTATTAATGTCTGTCCGAGTCAGTTTGTCGAGAGCTAAAGAGAGGAAAATGAGAGGCATCGTACGAGAGATATCCCTGCCAAAGCTAAGTTCCATATCCCTAAGTTCATTCTCCAAAAGCTGGACTATCAAGAGCCTCTCGGGTCCGATAAACTCTGCCGCGTCTGGCCTGCTGTTATATAGAGACCTGGTAATTCGATCACAGAACCTTTCAATCTGGAGACGAGTTCGCAGATCTTCTGGAGGATAATAGCCGGCATCCTGGAGTGACGCTGGCTCAAGCGCCCAGTCATATATCGTCCCTGGGGGTTGTCCGTATCCGGTGGCAATGCTGTTGACTCTGATGAGCTTCTAGTCCTTCCACGGTGGAGGGGATTCTCACTTTTGAGCTACAATATTACAGACGACCCATGTCTGTAGCCTATCCTTCACAGCTTCCTTGTGACCTATTCGAAATGTGGTAAACTCTTCTGCTTGAACGGGGCGATGCAACCCCAACTGCATGGAAATCTGCATCATCAGCCCGCACAGCATAAAGGTAGCATCCTTTCTCTGGCTAGTTGTGGGAAGGGGCCAGGTGCACAGAAGGCAGAGGGCCTTTACAATGGCGTAATCCTGTGGCACGCTGGTGATAGTCGACCATAGAAGTCTGCTGAACGGACCAGTGAGTGCGCCGAGGAGGCCTGGCTCTGCTGGAGCTCGTCGGCTAGCGACGCAAATGATCGTCCATGCTTGTAAGGGACATCGGCAGAGATAATGCTCGGGTGGTTTTTGAGGGTCTAAAAGTGGAAGAAATGGATGATAGTATTTGAAAAACCTGGCAGATCATTAGGAATTGAATATCTCATCCAAAAAAGAAAGACACATCAACCTACTGCTCAAATAGTCGTGTCACTCTTAGCATGGATAGAGAGACATCTTCCAATCTCCACATATTATCCTCCTGAAACAAGTCAGATCTATTGCCATACATAGCTAAGGGAGTAGCTAAGACCTGTGGTTTGAGACTAGTAGACACAATCTCCCCTTGATTCAGTGTGGTAGCTGTTGGGTTCCAGATTGCGCTGCCTGCAGGCTGGGACACATCACCACCGACGTTACCTTTGACGGCATGGCCATCATGATCGGTATTAGTGGCAAGCCGTCGACGGAGCCCTGCAATCTCGCGCTCCATTTCAGCATTTCGCCTATTAGGTTAGCATCTACAGCGGATGACACGTTGATTTACGAGATACCTTCTTTTTGAGACACGCGTGAAAGAAGGTTCCACCTTGCATTCAATCTGGAGACCTTTACAACGCGAGCAGGTGTCCGCGGGGGTTTGGACGATATCACACCGAAGCTACCGTGTATAAAATCCAGCAGAGTTCAGTCAAATGGCGAGGGAATGGAAGGGCAGAGTAGACGTTCCAGATGTATATGTCTATGTTGAGTGCTGGGCCGAGGTGGGATGTTTTGCAAGGAGGTTCGCTTACTTTCTGCTGTTTGCACTCGTTGCAAGCCTTCCTTGTACCGCCTCGCTGTTTCTTCGTAGGAGAGAGTGTCTTTTCCATGTCTTTGGATCCTAGTCCCGGGGTTGTTCCGAAGGTCAATTGGGGATATTCTCGTATTGGCATGGGTAGGCGATGAGTAACCCCCGAACCCCGCAGATTGCAAATTATCCCGATGGCGATCTTCCGAAACAATGTGGTGGTGGTGAACCATGTTATTTCGACCCTTATATTTCACCTCTCGATAGACTGTCTATACTGATATGGATGAAAGAGCTTACTATAATTTCATTGTTTCACCAATTATGAGGCATTCTAATGATACTATGAAGGTCTTTTGTCTACTCTGACAAAACTCCGAATCCCTCGGTGCCTCGGTTCCGCGTGATCTCCCAGTTCCCTCGGGGATTTTATATGTTTGATATTTCTTGTACTAGACTAGATAAATAGAGTAATATCATAACGGAGGAGACTACACAGGGTAGATGGCCTGCCACTAGGTAAGAATACATAGGCGGAGTAGAGGGATTCTATTATTGACTAGATAGTAGAGCTGATACCGATGGACTGATTCCTGCCCCTTTTCCAATGCCTGGGACCGCTTTTTGTCATATAGCTTGGAAACCTCTCCCATCAGGAAGGCCTCAGGGATGAGGAATAGGACTGACTGACCGGTCAGGCGATGCCTTTCCAGCCCGGTTCAAGGCTGCGAGAGGTGACAAGGACCAAGTGTTCGGGTGTTGCACGATTGACGGGCCGATATCATATCGAAACAGTACCAGACACGTTAGCGGCCTGCGTACACGAATGAATCGGAGTTCTGCAGGTATAGTCTGAGTCTGGCCTTAACCACTCAGTCGCAGTGACTAATCGTTATTGATTCATTTCGACAAGCAGTCTGGATGTCAACGCCTCAGCAACTCTCTGACCCAGTCCGTTCCCAGCCGACCATGCGCTGCTGCGGCTTTCTCAATGAAATGATAAACCGTTTTCAACGTAATCCCACCCTTCTGGAATTCTCGTCCAGACCACCTCTCAACCGCCTTCTGGAGCACTGCCCACGCCCGCTCCGTTTCCACGGACTGTCCCCGACCACAGAGCTCTGTCAACACAAACACCACCGCGTGCCACTGCGGATACCGTTCGAAGAGCCAGGCCCACCGTGTGGTCCGCGGGTCCGTCTCCAGCAGGTAGGCGAATTCCACCACTTCGATGGCGGTCAGGAAGAGCTGATCTCGCTTCGGATCCTCTGGCGAGATCTCGATCAGCGGCATCCGGACCGTCATCGTCCCCTGCGAGAGATGCGCAATTAGCCATGATCGCGCGACAGCAAGTCGGATCACTGTCGCTGTGACCCATTGCGTAGGAATGGAGATATCGCAGTACTGGAGGTATCGATCTTGTAACTGAGTGCGAATTTGTTCGAGCTGACGGAGACGCTCGTCTAGGAGGTGTGATGTATGGCCTTCGCTGGTGCTGGGCATGGGGTTGGAATTGAGAAACGAGCGGCGGTAGAGGACGGTCATTTCACAGCGGATCAGGCAGAAGGTCATTTCTGTGAATTCGATGCGTTCGTCGGGCGGTGTAGTTGACTCCGGAGATATATCTGCGTCGTTGATGTTCAAGGGTAGTCTGGTGTCGTAGCTAGACTCGGTGATTAATGTGCCGATGGCATGAAGCTCGGACGATTGACTATCTAGCAGATAGATCGACCACCACAGTCGGCGACGCAGTTCAATCTCGAAGGGGGTGAGGTCAAAGTGGGTTCCGTCGCGATGCAATCCTAGTCCCTGTGCGAGCCGATAAACCGCCGCGGTCATGGTCCAGACAAATTCAGCGTCTCCGGGAGAGCGTAGACAGGTGAGGAAGAGCACGGCTGCTTGGAGCACGGACTGGTTTCGTGTTTGGAGAAAGCCTGCTCGCGCCAGCGCTTGCTGTGTTGCGAATCGGTATCGCTGGAGAAGTGTGGAGTGATCCTGACCTAGCTCCTCAGCGCACTGTTCGGGACTCATACTGGTGCTGGCGGCGAAGTAGACGGCGAAGACCACCGCCTCCGAGGCTCGGCCAATGTAACTGGTGTTCGTAGCTGTCTTGTAGAGAAGTCTGTGTAAAGTTGGTTTATGGAAAATCATGACGACAGGTGCGACATTCTCCTTGAAAATATTCCATAGTATCTGACTGTCCTTCACGCTGGGATGAAAGGCCGACAGCGAAGATGCAATGGACGAGTAGCCGAAGAGGAATTGATTACCATTCTGCGAATACTCTCCACACTCGTCTTCATCAACATCATTCTCAGGCGAATCCACCAGGTCTTTGAGCTCTTCGATCTATCACACAAGGACTCATTAGCAAGGTATCCGCAGCCCAGGAAATAATTCAAAGTAATACATACCTGGTTACCAAGACTAATCAGTACCTCATGCGTAACATACCGAGTGGAGTCTCCTTCCACAATCAACTTGCCATGCTCATGTTCTACGTGACGGGCATTGTTTGCAGCCAAAGGGGTGTTCGACAGGACAGGGGCATCCTGAGACGTAGCAGCGGAACTAGCAGCAGAATCAGGATCTCCGCGTTCCTGTGTCATTTCTCGGAGCTCCTGCTCTAGACCCTTTAAGCGCGAGATAAGCTCGGCCTTGAGGGGCCGTTTTTTACGCCGAGGGGCACGGCTGGGGCCTGGGAATACACAATCCGAGTTGGACTTCAGGCAGCTGTCACACGGCTGGGTCTTGCTACATCGGACTTTTTTCTGGTTGCAACGATGGCAGCTACGTGGGGTTGACAGAAGGCCCTTATCGGGCTGCACGGCGTTAGCCATGACTGGTGATGCAGTAAATTGGCCAAAGGGAGAGGCAAACGTTGTCAGGATGGAGATCCTCAATACACTATCACGGGCCCTAGTTGATAATCCGGGGTTGAAATAAAGCCCGAGAGCGACGGCTTTAGTCAGACATTCCTGGTGGCGACGAACCATAGACCCACCAACTGCTTGCATTAATACGTAGAAGTAAATTTTAAGGCTCCGAATTGGACTAACTCTGAGCCCTAATTATTCTTGGTTGCTCAGCGCGGGCTTAGGAGAGCCCGATGGCTGAGTAAAGACGACCTCAACTACCCTAACCCTGTATCCTCGAAATCTTGTATATTTGCTTCCGGAGATACCTAGAACGAAGACAGATATCATTCTTTTTACTTCTATCCCGCTTTCCGTACAATGACAGCCGTCTTAATCACCGGTGCAACCGGTAAACAAGGAGGTTCTCTCATCAAAAGCCTCATCTCCCGTAACGCCCCCTTTGAGATCCTCGCCGTCACGCGAAATCCCACCTCCACCGCCGCTCAGAAGCTCCGTAGCCTCTCTCCCAGCATCAAGCTCGTCGAAGGCGACCTAGACAACCCAGCCACGATCTTCCAAAATGCCCAGCGCCTAACCTCCTTCCCCATCTGGGGCGTCTACAGCGTCCAAGTGAGTAGTGGCTCCCCCCAAAGCACCCGCCCACCTCACTAACCGCTCTAAAGGCAGCAATCGGAAACAACGCCGAAGAAATCCAAGGCAAATCCCTCATCGACGAAGCCCTCAAACAAAACGTCAAGTTCTTCGTCTACAGCTCCGTCGACCGCGGCGGCGAAGAGCACTCCTACACCAATCCCACCAAAATCCCCCACTTCATCAAAAAGCACAACATCGAGCACCACCTCGTCGACCGCAGCAAGAACACCTCCATGGAGTGGACGATCCTACGGCCAACCGCCTTCTACGAGAACCTTACGCCCGATTTCTTCGGAAAGGTCTTCGCGACCTGCTTCAAGATGGCGCTGAAGGGGAAGAAGCTTCAGATGGTGGCGACCAGCGACATCGGGCATTTCGGCGCCGATGCCTTCCTGAACCCGGACCGGTATAAGGGGCGCGGTATATCGCTGGCGGGGGACGAGCTGAGCTTTGACGAGATGGAGCGGGTTTTCCAGCGGAGCAGAGGCGAGTCACTGCCTATGGCTTTTCGGCCAGTGTGTTCGTTGTTCATGGCCATGATGAAGGATATGGGGTATATGTTTCGATGGTTTTATGACGAGGGGTATGGGGCCGATGTGAGGGCTTTGAAGGAAGTTCATCCTGATATGAAGGATTTTGGAACTTGGTTAGAGACGGAGAGTGGGTTTGTGAAGCGGTGATTGTGGTTTTCTGGTTTCTTTGAGGAGTTTTGCTAGAAGAATGTGTAGACTTTCAACTCTGTACTAATACTGCTTTGTTTGAAGATGTGCTTGTGGGAGACTGCCGAGAATACAATAGGGCTTCTTAGTAGAAGTCACCCAACGGTGAATATCCCTGTCTCCAAAGATCTCGAAGTTCAAAGGCCAAACTCACACACAAATGCTGGAATATCTGGACCTGCCCAAGGAGCATCCTAACATGCTTTGTTTTCTGAATGGGGGGAGGTCTGTACAAAAGATCTGCACGGCTGAAGGAGGGGCAGATAGTGGGTATCCAGATGCATTAGCGGCAAGTTCAGAGCCCTGATGATTCGGCAACTGTGCTTTTTCAGCTTTATACACAGCCATTCCCTCAACGTATCGGCAAATGTGACGATCCAAGCGAGGTGGGGTGCAAGATCGACTTGAGATCGGTATATAAACAATCCATCCCCTTCCCAACACTGCCCTTTTTTTTTCTCTCTTTTTTTTTAAAACCCCGCCCAAATTATAACTACCGTTCTCTCACACTATCCTCCTCCTAGCATCAGATCCTCCTCAATATCTCATCATGTCTGTTGTTGCTTCACTCCAAAGGTATGACATATAGAAGTATTGTCCCCAGTCTCCCTTGGAATATAACTGACCGTTCCCTGTGCTTAGCCACTCCGAGTTCCAAACTCTTATCAACTCGGGCCAAGTTGTTATAATCGACTTTTGGGCTCCATGGTGTGGTCCTTGCCGGTTCATAAGCCCGGTGTTTGAAAAACTGGCCTCCGACCAAGCGTTCAGTTCGATCAAGTTTGTCAAAGTCAATACGGATGAACAGGACGACATTGCGACTGAGGTTGGAATCAGGTCCTTGCCAACTTTCATGGTTTTTCAGGGTGGCCAACAGGTGGATCAGCTTGTGGGTGCTAGCCCCCCAGCCCTGGAGCAGCTTGTTCGGAAACATGCATAAATATTCTGGCCCTAATTAGATAGATATGCTGTCCGGTGGTCAGGAAAGGAGAACCATCAGGTCAAGCTGTGTGAGATCGCTGGTTTGTCATAGGCTTGGACCTTCCTCATGAGCTTTGTCACTTAGTTTTGCTGGTATTATATTATGGCTTTAGAACGAACTGTAGAGTACAGTTGATCCCTATTTCCTTTGGCATTAGGTACAGATTAGAATAGGATGGTTGAATATAGATACGCTATCTACTGTTTCATTCATCTTATTATTAAAAGTAAATGTAGTTTCCATCATTAGGTATGTAATATTATGTATAGAATTAGTGCACAGGGCTGAAGGTATATACCAAGACCTAGTCGCGAAAAGGAAACCTGGATAGAAGAAAGACTCAACATATTGTGCATAGCCCTCCCTTAAGAACCATTGATCGACGGGCAGTGACTGACAGCACAAGTGCTAGTCTTTGGCGATGGAGCTCATCAGGCCTCTGCTTTCAACGTGTCGCCAGTCATTTGAGAGTCGGTTAAAGTAGTTAAATGGCATTTTCCGAGTCCCTTTGCCTTGGATTTGGTGAACATGGAGAAGGCGGGTCGCATGACCATAAAACTCCCTGCTATGATGCCTACGCTGGTTTCTATGTCGGAAGTTATTGCGACCATGGTTGTTTCGTCTGGTTGAAGGGTTAAATTTGATCGCAAAAGATACAAAGGGCGTGTCCTTACAGAGAAAACTTTCCTCCGTCATTAGATGTACGAAAGGGGCTCGAGCGATGACGGCTGCAAGTGCCCTGTAAGGATTAGTTAGTATATGGAACAGATAGAATTCGGGGCTATGGGAGACGAACAGGCAGCCAAGTCCAAGAAGGCCAGCAATTGCGATCTTGTCGCTGCGATCCAGCAGGAGATGACTGATGAAGAGCGCAGGTAAAATGCCGATAGCAAGGTCGAACACGGCATCTATCACGCTATAGAAGTATATGATCTTGACCTCGATGTCATTGTGGCATATCCCTTGACCGGACGTTTTGTCCCAATAATAGGAAACGGGGGAACATTGAAACGTGGCGAAGAAGAACAAAAGAACGCCCGTCAGGGTAGATAGGACGATGATACCGTAGAGAAAGCGCAAATGGACCTTGCTGGGGGCAAAACGAGCAAGTGTAAGGCCGATGGATACCCTCATGATTGTAGCGGTAATCGCGTAGGATAGTTGACCAAGCCACCAGCACTATATAGATAGGCGATCAATGTCTTCTATCTACGGGGAGAAACATGTCACACTCACCAGCATCGCGCGTTGGAAATCCTTGGGTCGATCATGAAAGTCCTCCGTTTTCCGACCAATACCATATACTCCCCCGATGATCCCACACAAGGCGAACATTAAATTGGTTATCTGATTCCGTGTGGTCAGCTATTGATTCATGAATCCGGTGTTGTGGGAAACTCACCATGGCGGTAGCCATGAATCCATCGTCCCATCCAAAGCGATTCACAATTCGGATGCGCACATAACATCGGAATAGGACCGTTATTGTCGCTAGACTCCCTAGAACAGCCGGAACGACGACAACCCCAAGGCTTCTACCGTGTAGCATGATGGGCACGGCGTGAGGTGTATGGGCACCTGCGTTGCTTGGAAATAATGGGAGGTGTAGCTGATTAGGAGGATAACTGGTTCATTATATGGCTATGTTACCCCAGAAAGTCTCTTGCCTGTAAGGTTTCTAATCGCTTTGAGGGTCGCCGGAAATCTTCTCCGAGTCAACGATCAGTCATGGGCTCCAGCACTGATCGGACGTTGTGAAAGAGATCGCCACGGACCACGATGATAGGTCATAGTGGCTAACCTAATTATTACCAGACTATTGAAAAGGATTGAGAATAAGCAAACCTCGCGTGGTGCATCATAGTGAGATTTTAAATACGTATGGATATATACAGATAGTTGCCTGGACGCGTATCTGTGAGTACTCCAAACTGCATTACTCACCGATCTAATGAACCTTTGGCTAATATTTGACCATGAATTTTCACGCCACTCTTAGGGGCGTCCTTCTGGGCCTTCTTACATTCTTGACAGGCTTGCATTCTGTCGCCACCCTGCAAATGGGACACATTCTCATGAACATGACTTTCATTCAGCAGCAAGGGACTTGAAAATATGCATATATAAGTGTTAATGATCAACAGATACTGCTTGGAGACATCGGTCAACGACCCCTCACATAGCTCAGTTACACAGTAGATAATTATGATCTTTTCCATACACCCTGAAAGATATTCTGTTTTATATATGTCGTACAAGACTGGAGAAATAAGGGAAGTATGCGGATAACTACAACGCCATTCGTGGTAGACTGGCTCTATTGTATGTTGTTGCGCAGATGACTATGAGCCAACCCCTGGTTGGCTCTGCCAAGATATAAATCTTTTATGGGGAATTGCTTTATCACCTTCGTGTGTGATTCTGGGAGAGGCTTCTGCTTCGAGATATCCTGGCAACACCGCTCCCAGGTGCGATTTAGGGGGAACAAAAGTCTATACAGAGTTCATCAAAGGCCCTGTGCATACGAGCACAGGCATTACGTATCCCTGAGCGCTGTAGACATGACATATTTGCCCCAGAGGTCGATCAATTGCTGCTGTGCATTGGCTGTATACGCGTCCGCTAGGACCAAGAGTCCCTGTACATTTTTCTTTCTCTGGGAGATTAAGTTCATCCCGTGGATTGATCATAAACCTACCCCGTAAAGATTTCCAGTATACAAGCAAGGGGAGGGGAGGTGACCATTAGCTCCTTGGCGCCATTCGCTTAAACATTGTACGAACACGATGCACAGTATTGGGTACATCTTAAAATTAACTCATTTTGCGGAGCGTGAAGTTAATAGCAACGTCCCTGAAGTCATAGCTTTCGATATGATATCAGCCGCCTTGTTCTTATCCTGACGTATGGTGATGGCCTTTACATAGATCTCGATTTTTAGAAGAAAATCGATCGGTGAATTGCCCCATATCACATAACTTTAAGCATAGTCCTTGCAGCCTTCCTACAATGTGTATCTGAACTCAGCCGATCCTTCGAGCAGCATCAGGCCCCGATGAGCTCTCCGATTGGCAAAAACGAAGTACACGCTCAAAGCTAGTACCAACACAATAATCAAGGCTGATGCACTGTTGCCATAGACTCAGATTAGCGATGCTATCTAAGAGGGACAGGATACTCACACAAGATTGGCATAGATCCCAGGATAATATTCAGGTGCATCTTGGGAGCGGAAGACCAAGGAACCTGCGATTCCACCAACCCCACCCATTCCGATCATCATTGCACTCGCAAAGGCTCGTTTCCACTGACCGCGGATATTGCCCGCCTGGTATGCCAGAGCAGTGGGTGCGCTGGCGTTTACTCCTCCTGTCACCAGAAACACACCAAAGTATCGAACACTGTTGCCTTTGGCTAAACCCATCAGTGAGATCCCCACTAGTTGCATTAAAGCGTTGACGATAAGAATTGGCCCGCGTAGCCGGTACTTGTCGCCAAGCCAGCCTTCAAAGATCATGAGAATGCAAGCCCATACGTATGGTGGTGCACTCAGATACTGCGATTCCCCGACGCCAAACCCCATACCATTGCGCAAGATCAATGGAAGAAAGTATCCGATGGCGTAGGTCACAGTCATCAGGCAGCTAATCTTGGTGTTAGGTTGTCTATTTCTATGTTTGGGAGAGATTCAATACCAGAATATAAGCCCATAGCCCCAGAGCCGAATGTCCGCTGCATGTCGAAGAAAGTTCTTGATCGAGAAGTCTTCGGGCTCAGCATCTCCTCTGTCTCTATTCACCCGGCGGATGACGAAGGCGCACTCTCTTTCACTGAGAAACCTCCATGATCGATGTGCTTTGTCTGGAAAGTCTACAAGCATCACAAATGCTAAAAGGCCTATAGCCAACGTGATCTTTGCGAGTTGGAATATTCCTAAGTCAGCCCTCATACACAGGAATCAAGGTGGATCATGACAACGGACCACGCCTTCAATAATAAAAATCCATCTCCACCCTGCAAGATTCTCAATGCCATCCATGTGGGTAAGCCCATATGCAAGAATGTTGGCGATTGCTTGAGAGAAGAGACCAATTGAGTAGAACACTGAAAATCTCTTGTGCATGTCGTCTGAGTCATGTTAGTGTCGCTATATTTAGGAAACGGTCGTCCCTGTTGCCACTTTACATCTAGAATACCAGCATGACAGTAAATATACCACGCCTGGGAAATAGCCACTTTCAAAGACCCCCAAGAATACCCGCGCGATAAGGGCATGCTGCCATGTTTTCGTGAATCCCATGCCCTGGAGGTAATATTAGCTATTGTCTACCCTAAAACGTCGACAACGTACAATTGTAATGCCTCCCCAGCATATGACCATTGTGGTCAGGAAGTTTCGTGGGCCAAACTTTCGAATTGTAGCGGTTACGAATGGCTGGCAGAGTACATATGGTATGAAAAAGATGAGCATTACCAAAGACTTAGCCAGACCGGTTAGACAGAGTAATCACGCTATGTCAGGGTCGGAAACTTACATAGCGATATCCTTCAGTCATTTTCAGATCCTCGTTCATCCTAAAGCTGTCAGTGACTTCCATGCGGAAATGAAGTAACGATGAGAAGAATAGAATGAACGCGCAGTGCGCTATCCTACCCTGCTATCGAGGCAGTCGACACATTAGATCTATCCATCAAGCTGATGCAGTACCCGAGTCCGGCGATAACAACAAGCCTTCGATCGGCACGATGGACAATCTTTCTTTGCTCCTCGTAGGTATATTCTTCATCATCATCAATATTTGCTGGCCCACGCTCAAGCTTGTTAGTGGGAAAGTCTTTCTCGTCGGAATATGGAGTCATGATAGTTAGAATAAAGTCAATGGTAGCGAGAAGTGCCCAGGAATCTATCTGCCTTTATAATTCCCATTCTTGGGTTCAACACGGACTCATCCCGCAGACTGTCTCCTCGCCTATCTATATGGGCGTAAAAGAATCTAAGTGGCCACCAGCGCTTGCGATAAGCACTCTTGGAAGGATTAGGTTGGCGGTTCGTGCGTGCTACTTTTAGAGCCCGAGCATACAAGGTGATGCTCCTCTCTACTCCTTGAATTTGAGAGTGTCCCTGGGTTTTCATGACTGGATCTTCAAATATTTGTATAGACATTGTGCCCACGATATGTCAAGTGCATTGTCTGCAGTTTGAAGCTCTATGGTTCATGTATATAGGGCTACCCGAACGTGTCGTGCTTCTTATCCAAATTCACTACTCATCTCGGCGCTAGATTTAGTCGCCGTACTACTAGCAAACCTACAATACTACTGTTGTAGCATGAGTACCAAATTGAATTGTTCCAAGTGCCGAGAAACCTCCACTTAGTTGATTCCTTAAGTGTGATTCGGCAGCCTTCACCATGTCGAACGTAGGTAGGTGTACAAACAGCCTGCTTTTACCCCAGACCGTTTTTTCAGATCTGCAAAGTGCGGAATGTTTAATCCGGATAGAGCATGGAATCAGTCCGCCAGATACTCTATGCGGAATCGTGGATTGATATGTTGCCAACTTCGGAGCGAGGCTAGGGCACTTAGGTATGTCTTTAGCCATTTTCTACTGATATGGTTGATTTAACAATTATCTTCCTGGTATTCCCCCCAACCAGCCGATGACAAGTATAAACGCAAATTACTCTTGCTTGATAACTTGGCGTGGTGCTCATATTTTCTGTATCTCCGCCATATTTCTCCATGACGAGTAGGGAAGGTTTTGGGCGAAGGGTGGAAATATATTTATGAAGCACATACGTTTTGTATGTTCCGCACCACGGAAAGATGCTCCGCCCCTTTCTTGTCTTTTTTTTTTTTTTTGCGTCTCCTGCCCAAACGCATTGGCTGCTGTTACTGCGTTGTCGTCCTTTATCACACGGGTTCTCTGCCAATCTCGGAGTTCGCCCCGCAAGAGTGCGGAACTTGCCGCTATCTTGATTAGAATGTGGGGAATGGGGTACGAGTACTTCATCTAGAGACATACTGTATGAAAGCATATATACCAATATCTGGACAATAGTCGGATTAAAAACACGAGATTTATCATTTGTTGGAGGGTGAGTCTGATCCACTGACTGAGATTGCCGGACAAAATGTATAACAGCACATTTTCAACCCAGCAATTGTCAGTGTGGCCGAGTGGGTTACTTCAACTTGGCTGCCTCTCATTATTACTTTCTAGCTTTCTTAAATATGCATATAAGCCAGGACTAAACTATGGAACAACAGTACTCCCATAAACATGAAGTCTTCTATAAAATGGTTCATCATTTCCAAGGAAAGCTCATGGCTCCTAGCATTTGCAAGTTCCCACCAATGGAACCATGCGGGATTCTGTCCTGACCTCGATGACCTTCTATATACACTGGGCATGCAATGTGCATAGGAGCCCATCTCTGTACTTTGTGACGCAGTAGATGGACGGGAGTGAGACTGGTGGCGGTTCGTATTGGCCTGGAGATAAAAGTAGCCGGTTTATAGTATCATGTCTGGTACCCCCTGCGGAAGACCACCAGTACCTTGAAGATTGGATAATCCAGACAATGGCCCGCCCGCCATGATAGGAATAGACAGCGGAAAGGTCCCAATGCTGAAACTTTGTACCAGAGTGAGTGTGAATGCACGAGCAATCTGATATTCGCCCTGAGCATTTGGGTGAAGGCCATCATAACCCACTGGACACGCTATCGGCGCGCAATCATAATTCTCGTAGAGCTCGACCAGTTCAACTGGTGAATCCAGGGTGGTCCATCCGGGAATCGCCTCTCGCAATAATGCATTGTATGTATTAGTGCTAACGGGGAGATCTTCCCGGCCGCTGATAAAGGTTCGCTGGGGAACGTTTGCGATAGCAAATTTAAGTCTCGGATTAGCTGCACGGGCATTCAAAATAAATGTCTGCATGCTGTCCACAGTACCTGCAGCGTCGCTGTGGAACCAGGCCATGTCGTTGAAGCCCAGCATCAGAAGTATCAAGTCGGCAGGGTAGGCAGCGAGAACATCGTATATTAGTCCTTTATCTATTGCGACGGCGCGACCCCAAATCGCAAAATGGTCCTTATCAAAGTCCTGCGACACACCGGCTGCGTATCCTCCACTCGTTCTGATCTCACTCGTCCAATGCGGCTCTTCATTGCTCGAGGGCGTTGCCGGCAGCGAGGGCAAGTCCGACTGTGCTGTGCCATTATACGGCCCTACAAAGTCTACAGGAAGGCCTTGGTCTTTGAACCACTCCCAGAGACGAAAACGCCAGGTCCAGTCGCCCTCTCGGCCTTGAGACATGGAGTCACCCACAATCATGACCTTGAGCGTGGGCTCTAGAAGGCCATGTGTTGTCATCCAACTGCCCGGCTCCTCTTCGGCCGCGTCTCTCATGGAAGTCATCCTTGCCAACATAACCAAAAGACACGTGATCGCCAAGCAAAAGTAGAGACTGGAAACGAGCCTTGGGGCAGAAAGCCGCCTCAGAGGGAGGACCATGATGTATCGTACTCGCAGATGTGAGATGACATTTTCTGGTGAAGCACGGGGGCTTTGCTGATTTTTACTGAGCGAGAATTTGCCCCCTGGACACGCTATCAATAAGGCTAGTAAGCGCTTGCAAGGGTAGCTAGAACGATGTCCATATCATGGCCTCCGATTGTGTAGGCACAGATGTTTTCCTTTGACTAGAAATGGTATGTGTTTCTTTGGGTGGCCACTCGAGTCACAATTTAGTCGCATTTGCTCCTTCGCTTAGAGACTACGGATGAGAAATCACAAATTGAAAAGCGCACGATGTAACCATGTCGATGATATGATTGAGCATTCAACGCCACGCCATCACAACATAAATTAAATCACATGAGGGGAAGTCAAAACCCTAAGTTCTAACTCATTTAGTACTTTGATAATGTGAGAAGGGAAAATTCCAGGGCGCCCCTCCAAGTCCAAACAGAAAACACTTCAAATAAACTCGGGTTCTTTTGCATACTTTCCCCTGTACTAGTGCATTTAGCGTTTTCCTCGGTACCTCCACTTGATATCGTCCGATGGCCGGATTGGGCTACTGTACCCTTGGTTTGCGCGCTATCAAATCCAGGATGCGAACCACTAATGACACCAAATACGAAAAGTGGGACACAGCTCGATCGCCATGATTCGCAGCAGACCAAGTGTCAATCATGTCTTGACGTCAAAGACCCCGGTGTCCTGCTAGCAAATGTTCAAACTTGACTTACTATGCGAATTCTAAGAGGAAATTTCTGCACCGACTTGCATCGACCGACCACCTATCCGATTTCACAAATGAATTAGTCCCACAAGAACATTCATGAGTTCGGCTAAGCGATCGGTGTACCGGATCACCGTTTTGCAGAATGCAGTGTGTAGATCATGGCTTGATTTTGGTCTAGATCACTCGATCACTGCCGTATCGGCTATTTGACTTGTCAATCAGTGCTTCCTTTTTCTCCAACCTCCCATTAGAACATTTCATTTTCTTCCTTCACTTATTTCACCCCTTACTCGCAGTTTCATGCATGGGATCCAACCCAAGACTCAGTCACTCGTTACTTACCACGCGGGCCTCGGACGACGAGCTACATCCAAAAAACAGTAGTTTCAGCTCCGTGGAAAAATATATTATATCAGTGTTTGTCGCCGTCGCCTGGTACAATGCTATTGAGTTGATCGTTTTCTGTCTGTCGACGTTCAAGTTCTACCGAGGATGGTATTTCTGGAGCTTGTTCATTGCATCGTTCAGCCTCTTCCCAATATGTCTGGGTTACATATTCTACATTTTTTATCCCGGGATACCGTATTATCTCTCGATCTCCTTGATCATTGTGAGCTGGTCTTGTATGGTAACAGGCCATTCTCTCGTTCTATGGTCGCGATTACACCTTATCATACACTCCCCCAGAGTGCTCCACCTGACGCTTGCAATGATTGTTCTTGACGGATTTGTACTCCATATCTCCACGGCCGTCCTACTGTACGGGAGCCACTCACATAATGTCCTCATGGCGAGCCGGTCTACGAGAGGGTATAATATTATGGAGCGGGTTCAGCTGGTAGTGTTCTGCGTCCAAGAATTGGTGATCTCCGGCATATACCTGTGGGAAACGGCAAAGATGCTGCGCTTGAATCCCAGCCCACTTCACTATAAAATTCTCAGCCAGTTCTTGGTTATCAATATTTTTATCATTATACTCGACGTGGCTGTTGTCGGGATTCAATTCGCAGGATACTATGCCCTTCAAGTGACCTTCAAACCGGTGGCGTACAGCCTCAAGTTTAAACTAGAATACGCTATTCTGGGCCGCTTAATAGCTCTTGCCACGAGTCCCTCCAATTCTGAGCCATTCCCGTCTACTTCGCTGGGGTCGACCGGCGTAATTGAAAGCCGGTCTGGTCATGGGACGCGACATCGGTGCGTTTCATTGGAGCCTTCCGAGCGAGGGCAGGAAAAATAAAGGCTTTGGCGTGAATGCTTTTTATAGACAGTTATCAAAGAGTTCAAAACAAGGGAAGCTCTAAAATCTCACATTAATCATCGGGATCATATAACAGCCAACCAGCACGGACGTAGTGATAATCTAAACAATAGCTGATGGCTCAAATCTGCACTTCAGACGACATGCTTCACATCTTCCCTTGGAGATTCCGTCTTTTCAGCCATTGTTCGGTACCAACATTGAGAAAGAAAGGAAGAGATCGTACGCATTTAAATTCAACAGAACCATATGATACTGCTCTTTCGCCACTCCGCGTAGTACTGAGGCCCGGCTTAACCAAGGAGTGAACCTGTAAAGCATCACGAAATGTGAGGTAGCAGCACATCAGCACGTTGCAGCTCTGACCAAGGATATAAGTAACCTGAGCCACCCTTGAACAAGTGGGAGACGAACAAAGAGCATACAACAGCCGGGATCTTACTGGTGGCCATTCAGCCAAGCAAACTCCCACTAATCTATAGGTGGTCAAAGTTGGGTTGCTGTTGATCGCGCAATCATCTGCACCAATGCAGCTGACACATTAAATGGGATCTGGTATTGGATAAAGATCCTGCTGCGTACAACACTACATTCCTGGGCTGCATTGCGCTCCAAGTCCGTTCGTTGGCCAACACTTTTTGAACTGTCAGCGAACTGTGGTTCACGAGTGGAACGCACCGGAGCTCTCATATAACGAGTGCTTATTGGACTGGAGCAAACAAGGAGGAAAATAGTAAAGTGCTTCAGACTTTGCCTCCATGCTCACTAGAACCAGGATGGGGTCTTGATTTGGCCCGATTACGAGCTGGGCCTTGACTGAGGGAAAAGATTGATCGATGCCGCTAGACCAGCAGATACGTCGATTTACTAGGAGTGGAGCAAAACACTCAGAAGTCCTTTCCATTGCCATGCTGCTTGTCACCATCCACAGCTAAAAGTCGTGGCCACAGTTGGGCCATCTGCAGGTGAAGACGCACCTCGTCACATCAGCCTCAGCTGAACAGCAAACATGCCCCGCATAAGAACTAACAGCCCGATGATGAGGGGACTAACTTGTAGGCTATTTATGTAGTGATTGCAGGAGTCTTATTGTGCCACTGCGCCTGCAAAGTCGTCCAAATCCCCCAGCGCTTCACTAAATCGTATTACACACGATGGACTGAAAAGGAGAAGGAGCCCTACTTCTGTGTCGGAGATTTGGAGCACTGCGAAAGCCAGGTTCGAGAAGCTAACTAGGAAACGGCTTCAGCAGAGTTCGGCCGATTCGTTGCAAGGTTTGATCCAAGGCTATTCCTCAAAGAACCTGGATGCAGAGAAGGTAAAGCGAGCTGGCCTACGCCTTGCTAAATGCTTGCAGCTACTAGGTGGAGTAGTCGCACGGGCCGCATCACTGGTGGGAGTGACTCTTTCGCGTATATATACAAGCAGGGCTAACTCTGATGAACTAGGCCGTTCCGCCAGCTAATGTCTGCTTCAGTGCATTGTCGGTTCTGCTTAGTATTCCGTCGGACCTTCATGGCTTCCATGCCACTACCGATGACATCTTCTTCGAAGTTGAGCCAGCGCTAATGCAGGTTAGGATGTATCACGACATTGAGAGCAAGGAGGCAGTTCCTCCCGATATGGTGCTGACTATCAATGAAGTCAGGATCAGCTTTTGGACGCTTTGTGCCAATGTATCAGTTTCAGGGATGGGGGCTTCTTTATTCAATTACCAGATTGAGATTCCACCATTGTTCGTTGCACTCCAGAATTGCTGGCCGTGTATCTGGTGATCTCCAACTTCAATTCTACGTAGTTCTATCTGTATTTCACCCATGAGATGCATAAATACGAGGAAGCTCTATGTGTATGTAGTCTAGATTAGTGCTATCCATATACTTACTATTAGTAAACCTTGATACACCCGTATCCGCCTTGCCCTATGTTAACCAATGCATGTTTGAATTCGGTCTATGGCTCATCAACACTATGGACAACCACGGCAGGCTTGATCAGGTTTGCGCGTATATCAACATTGTTTAATATGTCATTACTCTCCGCCCTCCGTACCGCATCCTCCATTGTCTTCTCAATCCCACTCTCCAGGTGCCGCCGCGCAATGCGCCTCCTCGCCACCTCCATATCAACATCCACGAACCACGTATCATCCACGTAGTCGCCGATCTCAGACCATGGCGACATATTGTATGCCAGATAGTTCCCTTCGATAATGATCAACGAAACCTCCGGTGACACCTCGATCGCCCCCTCCACCGGGCCACCGACAGCGTGGTCGAACTGCGGCGCATAGATCACCTCCCTCCGGACCGCTTTACTCAAATGCAGGGCTCTGACGAGCTGCAGCACACCCGATGCGTTGAAAGTCCAATGCGCCCCGCGCCGTGCGTGTGCTTCGTCGGGATCTGCAAGCCCGTCCAAGTACTTCTTGGGGTAGTGGAAGCCGTCCATGGGGAGGGCGATGGCAAAGGGCTTTGTTGCGAGTGCGTTAAGCCGTGCGATGACGGTCGCTGCAATGCTCGACTTGCCTGCACCTGGCGGGCCGCTCAGAGCGATGATTACCCGCTTAAGGGGACTGGCGTCGCTGCTTTGCTGGGCTTGGGATATTTGCAGGGCTCGGCCGACGAGGGTTTGGTAGACGGCTTCCATGATGGCGGTGGGTTGTAGTTGGAAGGAAGCTAGTTTGTGTCAGGAGGGTCGCATCAATTCACACGTGAATGGAATGATAGTTAGATGTCTCTATTTATTCGGACAGCCCCTCTTATCCCCGTCGGGCGACTGTGCACCGATTGTGGATGACCTACTATGGCGAGATGGATCCATACCGGTTGGATTGCCGAAAATGGACGTCTTTCCACTGTAGCTGGACGCGATCTACCCCGATACAAAAATTTATTTTATCAATATACGTTCGATTTACACAAGGTTACCATACCAGTCATGGTGTACGCACATGATGGTCAACCACGGCCTTTGGTCCATTGTACATCACTCTCTAGTGAGGATTTATGACACAACCTCAACGTTTAGTTAGAATGTGTTCCAATGGGGCACCAGGTTCTTCATGTGTATGCGGGTGTTACTGGTGTGACAGAAAAGCCAGGTGGGAGTGCATCTTTCGGTAACACTGGCATGTTACTGATATCGTTTAGCCACGAGGCAAGTTGACTGGTATGACCAGCAGTTGAGTAATGCAGCAATAGAAGTTTTTATAAATATGGCCTATACACATACATACTTTGTCCTCAGTGCCCTTCACTTTTCCCTACATCACATAACTGTTGAAAAGTACTTTTAAGCCGTCATTCCAGCAATAAGTCTCGCCGGTTATACAGCTTATTACTGATCCAGGCGTCTCAAATTAGCCCTTTGTGAACTATGCTTACTCCACTGCTTGTGAGTTCCTCGCCGCTGCGGCTTCTGCTGTAAGTTTGAGAGCCGCCGGTGCGTCATCTTTCGGCATATACAATTCTACAAGCTGGAAAGATCAGTTAGCTAAAGAAACCAAACTTATATTGAGTAGCACACTGCCTACCTGGAAATGAGGGGAAAAGGCGAACTGCTGGTTGTTAAGCAACAATGTAAGCTCATTCCGGGTTGAAGCCTGGTAGGTGTTGTAGTGATGTGGACCTTCAGCCCCAAACGCCTGGACCAAAGCGGCGTGCTTCCAAGGCTGGATATTATTGTACTCTTCACCCCAGCCGTGTATATACCGTTCGATAGTGTACCCGTCGTTGCAGATCACAAATCTAGATCTCATTAGCAAAGCAGAGTAAAGCCGCCGGACAGTTAGTGATTTAAACTGACACGATAGGGTTTAACTTTTGACGGATCATTGTGCTCACTTCCTGCGCCGTCATCTGGAAGCTACCATCCCCCACAAAAAGTATTACTCGCCGATTCTCAGCTTCTCGGACGGCCAATGCAGCCCCAAGGCATGCGCCTACAGAATACCCAATGCTACCCCAGAGGACCTGACTGATCGCTGTGACACCCCTTGGAAACCTCGTTTCCCATATTCCGAAGTTTGCAGTACCTGTCTCGGTAATGACAATATCGCCCTCCCGTAGCCAATTGCCAACCACAGGCCATAGCCAAGAGTGAGTGATGGGCCCATCTCTGGACTCGATGATGCCACTGGGGATTGTGTTGCAGAACGACGAGGAATTTGGGCTGATGCTTAATTCACCAATTTCCTGGATGACCTTTTCTAGAATGCCTCTCATCCTCACCTTCGGATACAGGGAATACCGGACCTGGACATGGTCGCTGTAAAAGTCAATCGTATTCAGCCGGCTGGTTCGATATGAGAATCCCGTCGTATTAAAGTCTGATTTCAACGGTCCAATGCTGAGGATCAAGTCGGCCGACTCCACCCTCGCGGCGACGCCTTCATTGGAACCGGTCCCCGCATATACACCCCCAAAGTTAGGCAGTGTTTCATCCACTGCTCCCTTACCCATCGGAGTGACGAAGGTTGGGAAGCCAGATTTCTGAATCAACTTATGGACATACTCAAGTGCATTGTGGCGGATTGCACCAGCATCAACCAGAATAACCGGGCTTTTGGCGGCATGAAGATATTTCATCACAACGTCGACAACGTATTTCTCCTCCTCTGGTTCATTCAAAGGCTCTGTAAGGTCAATTGGAGAGAGAAGAAGCTCTCCTTCAACCTTTTGCTGGACCATGTCGGTGGGTAAAGCAATGTATACTGGCTGAGATTGTATCCAGCACTCCCGAAGGGTATGATCAATCAATGCTGGTGCATCGTGAGGATCCGTGATCTTTGCCACCATGATAGCCAGGTTGGCGCTGATGTTAGTAAAAACATTATAGTCACTATTACCCAGGGTATGGTGGAGTAACATGCCATCCCTCTGCGACGCTGTGCTGGGTTGGCCAACAATATGCACAACCGGAACATGCTCTGAATATGCCCCGGCGATTGCATTCAACGCGGACAGTTCGCCTACCCCGAATGTTGTAATAATTGCTGAAATTCCTTTTATCCGAGCGTACGCATCGGCAGAGTATCCTACACAAAAATACTAGTAAGTTTTGCGGCCGTGGTATGAAGCACCCCATACAGGAAGCTATACCGGCATTCAATTCATTGCAGTTCCCAACCCATGTGAGCCCAACCTTTGGGATATAATCCAGGGCCGCTAGGTTATAATCTCCTAAGAACGAATCAGCAAGTATAACGAAGTGAGAAAACAAAAAGACAACGAAATACCAGGAACCCCTTGTATGGTTCGTACACCCAATTGATGCAGTCGAGTGAACAGATACTCGGCGATATCTATCGGGGTTTTCATTGCCGAAACGCGAATATCCAACGCCATGCTTAGACAACTTCGGGATACCCTCTGATTAACCACCTAACTTCACAAAAGTGTCACCCAAATGTATTTAATTATGCTCCGGATTGTCAGTCACAGAAGTCAGAGCAGCATGTACCTCATCATCAATAACTTCCAAACCGTCTCGCTTATATTCGGTTTGTACGATCAACATCCTTGCCATGTGGAATTCAAATTCAGATCCATGGTACTCAAACATCTGGGTCAATGACCTGGCTACCAAATAAATCACCTGAGTTGGATCCATGGAAGCCCATTCTAAATACCATGTATATACTAATGAGAACTATGGGGTATTGCGCTGAAGGATGTGTGCCACATAACGTGAGCTACAAAACTATCGTCAATTTGTCACCAATATCCTCCGTTGTGATAGAGACCCGCGCTACAATATCATATTTTGGAACTTTGTCACGCTCTGGCCATTCAACTGGTGACATCATTCATACCGTGTTCTATCGGGGTCCCAGACTTCCCCCAGAAAACTACATGGTACATGGCATGATGCGGGTGACAATTGTGTAGCCAGGTTATCGATCGCTTTCGAACCGTTCCATTTCGCATCTGTCACGAATACGAGCTTTGGATAAATGCCGTCGTCCCGCCTGTCACCATATACAAGGTGTCCGATCTTTCGATTATTGATCTTTGTGAGATTGAATATCACAATCAGCTGCCGATAATGCCGTCTGAACACAGTCTCCCACAAACACGTGTGGCCATTGTTGGTGTTGGTCAGGTCGGTTCTGCTGCTGCGTACGCGCTCATCCTGGGCCGTGTTGCCGATGAGCTACTTCTTGTCGATATAAAAGCGGAGTTGAGAGACGCTCAAGTCCGTGACCTTGCGGATGTGGCCTACGGCAACAATAGTGGCATCCGTGTACGAGCGGCCACCATTCAAGAAATCGGCCAATGCGATATCGTGGTCATTACTGCTGGATCGAGATATTCTAGAGGTAAATGGGGACAATAACTACAGCTCTGATACATATCCACTTCGTCCACGCAGCAAGTTCTTACATATTTCCTAGGTGAAACTAACGTGCAGCATTTGTACCACAAAATCGCCATCGTGCAGGGCATAGTCAACGAGGCGAGGCCTTTTCGCTCGGATACAATCTTACTGATCGTGGCGAACCCTGTCGATCTGCTCACATCCCTGGCGCAGGAGCTTTCCGGGCTCCCAACGTCCCAGGTTTTGGGGTCAGGTACATTCCTTGATTCGGTCCGAATTCGCGGACTATTGGCAGAGAGGGCAGGGGTAAGTCAGACATCATCCTTTGCCCTGCTAGTTGGGTTCCAGTGCTCACTAACGAATTCCTAGGTTGCAACTAGCTCTGTTGATGTTCAGGTCGTGGGGGTCCATGGAAACTCAGAGGTAGTTGCATGGTCTGGGGTGACCATTGGGGGCGTTCCCGCCGCACGATGGTTCCCTGATAAGACCTCCCACCTCGCTGAGGTTGCGAATCAATGCAAAGCTAAGTCGCAAACAATTATTCGAGCCAAAGGGGGCACACCGTTCGGAATTGGTTCGGTAGTCTGTAGTATTTGCTCCTCTATCCTCTTCGATAGGCGGGACGTCTGCTGCATCAGCCACTACCTGTCCAATTACAAATGCTGCTTTAGCCTCCCTGTCGTGCTTGGTAGGGAAGGCGTCATAAAAGCGATTGATATGCACTTGGATCAGAAAGAATGGGAGGACCTTGACGAGTCAACGCAGGAATTGAAACGCATGGTGGAAAGGCTTAAATCAGATCAGGGACAGTAATTTGAGCTCCACCATGCATCTGGGTGACAAGATATGTCCTGTCTCGGGGTGGTCAAGAGATGTTCTTTCGAAGTGTGTCTGTGGGGTAGGAAGTCAAATGAATGAGTACTAGTACTACTATTAGTGGACTGCGTGACATAGCCTCACGATCGTTTGTCATAATGAAAAGGTTGTATTCACTTGTTTACTTGAAGAAACAGATATCAGAACCAACGTGGTATGTTGATGCATCATTACCGGACTTGGAAGTAAAGGCAGAGAAAAAGGAAGAGCAAGACCTAAAGCACTTTTGTAGACTGGCCCCATTTTCGATACTTGATAGGACGTTGTACCACCCCTGATCATGTATTTTCACTTGCAACGACATGTCTTTTCACTGCGAAGAAGCTATCCGGGCTGACGGAGATCGAGTCGATCTTGCACTGAACCAGGAACCGAGCAAACTCGGGGTGGTTACTGGGTGCTTGGCCGCAAATACCGATTTTACAACCTTTTTGCTTTGCCACCTGGATAACCTGCTGCAGCATCCACTTGACTGCCTTGTCCTGCTCATCGAAAAGGTCTGCGAGTTCCCCGGAATCACGATCGACGCCGAGGGTGAGCTGCGTCAAATCATTGGAGCCGATAGAAAAGCCGTCGAAGTATTGCATAAAATCAGCTGCGAGAATAACATTGGACGGGATTTCACACATAACATAGACCTGCAGTCCATTCTCCCCCCGCCTGAGCCCGTTCTCTGCCATGGCGTCCAACACCTTCTTCGCTTCTCCTACTGTGCGGCAAAATGGAATCATGACAATTGCATTCCTGAAGCCCATTCTCTCTCGTAGACGTTTAATTGCAAGACATTCTAACGCAAATCCCTCTTTGTAGTGGGCGGAGTAATATCGTGAGGCGCCACGGAAACCTAACATTGGGTTTTCCTCGTCCGGCTCAAACTCACGGCCACCCACAAGACGGGCATATTCATTGGTCTTGAAATCGCTCATGCGGATAATAGCAGGCTTGGGATAGACGGCAGCACACAAGGATGCAAACCCGTGAGACAGTTTGTCGACAAAATATTCCGGCTTGTTGTCATACCCAGTCGTCAGCCGGCGAATGTCCTCCTTGGCCTTCGCGTCCCTCAATTGATCAAAGTGGACAAGCGCCATGGGATGTACTTGAATTGCATTGGTGACAACAAACTCCATACGGGCCAGTCCAATGCCATCAGCCGGGAGTCTCCACCAGCGGAAAGCTGCTGCTGGGTTCGCGAGATTGAGCATGATCTTTGTCCGAGTTTCCGGGAACTCGGTCAAGTCCACAGACTCCGTCGTGATTTCCGAGCTCCCCTCGTACACAAAGCCGTTGTCGCCCTCTGCGCATGAGACGGTGACATCCTGGCCGGTGTGCAGGATGTATGTAGCATTTCCCGCACCCACTATTGCCGGGAGGCCCAGTTCGCGGCTGATGATAGCCGCATGCGAGGTTCGTCCGCCATGGTCAGTGATGATGGCTACGGCTCGTTTCATGATGGGCACCCAATCCGGGTCGGTGGTTTCGGTCACTAGTATACAGCCATCAATGAATTTGTCGATGTCCCGTGCGGTTTCAATGAGACAGACACGGCCTGACACTGCTGCGTCACCAACAGAGAGGCCCGTGGTCAACAGACGCCCTTTTTTACCAACTTTATACGTTTTGAAAATGGCAGCATGGCTACGCGAATGCACGGTTTCTGGCCGGGCTTGAACAATAAACAGCTCGCCCGTAATACCGTCTTTAGCCCATTCCATATCCATCGCGCAGCCATAATGCGTTTCAATCGTGCAGGCCCAACGCCCGAGCTGAAGAATTTCTCCGTCATTCAGCACGAATGTTGCTTGCTCAGATTTCGAGGTAGGCAGATTTCTGGTGGGTGTCTCTGTACCGCCAAGGACCATTTTCATTCCCTTTTCACCACGCTTTTTCTCAATGATCGGGACCAGGCTCTGATCAGCTAGCAGGGGTTTGAATACTTGATACTCGTCGGGATTCACGGTCCCTTGCACAACATTCTCCCCGAGCCCCCATGCGGCGTTGATGAGAACGACCTTGTCGAAACCAGTTTCGGTGTCGATAGAGAACATGACGCCGGAGCCACCGACATCAGATCGAACCATTCGCTGCACCCCTATGGAGAGGGCAACGCTCATGTGATCGAATCCTTTGGCCTGACGATAGCTAATAGCCCGGTCCGTGAAGAGTGACGCATAGCAGCGTCGACAGGCATGCAAGAGAGCCTCTTCACCAGAGATATTCAAGTAAGACTCTTGTTGACCGGCAAAGCTTGCATCTGGTAAGTCCTCTGCAGTCGCACTGGACCGGACCGCGACACTGAGATCGTCAACCCCAGCCTTGGCACAGAGTTGACGATAGCCAGCCCTAATGGCGGCTTCTGCATCCGTAGGCCAGTTTCCATGAAGGAACAGAGCACGCACCGCATGGCCGGTTTCAGCAAGAGTTGTCTTTTTCAGTTGCCAGTTCTCAATTAATTTGGTTATTTTCTTCCGGATGTCATTGACGTCTAGATAGTGCCAATAGGCGCTCGACGTCGTCGCAAAGCCAGGTGGCACTGCAATGCCCTTTCCTCCCAGAACAGTGATCATTTCACCGAGGGAGGAATTCTTGCCGCCAACCAGAGGTCCATCTTCGCGCTTTAGTTGCTCGAAGTTTCGAACAAATTTCGCATGAGCACTCGCGTCATTCATCTTTATGACAGTTGTAAAGAATCACTATTGCGGTACCTGCCCTGCAGTTGGATCACCGTAGAAGTATTGCTCCGGTGGACTAATCCTTGTTACCACACACCACTCGGGCGTGTAAAACCGCGGATTGTGCAATTCTATACATTCTCGAAAGTCGAGGCATGAGAAGAAACATCAGGAGATATTCTGAAGTAAACTTTCCGTTTGGCAGTAAGACCCTGGTTCAAATAACTGTCTGCACATTGGAGGGTGTATCATACGAAGTCAAAATGTGGCTACAGTTGACCAGACTACCATCCTGAAATCTTAAATTGAGAACCTTTCGGCCGAGTGATCATGCCACTGTACTCACAGGTTCTTTATTGCCTCATTTGCCCATGACATTTGTACCTAGAAAACGATAGGTTGTCTTTAACCAAAGGGTGGCGAAGCCTGGAGCTGCTACTAGCTGGGGTACCATTCGCTGTCTACCTACAAAGATACCAAATAGTCAGGCTCATGGGTGGTAAGAATATTCGTCTTTCCTAAAGCTAGATAGAAAACAGAGTTATGATTACCATGATGACTCGGACTTTTCATCAATTGAAACAAACAGTGCTGAGAGCCACAGCTACTAGAGTTGAGGCTCCGATCCAGACAGCTAAGGCCATTCCCTATCGCATCATTAAACCAGCATTGCGAAGTCAACCAAGGAGACACACAATATGAAGCGCCAGTCATCATTCATGGAACATTTCAAGTATACGGCCCTGCCTCCTGGCGTGCTAACTTATCTATATCTTCCCCATTTGGCTCAAAGGTACCCGGACGGGACACCTTCGAGGCCAGGAACATCCAAGCAGATGCATTGCCAACCGTAGTCAGGTTATCTGGCAGTCTTTGTGGGGCATCTGAAATGACTCGTGCGTAGAGTTCTTTATCGGTGAAAAGATGGAATAAATGTTGTGAGACAGTGTCGATGTCCCCATTATCAACTAGTAAAGCGTTTTGCATCTTGTCTAAGAACGAAAATAGCCTTGCTTCTCTGCTAGCGATTACAGGCTTCCTCTTTTGGAGAGCCCATAGAAGGACCTCTGGTATTCCATGGACCATGGAGAGTTGAACGAGAACACGAGCCTGTGTAAGGAGAGTATTCCACATCTGGTCTTGGGGGCCAACCTGCACAACACAAACGCGATGTGCAAGGTCCTCCATTTTAGTGTTGATATGTGCCAGCAAGTGGTCATATGTGAGCCAGTTTTCCGGGCTGTTAGATGGGCCATGGTGACAAATTAGCAGCTTAGGCGGGGGTGCACCCTGGTGCACTTCCATATATCTCTTGCAGAATGTGGCGTAGGCGTCGAGCAGAGGAATAGTTCCGTCTCCTAGCCGTAACCGTGAGAGATGGAGAATATATTGCTCTATGCCTGTCAGCTCATACTTCGGGTAACGACGACACAACGTGGAGATGTGCCCTTACCGTCAGGATACGATATGGTAGAGGATCCCAACACCCTGCATAAAGAGTGGAACTCCCGTCCGTAGAAGGTGATGTCCTCGGCCGCAAGACTTTTATTCAGCCCGTCAAATCTATTTCAAGGTTAACAGCTAGCAAGTTCAGCGAAAGGCGGTGTCTTACTGGTCCACTGTAACTGGTATATACCCAACACACCTATCCGACATGATGGATGGTGTCAGTTCACGAGGCAGTTGGGAGACTAGAATGTCGACGTGCTTTAGCCTTGTTTTCACAAATTCCCACACTCTAGTCTGTGGGCTTGTCGAATCTTCCAGCAATCGCGGTTGCTGGACGTGCGATCTATTTTCAAAAATAACTGGTCTTTGCGGGTCACATTGCTTTGATAGCAGTGCCAACGTCAAGAGGGGTGCACTATCAATTATAACCACGTCTGCGCCACCTTCTGAGCGAGGCCGTAGGGGCCCGTTTTCTGCTAACCAGTACCGTCTAGCATTTTCATAGGCGAACTCCAGGAGCCGTAGCTCATCGTCCGTTGCAAGGTATTCTTCCGGTCCAGTTAAGCCTTCCATGACATACTCCATCTTCCTCACGATTCGAAGAATACTGGGCCGTGGCTTCGGGACATACCTGCAACATTGGATGGTCAATATCGGTGAACAAGTGCATTAGGGATGTCAAGACACTCACCATTTGGTATCTACTCCAAGTTTGTGGGAGAATCGGACCAAAGCGTGTCTGGTATGCACATCAGGCTTTCCCTCACATGTCATACTGAAAAATGCTATTTTAATCTTCCTCTCTATCAGGTCGTTTGCAAATTTCTGGACAACATTCCATGTATCAGGGTGCACAGTCTCCTGGTAATCTCCTTTATCCCCAACGTGTACACAAAAGCGCTTGTCAACCTCCACCATCCCGTCGGCACAGATATGGTTGTGAAGGACATGCCCGATACCAAATGACCTATAGAATGTTAGGATTCAGGTCTTTCCAGCAACCGCCTCCCATTGTAACATTACCGTAAACATTTCCGCGCCATTGAATCCGCCTGTTCATCGAGCTCCTTTCTCTCCCAACCCAAAAACGTAGCGAGCTCGCCGGGCTCATCTTGCTGCCTAAAATGGTCCTTACATTCCAGCACCAAAGGGACAACATCAAGGTCTTTCCAGAGAAACGAGCATAGTGATGGCCATCTGTGGGCAAGAGTTTGCGGCAAGGCCACGGCTATTATCTTCTCTCCATTCTTGGTCGCATATCGTCGTAAATAGGATATGAACTCGCTCGTCGCGAAGGAAGGTACATGGGCGCCCTGAACTATCACATTATAGTCGAAGAAGTCCACCAGCTGTGTGGCATTGCGAATGGCAAGTACGACCTTGCTGTCCGAGCCCTGTCTTACCAGCTCCGATATTCCTGCATAAACAACCTACTCACTTTTCTTAGCTTTTAGTCAACAATGTTAGATGTATATCGACCCAGGGCTTCCCTACATGGAAAGGAGGCCCACACCAGGAATTATCTCGTGAACAGCGTTCCCCAGTGCGGATCCGCAAGTCGACTTTCGGGGATGAAAACATCTGATAAGTTTATCAACACCACCAGTGTTATGGCTCGATGTGAACGTATGGTAGTACGTTGTTTCACCGCGCAGCGTTTTTATTCGGGATTTAGCAATTTGGGAGAAGTCTGTGTTCCCTACAAGACAGGTATTTTGCATTACTCGCCTCGTTGACCCAAACAGCCCTCTGCCGACTAAAGTATCTCGCCACAGTTAGAAAAGAGATAGTTTTATTCCGTTGACAGGCGACGTGGCAAGTGCGGATGAGGGCCATATAACCGACGAGACCGAGAGAAGTGGCGTGATATAGAATCTTGGCTCAATAATACGAAGCGAGGCGTTAGACACCAAAACGAACAACTTTTGGATTCGCTGCTGTATGAAGATATATGGGAAAGTAACTTTGTACCTCTTACTCACCCCTGTCACTCGGCCGCGGTGACAATTGCCCGCACACCAAACCAACAATCGTCGCCATAACGGACAGTGGGCATAAAGGTCCACCCTATCCTTACATATTAACGCAACAGAACTCGCGGATTCCGTGTTTCGAACCTTTTGTGGAACTCAAATTTCTATCTGAAAGCCAATGTTATCAGTCGTATGATCGAACCATGTTATCCTGGATATCAGGCGCAGAAACATTAGGCTCCACTACGTCACGTTGAGGTATACGATATACGAGCCAGTCTCATGGATTATAGTAACATTATATGCCGGCGTAGGCCATCAACCTGCCCATGGCAGTCTTTCGACATTTTGTCAGATCCAAGCCTGTGGTATTAAAGATCAACGTTCAAAGGAATGATAAGCTCCCCACCTATGGTGACCTCATAGGGTTTAACCTCCACGTACACCCTCTCTATAAAGATACCATTCCACAGAAACGAGGATCTACATGATCATCTGGTCGGTGTACAATTAGATCGCGGTCATGTATAAATGTCATCTCAATGGATATCAAGTCAAGCACATTCAAGCGAGATGCACAGAACGTCCAGGCATGGCTAGTCGGCAACGGGCTGGCTTCCCTAGCCGCCGCTGTTTACATGACGAGGGAATGCAACGTTCCTGGTCGAAATATCCATATCCTCGATCTTCATCCAGGCTTTGAAGGAGAAATGGCTACCCTGGGGGATGCAGAGAATGGGTACTTCTTGCCATACCAGTGCCTCCCACATGTCTATGGTACTTGCATCGAGGGCCTCTTGTCCTTAGTGCCTAGTATCCTGGATTCCGACAAGTCTCTGCTGGGCGACATTCAAGAATTTGGTAGACAGCACCAGTCACACCCAAAGGCGCCCACGACACCTGGCACAATAAGATTGAAAGCACCAGATTCAAGAGGGGTGTACACGGAAGGGTTCCAGCTCGGACTGAAACATCGCCTGGAGTTAATCAAGGTCATCCTAGAGAGTGAGAAAACACTAGCGTCCAAAAAAATCAATGAAGCCTTCGATAAGTCATTCTTTGAAACAGGTTTCTGGTTGCACTGGTCTAGAATGTAAATCTTTCACATAATCCTTGTTTGCGGATAAGCTGATCGGTAAATAGATTTGCGTTCCAGCCATGGCATAGTGTGATTGAGTTTCGAAGACATCTTCGTAAATACTTGGAGGATATCCGGTCCCTTCATGATCTCAGTGCAACCATCCACACGAGATATAACTTATTCGATTCGATCGTCATCCCAATTATTGATTATCTAAGACATGACCATGTTGACTTTCGTTTCGATGTCGAGGTAACGGATATCAGGTTCTATCCTGAGAGTGATCCAGCAACAGTCTCTGAGATACGATTGGTAAAGGATGGAGAGGAATGTCTGATTTCGCTTGACCCAGAGGATATTTGCTTAGTTGACCTAGGTTTCTCACGCTCCGGTGCAGTTTATGGTACGAATGTGGCTGCCCCGCCATTCTTGTCCTCTAACTGGGAGGATCTCTTATTGCGTGAGTGGAGACTATGGCAAGGGCTTTCTCGCAAGTCTTCAAAATTTGGAAATCCAGTCAACTTTCTTTCACGAGCCCTTGAATCTGGGATTGAGACCTTTACCACTACTATGCAGGGAACAGAATTCATGAAGCTATATGACAAGCTCGCCCTCGAGCCTGCAGGACGCACTGACACGCTATTCCTGGCAGAGAGTAGTTGGCTGATCACTATCAACGTTCCACATCAACCGGTGTTTCCGTCCCAGCCTGCTGACAGACATATCGTTTGTGGGTACGGGCTGAGCCCTGCGAGTGAAGGCAATTTCGTGAAGAAACCCATGTTTGCCTGCTCTGGTATGGAGATCTTCACCGAGGTTCTTTCTCACCTAAGCTTCCCTATACAGCCCATACTCGCTAAATCAACTACGATCCCTTGTGGAATGCCGCTGGGAACCGCCCCCTTTCTAACACGCAGCAGCCAAGATCGTCCACATGTGGTACCTCATGGAACCACCAACTTTGCGTGTCTTGGTCAATTTGCAGAGCTTCCTGACGAAACGACGTTGAGCGCTGAGTACAGTGTGAGGACTGCTCAGCAAGCCGTCTATACACTATTCAACCTTCAAAAATCACCACCAACGGTAAAGAAAAATATTCTCTTGGAGGTCTTTGATATTCTTGTATAACCGGCGTGGATGACAGTGCACCAACCCCCACTTAAGTCTTATATTTCTGCCAATTCCCGTACGGGGAGGTGACCAGTTGGTTGGTCTTTATGGATTAATCTCTCTATTTAACAGTCTGCGAAGATAATATTTAGTTATTCTTTTATCCCTAGGGGACGATGAGTTGGTACTAGAATTTATTGCCTGTGAATTATGTGTTATGGAACCTGTGTGACTGACCTTGATCTATTATAAGCACTGAGAGAAAGCAAACTGGTTACAAGATTTTTTAATAAGTAAAGTTATCAAGAGTGTAAGATATAGAGATATTATTAAGGTTATTGTAACGGCGGTTGCCTCAGGCAACTATTATTCATTTCCGGTCCATGTACTCCATACAGCCCAGGGGGGGCGGGAGCACGTACGGGCGGGGTGCAGCAAAACATCAAAAAATGGAAAAAAAAAAAAATGGACCACATGAATCGCGAGATATTCGTGATTCCCTTATACCCCCACATATTGAAATGGTCATCATCGACATAACCCCGAGAGTATGTTCATGAGCTTCTCAGGTCTATTTACGCGACATCCAACATTGGTCTTTTCCTGTTTATAGCCATATTATTGAAATATAAGGTTTAGCAGCATGCTCGTTGCCATCAGCCTCAATTTGTTATCAACTGTCTGCCAACACACCATAGGCCGCTTACTTCCCATCAACGTGAATCGTTTCCCTTTTTTTCATCAACAAACAGTAATGGACGACGACGACCCACAGGACTATGACCCCCTACCACCCCCACCAGACCCTGCTCGATCGACGACTGACCGGACCTTCTTCGACACCACAGGATGCACGATCTATGGCTACCCCTCTACTGGCGGAGTTCTTATTAAAGAGGCTAATCTTGTCGATATGCTTTTTCTATCGCTCCCTCGCTCTCATGTATCGTACCGCTCACTTAATACCGATGAGGAAGACAGGTTCTGTAGTCTTATGAAACGGACTGGTGCGACATTCTGGCCGAGTAAGCGGGATCGATCCTCAGTACAGATAGGCTTTAGAGAACCTACAGAGGAAGAAGAGAAAGTAATGGTATACGGTTGGCCGACCGATGGAGTGGGTGTATGGATATTAAGATTCAAAAATACGGAGGAATTACCCAGAGACTTTGGAAGAATAAATTTAGCAATGAATATGGAGGAGAAGATACAGATTATGAGAGAGTTTGGTGCTACGTTTGTTGAAGATGTCATGCAGGTGGAGGAACTCAACAAGGATTGAGGTCTACTACTCTTGGATGGGTACATTTGGAGAACAAATACGTGCCTGGGTGAAATATGGAAGGCTCAACGGCGAACTCTGACAGTGTCTGTGGGCTTTCGTAGCGATTCACCGGTTTTCGCTTGAGTTGTTCATGTGCCCCCTTTTGTGGCTCCCTTGTGTGTATCTATTTAGCCAGTCTCTTCCGCTTCGCTTTGAGTCTCTTTCTCGCTGTCTTCGGTATCAGATTACGTACCCCTTTCTCCATTACTTTTTCTCCTATTCTTCTATATCCTTACAAGTCTTTTTAAGACTGTTTTAAACCATGTCTGTCAACCTTGATAATATCCACTTCTCTCACCAACCCCTCCTACACAATGTCTGCCTACTATCCGCTGGATGCCCTACTAGACTCCTTCAGCACCGCACAGCCTTTCACACCCTCCCACCTAAACTACCGTCTCGGCTTCAGCTAGGTATCCTACCCAGCAACGTTAGACATCTACAAGAGAAGGTAGGATGCCATCCGTAACAAAGGTTCGTAATTAGTTTGATGTCGAACTCGAGAGACTATCTATGGCAAGCGTCACCGCCGACACTAGAATGGGGAGACCCGGTAATCATGTAGCTCAGGATAGAGATTCGGCGATCCACCCTTAACAAGTTGTTCGAGCTGTGGGCTCAGGATTTGAAGCAGTTTTATATGTCTGGTATCGGCCTGGCTGTCCTTCGGCCTCTCTCTGAACGAAGATGTGTTGGAAGCCTTAACCCTATAGCACTAGCGCCTTCAGCACGAGGCTATTTTCACATACGCATCCATCTTCTATTGAATGACAGCTGACGCCCCGCCCGCTTCAGCGCTTCAGCGCTTGGGCCACAGATGGCCAACAAATTACTCTGAAAATGCCCTGTTTCTAAGACATAGATCACTTTGCATCAGTTCACTGTATCACCAGCGAGCTTCCCGTGCTTACCATTTAACAGAAAGCTAAACCGACACTTATTTCTTCTAGAAGGAGGAGGGTGCAAGTTTGTTTTTGAACGAATACGATGTAGTTTAGTCCTTGAAATTAAGAGTCTGTTGGCCTCCAAAGCTGCTGGCCTCTGGAAGCAATCCTTAAAGTGAACATAGTTTTTGAAGTATAGGTGTATATATAGGTTTAGACACTAAGTATTACCAATCATAACTCGTTACCTGGAAATTATATTCCTGAGTATACCGATATAGGAATCAGCTTATTCCAGGACTAATTATCCTAAGTTAATGAAACTCCTAGCTTAAAAATAGCAAACCTGAGACTTAAAAAAATATATACCGCTAGCTATAGAGCTGATCTAATGAAAAGCCTCAGTACAAGATTGGACCGGGACTATAAGCCAAAATTAGCGATAGGCTCGTGGTCTGGATTCTGGGCTTCATAAAACACGAACATCTGTGCCCGAAGTTTGCGAGACGTTTGCAGTGACGAAGCAGCTGAATCAAATTTTACTGCCTTTCCGGAGTCTTCGTGCCTGATAAGTGAATACTTAGTTACCTTGGTGGAATTTGAATGTGACCAAGCAAACATATGCAAGTTGTTTGTCGTTCAGAGACATTAGATCTCATCAATCTCTTCAACTAGGCAGGAATTATTATCTTCACCTTCTTCAGCAAGTGGGGTCTGTCGCGTCAAAGTTATATACTACTGGGTCGACCTTGTAGTATCTTGACTATTTAAATTGTTGACGCACATCCTCAACCATAACCCTGGATCCCTTCCACTGAGTATATTTCTGTCGGCCTTCAACAATCTGTGATCCTGTCCTACCATTGGGTTGAGACAAGTAAAAAATAAAATGAAATAAAATAAATAACGAGACGAACTAAGCGCATGCCACGTAGAATACAATCATCAGAAAGAAAAAAAAATATGAAAAGACCAGCATGATCACTGAAATTACGGAGAGAAAGTCTCACATAATCTGCATTGATGTTTCCGCCAAAGCGACATATTCCAGCCTCTTTGTCTCAATCACACTGATTGAAAAATTCTCACCATACTGGCCCACAGCATGCACAACTACATTCTCGCCATATCCACAGTCTGTTTCGGCAGGCGACGCCTCGTCGTATGCTTCATAACTTTCCTTAGTCACGGCATCATCCTCGGACAGTAACACCTTCTCTGCATACATTCTCGCCTCCTGATAACTGGTAAATGCACTCAAAACATTGAGATCTCGCACTGTGCTGACTTCCTTCTCTCCGTTATATGTAAAGGTGGTCTGTATAACGTAGTAGAGAGTCACAGGGATTCGACCATCCTCATAATCCGTCATTAATCCCATACTATTTGGAGTCGTATCAATGCGGACCCGGAATGTGGTACCATCGGAGGCAACTGCGAATACAATAAGACCCTGTCGTTCTGGGAGATTCTGCTGTTCGAATATATCTTTGTTTGTCTCATATTGTGTGAAGAACTCCCTTTCGTACCCGGCGTCAAAAAGACAACTGTGGGCAGCTGCTTTGGCTGCTCGCAGTGATACGTAGGTACCAGGGATGCGGACCTTTTCGATAATGTTGTTTGGGTCTTTACTGATATGAGTGGTCGATAAGACCAGATGATAGAGATCGCTGGAAACGGGGTTGTGGGCAGAGGCCATACTGTTGACTGCGTAATGATAGTGGTAGAGAGGTACTGTACTGAAGCCAGCCGACTGCAAAGGCGGTTCCAGATATGTCTGATATATTATTTGCTCTATGCGGTTCTTCCAATGAGTGTTGCATAAGATCCTGGCTGGATCAGATGACCGAAATAATTCGAGGCGTTGATTTACAACTACTTAGGTCTAGGCTCTCTATCTGTCATATGACGTTCAAACCTTTTATCCTCCCAAATCCAAAGTCCTCTTGAGAAAACGCTAGGTATATCTCCTGATATCGTTGTGACCGAATGGAGCTAGTAATTGCTTATTCTACACGACTACGTTCTGAGACACGTTGTTGAAACCCTCCCGGCATTCCCCCTTCGCCTAGCCCAGACGATGGCGCCTCGCTATTCATAAGGGGTATTCGCGTATGTTCTGAATGATTTCATTATTATTTTGAAATCAAGTTTTTTAATTTGTCGTCTTTTTACCGGTTCCTTTTGCCGTACCTCGTACGACTCCTGACCCGCAGAAGACCCCTCCTGCTTCGGGTTTTGAATCCCCTCATATTTGCCTATTTAGGAAGCCAGCGCTGGTTCGGATAAGAGATTCTGGCTTCATTTAGCGAGGCCCTTCCAAAAGCCTGTACAAAGGGGTGACCAGCCTAAATGTGACTGTCGACTGACAGCAAGCGTGGACGCTTTCAAAGACGGGGAAGCGGATCGACCTACTTCTCATCCTGGAGCCCCTTAAAGCTTCAGTGCCAGTGTATGCGACATGTTACAAGTCCAATACAGCACTTTCACCTTCTCCCTATGAGAACAGTTGGTCCTGGAGCTGCTTTCCTCCATTGGGGCGGGAGTCTGGGGTACAGGCACCGCCCATAGAATCCGAGACGTGGGCGATATCCCCTGTTTTGGGATGGAGGCGGCCAGCCTGCTCACCGAGTTTTCTTGCATTTTTATTGGCAGTATTTTAGATCATGCTGACTCTCACAAAAAATAACATCTGGCAGTATTATACTGCTGCTGCTGTCGTCGCCGCCGTGGCATACGCGAAAGAGCTTCGTACCTATGTTGATCCTGAAGAACTTGTCACCATACCTGCTAGGGACTTGCGGGGTCTATCCCTTGATACGACTGGAACGAGTGAGTCATTGCTGGACATGAAAACCGGACGAAGCAGCATACAACTGGTGTCGGGAATCGTAGTCGCGTTGTAGGAAATGGAAATAATACAACACAGGTCGCGGGCCACGTCTAGCTCCCGAATTTGGATTCGAAGTACTATTTAGTATTATGAAAGAGGCTATTGGAGTCCTTTTATATACTGATTCTAATATATCCCAATTGGTGTTATCTGCGGTGGATTCAAAACCAATGTAGAATAAGACACAATATAGTTTGAAACGAGTGTATCTAGTTAACTATTGTCTATAGACCCAATCTTCCGGCGCAGCCTCCCTAGAATCAAAGATCAACGGACAGCGAACTTAGATGGCGACCTTGGTGAGGCTGATCTGAATGCAGTCACTGGAAAGGGAGACACCGGAGCGGCTGGCATAAAGCATGTAGGTAGGGGGACCAGCGGCGTACAGGAATTCGTGAGGGCAGGCGAAGAACTGACCCTGGGCCCATTCAAGGATATTGTTGCTGCCCGTAGTGAACCCCTGGGTCAAACCACCAGCAGTGACACCGTCGGTGCTCTTGAGGTCGACGTGGCCATCAGTACCAACGTAGACTAAGCTCAATAGTTAGTGAGGTCCGGTATCACGAAGGTGATACGTGTCAAACAGAAGACTTACCAACGTCGCCATTCTGGATGCCCAGAGTGCCATCGCCACCGGTGAAGTTGATGCCGTGGTCGCCTTTGGGAGCCACGATGAAGGCGTCGCCTTGGCTGATGAGGGCGCGGTCCTTGAGCTCGTTGGTGCGGGATTGAGAACCGCTGATAACCAGCTGAAATGGAGCTGCAGCAGCGAGCACGCTTGAGAGGAGGGCAGACAGGACGAATGCGGACTTCATTTTGACTGAAGGTTGTCGAGTTTGGATGGGGAATTGGGAGAGTGATTGAATGTTGCTGATGCTGTCTGATGATGATGCGAATTTTCAGGGTGACAGCACCTCATCGTCTTTATATATGCGTGGCCTGTGAGCAACCTCTCACCCTGACGGTCCCCATAACACTTGTTATTACAAATCCAGCTCCAGCTGAAGAACCACTGACCAGGTATAGCAGTATCAAGGTGCCGGTTTTCCGCTTCGCTCCTGATACTTCTCGAACTAAGCATTTTATCAATCTATCAAGGTTCTCACCATGTCTCAGTCCTTCATGAGAAGCAATAGTATCAGAGCTTCCTAATGCCCACTATTTATTAACTATCAAGGTTCTCACTATATCTCGATCCATATCTATATGATTTCTTGAGACTTAACAATCTTTTAGTCAACTACTATATTCAACCCCGTCATAGAAGTCTCGTTGGTTGTCTTCCTTTGAAATATACATTCTCTAATGAAGATAGGCAATTACAATACATTCGTAGAAAAGGCAAGATGCCCCGTTTACCATTCGAAGAGAGCCTGCGAGCCAAAGGCATTCCCTCCTGAATATCCGGGGAGTGACCAGTTGAATTCCAAGTAGGTCAGTTACAGTATGAACACGTAATTTTATCTGATATATGCACACTATGATGCCAGTACTCATCGAATTCTATTCAGATAGCAATAACAGTACATCAGTATACACGAGAAACTGCCCACGGTCAAGCATTGAGCGCAAAATAAGAACTGGACAGCTGCTCCAAAGGCCACTGCTTCATGTAATCCTCCCAACTGACAGGCTTGACCTGGGGATACCTGTCATTATCGAGCTCCGGCCCAACAAATGTTTGCCCGTTGATCCAGTAATAGTAAAAGAACCTGCCTCCCGTCAGCACCATGAGCATCAAAGATTATCTAGGGTAGGTGATAACATACAACGACATATAGCCATAGATATCAGCAGGGTTCTGGGCTTGCTTCTCATGCATAAACTTGTAGAGGTCATCGAGGGAACCCAGCCTCTCAAGATTCGCCTTCACGCCGTAGACCTTCTCGTAGGACTGCGCGATTTCGCGGATGGTGGCGCGGCCGCCGAGGACTACAGTATCGTTAGTTTAATAAATATGATAGATTATCAACACCCAGACAGAAACATACAGCGGATAACACCAGTTGCCTCAGGATCCCTAGCCACCGCAGTGGTGAACTCAGCTGCATTATCGTAGGTAGTTCCCTCCATGACTTCATCACCCTCACCCCAGAAGCGGAAGGTGTTGGTCTTGGGATCCAGGATATTGAAAAAGGGACTCAGAACCGGCTCCATGAACCCTCCAATTAGTATATGGACGCCCTTGACCTTCTGCTTTGTGGCCAGGTAGGCGTGAACGTGGATCATGGGGTCCTTGGGGAACAGCTCTCCTAGTTTCAGCTTGGTGTAGTCGAGGGCCCAGTCACTCGCGATGTAGCGTGGAACGCCCAGCTCCTCGCAGGCATCGATGAGAATCTTCTGTCCGTCTATCATGAGCTGGTTGTCGCCGAGGTAGCAGCAGATCAGCACATCACAACCCTGGGCGAAGGTCCGGATGGCCTCTTTGTCGAAGGCATCGCCCTTGAACAAGGTCACTTTCTCCGAGGAGGAGATGGACTCCGGGACCTTGCTGGGATCGCGACAGTATCCGCGGATAGTAACATCGGAGTGTTGGAGCAGGTGGGAGACCACGCGGCGGGCGAACTTTCCGGTGATGCCAGCGATACCGACGGTGAGGGCCATTTTTTCAGTAGAGATGTGTGAAGGATAGGTGAAATATAAAGATAGTACATTATCAGTGACAGGGCTATAGGGATGATTTTAAATACTTTCAGCGCGTTGTATTATCTGGTGGACTGGAGGCAAATAATTATTCATTCGGGCTCTATTTTGATGCCGAGCTTAGTGCACTGTATTCCGACACCCCGAAGTATTAACAATCAATATATTCTAAGATGCTACTGAGTATTCAGTAAACTATGCATTTTTATCGAAGAAAACAACTCAAGTTATCATTAGCCTTGTACAAAATTTACTACAGGATAGGTGCTGTGTAAGCACTTTCTATTAAGAATACATGTATGACCACAGGTTTCCTATCCGCTCCGCGATTTCCACGCCTAAGATAACCAGGTCGCCATCTTAAAAATATCGCACTCTATCATAAGATACATAACGCACTGTCTTTTACTTCCATTTAGTTGCCCAATTGGTTAACAGCGAGTGAGCATGGTCAGAACAGGTTACTCTCTTTCGATATAAACATATTGAGTTTCTGACCTATAGATCAAGAAACTGTAAGCTATTATATAACCCAACTATAGCACAGAACCTATCCTAACTTGACGCATTACATTACCCCACGCACTGGGACATAAATTAGATGATTACAGAACGTGGTTGATACATGAATTGTGGTCATCACAAGTCTCAATCTCTTTACCAATCCAAGTTGCGAAGTATATCTTGGGCGGATTGTATTGTTCGGTCTCTGTTGATTTGTCGATATACTTGGTATTTGCTTCGACTCCGAAGCTTAGAAGTACTTCCTGCTTCTGGCCGTCGACGTGCTGGTCGAGGATGTACTAGCGGATGTCACGGTAGCGGTGCCTGTAGCGCTGCTGGAAGGGGAAGCAGAGCTAGAACTGCCACCGCTAGTGCTCGTGGAGTTCAGAGTTGCGACCAAGGGCCCGATGTTGACCTTCTGGCCGCAGGGGCCGGAGGGCGCAGTCACGCAATTGCTGAGCAAGGTACCCAGCAGGCCGGTCTGGTTGCCGGCCTTGAGGATCTGGTCGGGGGTGTAGGCGGGAACCAAAGAGGTGCTGTTCGAGGGGAAGAAGGTGGAATTCTGCTCAGAGCCGAGGTAGGCGGCTTGGGCACTGTGCTGGGCAGCCAGACGGGCCAGGAGGAAGGAGACCTCAGGAGACTGGGTGTAGGCGGCTAGGCCGATGAGGCCGCCGGCGACGGTCTGCTCAACCTGCAGGGCGTTCTTGAGGAAGCTATCGGCATCCCTGGCTTGCGGGATGGTCAAGTTGCAACGAGGAGTGGTGAAGTTGGAGAGGCCGCTGGCAACCTGCTGCACCGCACGGATACCCAGACGGTTCTCTCGTGTGATGCCCTTGAAATTAGCGTCATAGTTGGCGGTGGACGTGTTGGTGGCATTATTCAGGAAAGTCTGGTTGAGAGATTGAGACGACCAGAAGCGTTCGGTCAGATGCTGGAGAGCCCAGGCGAACTGGAGAGTCTGGACATCACCGGACTTGGGCGAGCAGTCGGAGCTCTGGGCGGCGACAGCTCCGGCCAGAAGGAGGCTGCTCAAGGCAGAGAAGATACGCATGATTATGTGATTAGTATATTCAGTCGAGCGTCTTATTGATACGGATTTGTTGCACGGGGACGCAGTGGGTGTATGTATAATCCGGTAAGCTAAGCAAGCCAGTATAAAATGAATAAATTTCAAGAAATAGAGGGATGTCAACAGATACCCTCAGCCACTCTTATACATTCATACAGCCGACGTAGATCTAGAATCACTGACCTATCAATGTAACCATATGATGAAATGGCCTATTTCAGGCTGGCCCGAGCTCCACCCTCAAGAGGCGCAGAACTTTATCGCCATCCTTTGCATCACGACATCCAGACAATTGCTGTTGGAAGCCTGTTCCACCGTCGATAGCCAATGCCCACAAGAAATTGACTTTGCACAGTGAAGTCTTTTTACTAGACGAGACGGCACGGTTCATGGTTCGGCGGCCGGGACTGACGCGGCGTCGCCGGTCATAGGGTAATGACAAGTTATGTCAGGATTTTCTCAGTGGCACCGGTGATATCATTGAATGGGGGATTCGCTAGGCTCCAGCGATGAGAGCACGGCGGAAGCAGCATATCCGCATCTCTCCGGGTCTTGCAAAGCTGTTGGTGGTCGACTTGTGTTGCCGTCGCGGATCCTATCGGCATTAAAGTAGATGGAGCTAGACGCGATCGGGTTTAGCCGCCTTCCCGTGGTTTGTCGATCATGATTCACGACTTCATCTTTTTCGACTATTTTTACCCGTTCTACAACTACTATTACTACTCCTGGACCTACCACTCCTTCCTGACCAGAACATGACAAGAAGAGTGGTGGAAAAACAAGGAAACCCCATATATATATATATCTCAAGGTTCACTCCACGGGGGCAGGCACGAAAACTCCATTCTGTTGGATATGAATGTCGTCCACCACCGTGCATCCGAGAGTTCCGCCGCCCACTCCAGACGTTTTATGCTCGAACAAGATTTGACCCTAGTGTTGCTCATCATAGACATGACAGGTTTGACACGACTCTCCACCACAGTCATGTTACATAATGCTATGCACAGCCCAACAGACAGGACGGTATCCGTAGGCAACCGTCGATTGTCACAAAATTATACCCAATACTGGACATCAGGAAACCAAAACCTCTAGCGTAGATCAAACTATCATATTCACTCAAGAGCACGTTCCTTTATACGCCCCCTATAAATAACATTACAGAATAATACCCTGAGCCGAAAAACTTTTGATCTTCACGGTGGAAGATTGACAAAGGGTCGAAAAATAAAATATGCAAAACAAAAGCTATATGTAAGTCTATGCGTCATCCACAAGCCGTTTATGTTCCCAGGCCTTCTTGGCACCATCCAGAAGGGCCTCCGCGTTCCCACTGTTGTCACACATGCCCCGGAAAACACCATCTTCCCGGTTGATGAGCGTCCACGGATGGTCGTACTCTACCACACGGCCGTGATCGAGCACCAGCACCTTGTCGTAGTCAATGATGGTTTGCAAGCGGTGTGCAATCGTGATGATGGTGCTGTCCCGGAGCTCACGTAGTGTCTCTTGGATTCTGGCATCGGTGTTATAGTCAATGGAAGCCGTGGCTTCATCCATCATCAGAACCTTGGGCTCCTTAAGAAGAGCACGGGCGAGACACATGAGCTGCCTCTGTCCTTGAGACAGATTAGATCCAGACTCAGAAATCGGTGTCTCAAGGTTGAGGAAGATGTTCTTATTGTCAAGAACACCAGTGCCATTCGCCGTCGCGAGGGGTTCTGCAAAGCTTGTCACAGGAGTTGCGGTTCCTGATGTTCCAGAGCCAATCAAATGAACCCGACGAAGCGCCGTGAAGATTTGCTCATCCGTGAAGAGATTGAATGGGTCGAGGTTGCTCCGGATGGTGCCTGTGAAAAGAGTAGGATCTTGAGGTACAATCGTGATAGACTCTCGCAGGTCGCGGAGCCCAATAGAGCCGATATCTACATTATCAATGACGATACGTCCCTTCTCTGCTTCAAGTCCACGGAAGAGAGCAAGGGCCAGTGAGCTTTTGCCCGCGCCCGTGCGGCCCACGATGCCGACCTTTTCACCCGGCTGCACAGTGAAGGAAACATTGCGAAGAACCGGATCAAGGTCTGGTCGGTAGCGTGTAGTGTAGTTGGCGAATTCAACAGCTCCGCCGCTAGGCCAGTGGGCTGGCGGCCTCGAGTCAGAAATAACGGCCGCTGCCTCTTGCTCTACCTCGAGGTACTCTTTCACTCGTTCAACGGAGTTCATGTTCTGTTGAACCTCGGAATAGAGACGAACCAACCAGAGAACATGCTCCGTGAATGTGACTGCGTATGTCAACGCAAGACCAGCAGCGCCGGCGTCAATCTTCCCAATACTGAGCAGGACGAAGACAGCAGTAAAGAAGGAAACCAAGGCGCCAGTGAAGTCGACGCGAAGGGCAAGCCAGCGATTACTAGCCCAAAGATAAATATGCGGCCGGTTGTAGTCGTTGATGCGTCGATGATTGTCCACAATGAACCTAGGTCCGTCGCCGTAGGCACGAATAGTGACAATTCCATTGAGAGTCTCGCCAAACTGCTGATACAGAGGACTTCTCTGTACAGACTCTAGTCGCTTGAGATCGCGAGAGGAATTCAAGTACACCGCTCCCAGTGCAAAGTAGACCAACGAGATAAAGACAGCCGCAATCAAAAAACCGGGCATTATCACGGAAATCAGAGCCACAATCATTACCACACTCGCAAGACAGTGAAGCATACCAATTGCCGCCGGAGCAACCTCTTGGTCGACAGCCTCAACATCCTTGGAAAACCTGTTCATCAATTGACCAAGAGGTGTCGAGTCGAAAAACTTGAACTTGGCATGCATCACGGCATTCAAAAGACGCTTGTGGATCTGATTAGACGCATGCAGGGAGCCCCAGAACAGAACACCCTCTCTGGCCAAGGATATTATAATGTAAAGGAATCCAAGAATCGCATATACACCGAGATAGTAGGCAACATTAACATCACCGTAGGTCCCCGCGGCTACTCGCGTACCAAAGTGGGGGGCACTCTGTGTGGAGGTTCGTGGGACACCCCCAGCATTGAATGATGGGATCTTGAAACTCGTTAGGGCAGCGTAGTCTCCAACATCATCTGTTCCGACATCCTCAGTTTGATAGGAGTTGGCCCACTGTCTGATCCAAACGTTTGTAGATACAGATCCCAGTTGCTGTAAGCAGAAAATAAACAAAGCGCCTGTCCAGTAGTACCATGAGCCCATAGATAGAAGGTACATTTTGATAGTTGGCCACTTGATACTACCAGTAGCCTTTCCTTCCACCAAATTAGGTCGTGCCTCCTCTTGCTTTTGACCCTTTCCGGCCGAGCCATTGGTGATTCCACCGTTGGTGGCATGCGCGTCGTCCTCATGACGGTCACCAAGATCGGTCGGCATTCGAGAGGGACGTTGGGAGCTAGACCTAGATGTGGGTCGCGACTTAAGAAGTTCGTCGCCCAGCACTCCGGACGCTGCTACCTTGTCTGGATGTCCCTGGGCGGTCACTTTACCGTTGTCCAGGACGATAACATGCTCCGCTTGCGGGACAGTCAGGGCAACGTTGTGGGTAACAAGCACGCAGGTTCGGTCAAACATCAACGGTCCGAGAAGAGCCTCTCGGAAAATGTGCTTGGCAGTGTGGGAATCTACAGCACTCAGGCAGTCGTCCAACAAGAGGTGGCGGGCCCTGCTGTACATAGCGCGAGCGAGGGATATTCTCTGCTTTTGTCCACCTGACAAACTGATACCCTTCTCTCCCACGATAGTCTGATCACCGGCATCGAGGATACTAAAGTCTCGTTCCAGAGCGCAGGCCTTGACCACAGCATTGTAGCGACGCTGATCCCAAGGTGAGGCAAAAACAATATTTCCCTTGACGGTATCATTGACTAGCCACGCTTCTTGCGCACAGTACGCGACGCTCTCCATAAGACCCGTCTGTGGGTCGACCGGAAGTTCTGTCCGGCTAGAAGTTCCACCGGGTAAATGAACGCTACCTTCCAGAAGTTTCATTTCTCCCAGGAGGGCCATCAGGAGAGATGTCTTGCCAGAGCCTGTGGGTCCAGCAATGATGTTCAACTTGCCAGTCCGGAAGGATACGTCGATATTGATCAAGCGGAATGCGTCTGTAGTATCGCTTTGCGGGTCATCTTTATATTGGCCGTTGGAGCTTCCCCAAGTAAGCGTGGCATTCTCCAGTGCAATCCTAGGTGGCTGTCCAGCAGAGTCGCTATCTTCCAACTGATTGTATTTCTGAGTTTCTTCCTCGTTGAGGAATTTATCCACGCGGTCCAGAGAGACTTTTGATTCTTGCACATGAGCCACCATATCGGCCAGCTGATCCAACGGAATACGAAGCAACGAGAACATCGACAGAGCCGGGAAGGCAATCGACGGGGTCAGTTTTTTCCCCTCCACAACGGTATAGAGGAAAAACGAAGCGAAAGTGATCATAAGCGGAGTCCCGTACCAGACGGTTGCTGCCGTGGACCAGATAATGTAGCGGTAGCGTAATGCCTTGAGTTCCGCCTTGCGCTTCTCGTTGACGGTGTCTTCAAAGCGCTGCTCCCATGCGAAATACTTGATAATCCTGATGTTTTGCAGAATCTCATTGGTGGCGTGTATGCGAGCGTCAGTTGAAGCCAAGATCTGGTTTTGGATCTTTGTAAATTGCTTTGCGATGAACAGGTTCACCGGCAGCATGAAAACCATGATGACAATGCCAGCGAATGAGCTGAATCCAAGAAGCCGGTACAGCAGCGTGACGGCGATAGTGATCTGCACCGGAACGCTAGCCCACAAAAAGTGAAGGTAAGCACCTACCTCGCTGACCTTGAAGGAATCAATAGCCATCAAGTTGATAATGTTACCTGTATTGGCTGAGTGAGCATCGTCATTTTCTCCAGATTCCTTCGCGTTCTGGCCATCTGACTCGGGATCTGTTGTGGTGGCCTTCTTTTTCTTTCGGCCGAAGGTGAAGGTTCTCTTCTTCTTACTACTTGGGGGGGCTTCTTCGGGGTTCTTCTTGCCAGTATCGACAGAAGCTCCCGCTTTGCGCCTCAGGGCTTTGGCGTAGATCTCGCCAATGATAATGGCGCGAAGTTTCACGCCGAGCTTGCGACCTATCCAGAGACCTTGTCCGTCCGCAACACCCTGGATAGCTCCGGAGCAGAACAACAAAATGGCATACAACCAAGCGGCATTCGCAGTGGTTGACCTTGGATCTTCCACATATTCCAAGATTGCTTTGAGGAGAATAGTAGGCAAGTACGTGAAAAGACATGAGAATATCGTCCATGAGCCTTGCCACAAAAGCGTGGGCCAAAAATAACGACCAAGTCTCCACACTAATGAGCCCTTATACTGCCTCCGGCGAAAGTCTTCCAGCACGGTGGCCGCCTTTTGGGATGAGGTCAAATTCCAAACGTCATCGAGTTCCAGGGGTTGTCTATAGCCCTTTAGGACAAGGGGATCTAACCAGGCAAAGGTTGCTAAGGAGATCAAGCTGGCAGTTGGATGTCTCGCTGGCTGAATGCCATCCTCGTGTGGAACTAATACGGCCTTATTTCCTCTGCGTGTAGTCACTGCAATGAGAAGGAGAAGAGTAGATAGAGAAAACTCCACCGCGCTGAAGATTGTGGCACGCCTTGAGACGGGATGGATGACGGCGGACCGGAACACAAGAATATTGAACAACCACTGGAGCCCGTACAGGCAAGCAGTGTGATTCCAAATCCTGGGAAGCAAATGCAAGTCCAGAGTAGAGAGAAGCAAGCGAACCAATGCCAAAAATAGGATATAGCTCCACGAAACTAGCTTCGCCACCGCAGAGAGTTTACCACTGTTACCCCAAGTATCCGTCCACAGAATTGCGATAAAGAGAGCCACTTCTCCCAGAAGCGCAGCTACTTCGAGCGTTATCAGAGCGACTTCACCTCGGGGGCGATCAACTTCAAATTGTAACAATTCCTCTGCCGCGGCCTTGGATAGCATGGGATCCGTTTCTTCTCCATGCCCCTCGGTCACTTGGGTATCAGTTTCCGCAGCATCATCCACGAGGATCTTGTACGAGACGCCTTTTCGAGCCACAAAATAGCGGTAGGCGACACGAAGTAGGATAAATAAAAGCGAGAGTCCACATGCGGTAAGTGGCAGAATTACTTGTAGATAACTGTGATTGACGACGGTCAGTATATGAGTCTTTGACCACATTTAGAGGGGAGACGTGGAGTGTCGATCATACTTGCGCTGAAAGCAACGGGAAACGTCATCGATGGCCCAAATGGGGCCATGGCATTCCGGGGTCATTTCTGACAAGCGGAGAATAGAAAATAGCTGTAAAGTTGAGAGATCCGCTTGACCATCCGCCTCGCGTTCAGGTCCTGACGACAGAGACCCGCGTGGAGGAGGACGACAGGACGATAATTATAGAACAGCCACTCGCGTTATTGGCAGTCTGCGGAGATTGTGTTGCAAGACAAGCCTCGCATGGCAATCGGAGAAAAGCGAACGAAAGACAGAGGAGATTGACAAGAGATAACGAATTGCGAGGGCACCAACAAGCCCTAGCAGTTCCGTCAGTATCAATGGAGTGGGAGGTGATTCAGGCTGGTGAATCCAAGTTCATCTGGAAAAGAAAAGACGGAAGGGGAGGAAAACGACGGGATGACGGAAGGGCAGAGAGAAAGCCAAGAGAGCAGTTAGAAAAGAAGTGGGACGGAGGGAGAGAAACCAGGGTGGATTCCCTACGCTAACTAGCACGCGGTCTCCACCGCCTGGTCTGAGGGATCCAGAACCCAGACCGACGGTTATTACTTGACATAAATTGACTCTCTCCTCCGGACGGACGTTCGAGTCACTGCTTCTCTTTGTCTAAAGGCGAGAACGACCGAAGGGGAGGGGGGAGGGATATCCCAGTCTATTGGCGGCAGAGTCTACGTGAGAAACGATCGACTCGAAATTTAGAGTATTTTATCTGATGGCTGCAGCTCCCATGACAGCCCTTATTGGCCTATGATATCACCGCTTCCACTCATTCTCAAGCTCAATTCCTGCTAGATATAACTCAGGTAAATATCAAGCTATTTCCTGCGTGATCTAGTCGGCTTATTTGTAATCGGTAATTTATTATACTTTATTTGTTCGTATAGGTTTTTTTTTTCCTGACCTCCATGTTTATACTGTGTACACTGAACCCTAGATATGGACTCCAGACTCTGTACAGCACCTGCTACCTGCTAGGGTTAGAACTTGGAACTAAAGACTCAACGTCTGTGCTCTTCCTGTATACTAGTACATCGTGACTAGTACCTATGTATGTGAAACCTTCACCCAAGGATCTTGAGTTATCTGTGTCCGTGTTCCCAACAGATCCCAAGCTACTGGCTGTTTTCCTGGAGATGGAGTATCGTTCTACCAATAGAAAGAAATTCGTCATTTTGTTCTCCAGTGTCATCAGCAATGAAACAAGCGCTGGCCGGGGTAGATTACGGTAGTGAGTCATTTGATGACAATGTAACCTGCATGAAGGTTGAACGAGAGCTCTGACTCAAAAACCTCTTCCCCGACACCCAAATTGGGTAACTCGTATCTCTATCTCCGAGATAAGCGGGTGAACTTCGCTCGTACTAGATCCCTTCGAGTATGGACAGCTGCGAGGACGTCGGCTTCAAGCGAACCTGGCGGATTTGAAAACCCCACTTGAGCAGAATCCTCCCCACCTGGTGCTCCTCAACTGATGTGATCCTGTACACCAATGAAATGCGGTGATATCGGGGTACCTGTCCAAGTCCCCAGGAACGCAGGCAACAGGCTTGCCGCCTACTAGCAGTAGACTAGACTAGATAGCGTAAGCAGTACTCTCGGGGCTCCATGACAGATACGGGTTTTTGGAGAAACACTACGATAGACAGAAGTGGGGAACAACACACTTGACCAGAAAAAAAAAAAGTGGCTCGAAACTCACCAACGACAAGTAACAACACCGGAGTTACTAATGGAACCACCAAAGTTCAAACACCCAAAGAAAATTTCCTCCATTATTTGACTTTTTCCTTTCATTTTTTCGCTCCCCTGAGCGGGTACAGGAACCCACAGAAACGTCCTCAATTGTTCCATAGCGCCACCCCGGAACTTTCCGTGGGGATTGCCACGCCCAGACTAGTGCGCAAAGGTTGAAAAAGGCGGAATCTTATCGCCTCACAGGACGATCGTCCCGCCCGTTGACAGAACATCATCCTGCAGGAGGGATAGATACCCTACGCGTCTACGCTCATCTCGTGTTTCCAACCCCCCAAAAATAGTTTGACCGCTCTTCCCTAGTCGCTGGCAGGCTATCCGTCTCTCTTCTCCTCCGTTATAGTCGCCATGGCCGAACGTATCCTCATGAACGAGTACAAGACCCTCGCCAAGGAGCCATGGGTCAATATCGAGGTAAGCCATACCAAGGTCCTACTCGGAGTACACTCTGTATGACTGGGCTTGGCTAACAGTCTTCTTTCCGCCAGCTCGAGAACGAAGACATCTTCAGGTGGACCATCGGCTTAATCGTCCTGAACCCCGACTCCTTGTACTACGGCGGCTATTTCAAAGCGTCCATGAAGTTCCCCAAGAACTATCCTTTTTCGCCCCCAGGTATATCATATCACAGCTTGTACAATCCTAACTGCGACTGACTCGGTATCTTCAACCATAGAGTTCGCTTTTCGACGCCCCCTATACCACCCCAACATCTACCCCGACGGGAAACTTTGCATCTCGATTCTCCACGCACCAGGCGAAGATGAAATGTCGGGCGAGCTGGCCTCGGAACGATGGTCCCCTGCTCAACGTGTTGAATCTGTCTTGATCTCCATCCTCTCGTTACTAGACGACGCGGAAGTGTCGTCCCCCGCCAACGTCGACGCCGGCGTGATGTTACGAAAGGAACCCGAGGAATACAAGTCGCGCGTCCGGAAGGACGTCGAGACTTCGAAGCAAGACATACCCGAAGGCTTCGTCATGCCGACCCATCAACCGGCAACAGTTAAAGCCGTAGAGAAGGACGATTCGGATTTCTGGGCGGAGAGCGATGCAGACGATGACGTCTTCGGAGGAAGCGACTCGGACGAAGACATGGACTTTGACGATCAAGATACTGGCAGTGATGATGAAGAGGATGAGGAGGAGAAGAAGGAGCGGGCTTGACCCTGGGGCTCCTGTGTGTATGAGAGACACTCACCTCTCTCACTCCTTTTTTTTTTTTTTTTTGCCGTCGGTCTTTCTTTTATTTCGGGATTTTGGCGTAGGACTTCGCAGGCGTTAAGTTCGTGGCATAGCGTGGGCGCAGGGACGACCGAGCTGTAGCATTTCTGGACATATCTACAATAGCATCATCCCATTCAATCAATCTGTTCATATGGAGAAGTTGTCACAGAATCCCCATGTAGTTTAGCCCCGTGGACTAGGTAGATCGGGGTGAAACAAACCTAAGGATAGTAGTACTGACGGTAGTAACGTTCAGTGAAGCCACCACTGAAAAGAGGAAAAGAAGACCAAGCCAGTCCACTGAGAAAATGTAGCATGCCTGGAACACGCGTAGCCCTCAGGGTGGATCTATTGCGAAAGCCAGCATACCAGGCCCAAATTCCCAGATTCATGTGACTAAACGTATCGGAGATTCATTTGAGTTGTTGGCCTCTCCCAGCCACTTTAGTCCCCTCGTACACAGGGCATCATCCAAATCTCTCCCATGGAACGTTTCTTTTCCGGTCCAAAAAACTGACAAGGCCGCCCATCGGGTCTGGTTGACCACATGGCCCCCGTATGTATTGTACATACATACCTGTTGTAGGACAAACCAAATTTCAGAAACAGCGGGATATGAGAGCCTGTTCCATTGATATATATAATGATCAACTTCACGATAAATATCAGTGGACTATTTATTACTTCGGTTTTCAATACACTTCACCTTTCCTTCCCTTTTTTTTTTCGCCTATCAATACTCATTCCGCGTGAACAACGTAAATATATATTTCTTGAGAATGATCTCCAGTCAAGGACAATCAATTATCTACGCAGATTACCTTTATGTCGTCAGCTTAGGTAGCATACATGAAATGGAAAAACTTATTGATGTGCTCTACGGTGGCGAAACGTCCCGGGCCATTAATAAAATACATCTGAGTCGTTGGTAGCCAAGGCGATGTTCTCTCACACGTATGGTTATTCTAGGCGCCACCGGATCATCTGCCTCGGCCATCTTCTCATGATGGATATGTAACTCTAGAATCAGAATATCTGACAGATGATGAGAGACGATGATAGCCCGTTGAAGAGCATTCAGTATCGTGCGGTGGTTGGATTGAACTCTGTGTGTAGTTGTTGAACGATGCATATATAAAGCCACTAGGGTGATGGATATGGTTTAGAACCGTCTACTTCCATGTCAAGTGCAATTTGGTAGTCTGCAAAGAGGCACTCCTACCTAATTGGTGACCAGCATTAGACTTTATGGCAGCCTTCAAGCCAAGCCACGATTATCTGTGGAGAACAGCCGCATAATCAATTTGTTAGTCTGTTAAAAAACAAGCACATATATCTCTAGATAGGATGTCAAACATTGTTGTGGACATGTATACTATAATAATAATGAAAGACCAGGTAAACCGTGAAAGGATAATGTACCCAATGCAGTCAATGCATCGGCGTCTCCGTTAATACCAAAAAAAAAAAAAAAAAAAAACAGCAGCAAACAATACCAGCGCCAGTGTCCGGTTAGCCAATTCCCATACTCTGCCATAAACGAAACTGGTTACGTCTCTCTAAATGAATCTTGCCTTGCATCTATGCAACAACAGCATCCTGGATCTCACTGTAGATAGCGCCAAGCTCCTCAGCGAGCAACTTCTCGGCCTTGTTGACCAGTCCGTCAAAGCGGTCCTTAAGGTTGTTGCTGCCGGCCTTGTAACCACCCTTGGTGACGATCTCGGTGTAGTTGTCGGCACCACCACCGTTCCAGGCGAGGAGCTGAAATATACCAATTAGCAACTTTCTTCATCATACCAGAAGGGACAATGTGACTTACGTTGGGAGTGTCAGATGGGATATCAGTAAGAGCGCCCTGGGTGGCGATGGAGATGATATCCTTCTTCAGCTTCGCAGGAGTAAGCTCATCGACAGCGAATGCGGAGTCCTGAGAAGGCTGCAGCGAAACGAAGTAGGCCAGCAGACCAGCAATGTGAGGAGAGGCCATCGAGGTTCCGGAGATGGTGTTGACAGCGTGCTTGCTGCCAGTCCAGGTGGAGAGAATGTTGAGACCCGGAGCAAAGATGTCGGTGCACTTTCCGTAGTTGGAGAAGTAAGCACGTTCATCCTGAAGAGTGGAGGCACCGACAGTGATGGCATTCTCAGCGGCAGCAGGGGAGTAGTTGCAGGCATCAGCATTGTCGTTACCGGCAGCAACGGCGAAGTGAAGACCAGCCTCAACACCAGCATTGACAGCGTCCTCAAGGGTCTTAGACTTGCCACCACCAAGACTCATGTTGGCAACGCTACCCTTGAAGCCCTTCACCTTGCCGTCTTTGGCGTCCTTAGCCTTCTTGAGATGGGATTGGACGGCCCACTCGACACCCAAAACGACATCGGACATAGTGCCAGAACCGCTGGACCTCAAGACCTTGACGGCATAGATGTTGGCCTTCTTGGCAACACCGTACTTCTTACCAGCGATGGTTCCGGAGCAGTGGGTTCCGTGTCCATTGCCATCCACATCCTCATCATTGCTAGGGATGGTCTTGCCCCAGTGTGCGCGATCCTCGAAATCGACATGGTCAATGTTGATACCAGTGTCAATAGTGTAAGCATCGACACCCTCACCACCTTCTGACGCATACAGGTATTTGTTGAAGGTGCCAAACGAGAGGCTGTCACGGTGAGAGATACGAGCCAAGCCCCAGGGAGCATTCTTCTCGGTTGTCTCCTCCATGGTGTGAACTTCGATGTCTTTCTCGATGTATTCAACCTTGGACACACTGTCAGCTTAATAGTTCAAGAAACGATTAGGCAGATGGGGGAAACCTACATCAGGATGTCTCCGGACTTGCTCGATCACATCCTCATGGAAATGTCCAGAATAGCCCACCAGCGACCCGGCGATATCGAAGGTGTTCTTGAGACCGAGATAAAGGTCATCACTGAAACCAAAGAGAGAGCGCTTCTTCAGGTCGATGCGTCCAGTCATCGAGTCGTGGATGTCCTGCACCCAGGTGTGATGAGCAGCAGCCGTTTCAGCGGAGACATGCTTCTTGAAGACGACGATGTAGGAGTCTGGAACCTCTTTGGCATTTGAGGCAGAAAGAATGGGAGCCGCTCCGTTGTGAATGGAGTCAACAGCAACGGGGGAGGCCGCTGCCAATAGTGGCAGCAGGGAAAGGCTGAGGATGCCTCTCATGATGGTCAACAGGAGCGAGGTCTAACACAACGTACAGAAGGGAGAAGGGGGTTCCAAGAGGGAAAAATACAGATGGAGATGGATATAAAAGAAAGAAAAGAAGGGAGGATGGAACGATGATAAGTTGGGGAGGGTTTAAAAGGCAGAAGGAGGAGGAAGGATGGATGGATGAGGAGGAGTTGGGGAAGAAGAGGATGGGAGCAGGTGTAAGATAGCTGGGCTTAAGAGGTCGATCCCCCAAGCAGGCAAGGGCAGCGGAGTATGATGCAACCGGGATACGGTAATTTACAACGATGACACAACTTTACTGAGGAGGTGCCGCGCGTCGATCTCTCCCGACTAGCGCGGTCGCAAGACCTGGGGTATGGCGGTAAGAGGGTATGGATCCCCAAAAAGGGACCTTTCGGAGTGATTAGTCGCCCCAGTAAATAACGCTCAGGTTCCATGGATGAACGCCCTCGGGGGACGAAGGCACAATGGTGTCGAAAAATGAGGCGAATGAGTGGAGTCTGCAGCCTGTATTCTGCAAGTATGTTTGGGAGCTCTTCCAAGGATAGCTCGAGTGGTGAGTCAACGATGAACAAGGTACCCATTCTGGAGTAACTGCCCCAGTTGATTTGTTTGGTTTAACCGCCGTGTCGTACTTTCTACAGACATATGTACATACAGATATGGGTGAAATATCCCTCTCAACAAAGCCGAAAGTGATCCTTCACCGATAGGTAGTAATATCCTATGGTAGTTGTGAAAATAAATCCTAAAATCCTGTTGTCATCAAGGTACTGCAGGTACAGTACCTGACCAACCCCCTCAAAGTAATACTGCTTCTTAGTAGGTTCCTGATACGAAAAGAGTTGGCATGTTAGGTCAATGGCGTCTGGCGACTGGTCGCCACCACCAACCATCTTCCCGGGCAACCCGAGTCGCGTGCCATGGGAGCACGCCCATCTTCCGTTGTTCGCCTGACTTTGATAAGAAGCCGATCGTCCGGAAACCGCTACAGACCATCAACGCATTACCGTTTCGTACAATACAGGCGGTCGGGCTTTGCGGTTGATAAGACATGCCTCCCCTTATCGATACCTGTCTCCACCAATGATGGACCGCCGACGGTCGGAGGCTTGTCACCTGATAATCATTAGGTCTGAGAGCTGGAAAATGCACCCATGCTCCGATGTGCCCCCGCTTAATGGCACTGCCTCCAGTGACGTTGGCATAAGACCGTCTATCACATTCAGGAACTATCCTGAGGGTGTAGAGGGAATTATCGCTCTCGACTCACAACCCCAATCTTGACCAGGATAATCCTCATTCCCGATGCCGAATTTGACACAAACGACCTTGCCCCCATCCCTAGAGTAGTGCAATTGTTGAGCGCCTGACTCCTCAGCTCTCCCTTCCGTTCCCCTCCCTCCCACTACGGCTGTGCCATGTTGGGAACCTGTGTGGATTGCAGTCACTACTAGCTACCATAACGCATACCAATGCAGACCGCCTTCATCCTTACGCTAAGTGCTGGTTCCTGGTGTTTCATGGTCACTGGCCATCGAATAGGTAGTCGGGGATAAGCTTCAGCGGCGCAATGAGCCGGTCCACTTCCACCCTCTCGCGGTCCCCGTCCTCGTCAACCCAACGGCCGTCGGCCCCCGAATTAAGTCCTGTCCTCGATAGGTTGACAGTTATCTGCGGGGAGGATATAGTAACGTCTCAGATTGCCTCCACTGCAACCGAATGCCTGCTTCGCCTTCGTCACACATTCATCGATAACAAGCACCCAACAGAGGCAAAGGAGACCTTCCGACATCTGCATGGGTTTCAGACCCTGCTAGACCTTCTACGAAAGATCTCACAAGGTTATGATTCGCAAGCGTCATCCAAGGATGAGAGGAAGGATCTGCTATCCGTGTACAAAGATGCGTTGGCAGTTCTGGCCGAGAGCTTGAGGGAGCATGTCGGGAACAAAAGGTACTTTGCGAACCGGATCGCCGGGGGAGGTGAAGTGGCATTGGAAGAAGCTTTCAAGATCTTGGCTAGGAAGGTAGACTCCATCCAAGGTGATACGGAGCAATTTTACGGTGCGATCTTAGCAGCGGCCCTTTGCCAGGAGACAGTTGCCAGTATATTCACAACCCTGAGTACTAAATTCCAAACTGCCGAGGAGCTATCTTTGGATGGCATTAGAGAAGAAGTGGACCGATGCGTAGGAAAATCAGAAACAGTCGAAGTGCCAGAGCTCCTGGGCCCATTTGTTCGAGTATGGCTTACCCAGTCGTCTGCCTCCATATCCGAGCACAGAGTCCAGAGACTAGCCGTGCCGGCATGTCTAGTCCAACTCGCCGCACAGTCTCAGAGGAATATCACGATGCTGCACTCCACTGGCATTATAACACTGATTCTGCCGCTTTTATTCAACGAGGAACGCCCGGAACCCGAGAGACAACTCTATCAAGAGTTAGCAAAAATGCTCTGTGCTCTGGGAATCAGTAACTTGAATGATGTGGCTGCTTTATACCAACAAGCCCATGATTGCCCCAAGGTCCTTCAGTTCCTGGTTGATGTTTTGAAGTGCTCTAAGGAACCTCCTTCAATACAGTTCGATTTATCGTTGCATGGTTATTGCTCTTTAGAGTTATCAACCATGGGCCGCTCATTCCCACCTGCAACTTCTTCTGGTTATACTCTAGCAGTCTGGGCCCGCTTTGACCAATTTGACAAGAATACTCACACGACAATCTTTGGAGCCTTTGATGCCAGCCAAACTTGCTTCCTGCTCGCATACCTTGAAAAGGATACTCGCAACTTTATATTGCAGACCTCGATCAAGGGAGCTCGTCCTAGCGTTCGATTCAAGTCCATAGCCTTCGAGCCTAGCCGATGGTACCATATCTGTGTGGTCCATAAAAAGCCCAGGCCACCGTCATATTCTCGGGCGTCTCTCTTCATAGATGGTGAATTTGTTGAGCAATTGCGGATAGACTATCCATGCATGCCGGTTCCCAGCGCTCCCAATAGGCCGCCTAGAGTTCAATCGTTTTTCGGGACTCCACAAGATCTGGCTATGAGACTTGGCAAGGGGATCTCTACCTCGCGATGGTCCCTAGCTAATGCAATTTTATTTGAAGAAGCATATAGTGACGACATGATTGCCGTGTTTTACAATCTCGGTCCACGTTACTACGGGAACTTTCAAGACTGCTTAGGTTCCTTCCAGACGTATAAAGCTTCCGCGGCCTTGAATCTACGTAACGAACATATGCACCCCGGTAAAGAGGAGTCATCAGACATTGTCACTGCTATCCGGCGAAAGGCAAGCACTCTTATTCGCGAAGAATGCATAGCAGTTAATGTTTCTCCACTATCTGTTCTAGATGATGATGATAGTAACAATATTGATGAAACCCGACTCCTCAAGTATCTCTCTAAACAGGCAGCCAAAAACCTACATCAGCTAACAAAGTCTGGAGGAAATGCAGTAGCGGTCAATGGCGGGACCCCTGCTATTAACGATGCTTTAACCCAGGCCCATGGTATCGGTATATTAACGGGGGACCCTGTAGTTGCGATACCGCAAGCCTTGGATGACGCGAGTTGGCGCATCGGCGGCTGTGCGGCGGTTCATTTGAGCTTGGTTCATGCGGCCAGGAGTGCTGAATCTACACTTTTGGCGGTCGAAGCGCTGTATGAAGCTGTACAAGACAATTGGCGAAATAGCGAAGCAATGGAAAAGGAGAATGGTTATGGAATCCTTGCGGCATTGTTGCGCGAAAAACTGGCATGGCCAGCAACGGGTGCTACCACGGGCTCGAAGACGTCCAACGTCTGCTCCACATACGAAGAGCGATCTACACTGGCATTCGACCTCCTTCGTTTGACCCTTAAGTTTGTCGGCTATGATTTTGACCAACCGAATCGCTCCATCATCACGAACCCACTAGCATATAGAGTCTTGCTCGTTGACCTGGAGGTGTGGAGATATGGCGAGATGTCTCTTATTGAGTTGTATTATTCCCAATACTGCATATTCGCCAGTGAAAGCAAGTTCCGTCGGTTCAATGCAAAGCGCCTCGCCCGCATGCGTAAGCCTTTCATATTGACTTATTGGTCGTCGCATGTTTACATTTTTATACTAATAGAAAATAGGTGTTAATAAAAAGCTACTCGAGGCTCTTAAGGGTGAGGAATTTACAATGGAGGGACTGCGACTGTTTACTTCGGCCTTTGGATCGTTGATGGAAGGCTGCCTGTCAGCAGATTTGCTCCGTTTCCTAGCACTCTTCATCACCTATGGTATCCACAAGCCAAAGGAGCCAAGCAGGTTACAGAAAAAAAAGAGCCTCCGATTCACTACTGCTGCAAGGCAGCCCACGCCCAATCCCGATAAGAAGTACGTTTCAAGCACTACGATAGCGATAGAGATGCTTAGGATGTATTGCTCTCTTCTATGCAATGCACATGACCTGGGCCCGATTAAGAGGTTTGCTAAAGCTGTTACAAACAAGGTTTGTAGAGCGAATACCGCCCCTCATGTAACGAGTGTTGACTATTATGCAGTGGCTTTTATACCTCATGTGTGAGGGCGAGCCTGAGATTGTCATTTTGGCGACGAAGATCATGGCTCGTTTGATAGTAATCCACGGGGCCAGCTACAGCAAGAAGTTCAACGATAAGACTGGCGGTTATATTATAATGCGACATTATCTAAATAAATGGTGGAGCATCCCAATAATGTGGCCTATCTGCTTTTCTATACTATTTGGTGTTGATATTGGCAAGGCCAATGTTGATAAACCATTTGATCAGCTTTCTCTTTCCGAGCTTTTCTGCCTCAATGGGGAAGCCCAGGTTGTCTATCCTGAGATGCTCCCAGTCATCTCCGACATGTTGCAGTCTGGACTGAAGCAAACAGTATTCGCCGAGGACTTCTCGATGGTCAATGAACAGAACCCCGATGCTCTCCAGGATCGACTCGCTCAAATCACCAAACCGTCCATGTCATCTCCTACACCTGCCGGTACTACGGGTGCACAACTGTCGCTTTTAACCTCTGTTGTTGATTTTTTTGCTCTAGCGCAGATAAAGTCACAAAGCTACCGTGAATTTGCAGCACGCCCTGAATACGTTCAAAGCCTAGTTTCTATACTTTTCCCCGTTGTTATCGGCTCCGATCCCGTGAGTCCGAATGTTGAATTGAGCTCTCATACGGGTAGTCTAGCGTTTGATGATCATAATTTGGTGTCTCGCCCACGATCACGAAGGACATCTGAACTACGAACAACGACTGTCGAACAGCCTGGGAGCCATGATGATAGTGGTGGACCTCTCAGACGTGGTTCATCTTTCATCCTAGTCACCTCCGATCGAGGGAAGCATATGCCATCCTCTCTTCGCATACGTCGTGCTTTTCCGCATATGAGAATTGAAAGCAAAGGCACGACTAGCCATCCTTTGATAACTGCTATTCTTAATCTAGCCCTTGCTGTGTTTTCCGAGCAGCTCCTGGAAAGGAAGGAGTTCTCTGGTCTTGGACTCTACCTTAGGACGCCTCCAGGATTCCCCGAGCACCAGGCGTACTTCAACTCCTGGGTGTTGCGCAGCCTTCTATCTACACTCCAGGATGCCATATTCTCAAGGGTCGAGTTGTTGTCCGAACCACGCGTGCTAACTAACTTGGGGCGCTTCGCAACGCATTTAGGGGAAGCAGTCTATGAGGGTTGGTTTGTTGACGGCGCCACAGCTACTCTTGAATTCGCAGGAACAATCTTGGAATATCTGCAACGACCTGAGGTCTCGCGCCTAAAAAGTATACGGCTTTGCAGTCAGGCGATAGCAACAATTCGTTCGACAGTATTTCGTGTGGTTTTATTGGGGCTATCAGAAGTTGATGGTACAGAGGCACTTTCATTCCTAAAACGGCTCTCATATTGGCAGGTAGTACTGCTTTCTGGGGAAACTCAGCCCGATCATCTGCAGTTACTGTGCTATCTTCTCTACACGAAATTAATCGACAGGAATGAAAATGTACGCCTAGCGACGGCCGGTCTTTTTAGAATCATGCTAGTGCAAAAGCCGATAGAGATGTCCGCCATCCTAAGCCAAGCGACACCGCCTTTACAGCAGCGTCTTTCCGGTGGATTTGAGGCTCTTGTTGGCATGGATGATATTGCCTTTTTGCAATGGGTGGACGACCAGGACGACGATCTGAACGCTCTGTTCTTCGGAATCCTATCAAAAGCTTGGGAAACTTTTGTCCAAGAAGAAAATACGAGTTCAGAGTCATCAGCTCGCACTCGAATTTCTAGGCGTCAAGAAAAGCTGAAACAGTGGGGCCAGGTGGAAAAGCTCGGTGAAGAAGTGATACGCAAGCACGAGGCTACATTCCCTCACTGGGTATCGAACATATCAGCCTCAGAGTTTCTGAAGTATCAAAGAGCACTACAGGATCAAGCGGATAGTTCCACATTTATGTGGGCGGCACTGGCGCATCTGAATATGGACTTGCGACGTTATGGGGGTGTTTTTGCTGAACAGAAGGAGCGAAGATGGCGCCTTGACCAAACTGAAGGGCGAAGCCGTATGCGACTACGTACTGTGCCGGATGATTCAGGGGATCGTCAAGATTATCAACCGAAACGGAAGGCTTCAGAGCCTCCGGCGATGAGGTTAGACACGAATGTCACATCTTCAAACGGTGACTCTCTAGGTCTGACTCCCACTGCCATGGCTGCCGACCACTCGGAGGGCAATCCTCAGGGTATTGGTCCCGACAGTAGGAGCGTATTTGAAGAAAGCTTCGAGATGATTGACGACCCGAAGGCTGATCTTGAAGAATATGAAGACAAGAACAGAAAGGTCATGAGAAGCCTTCACCGTGGTGACCAAGTCGATAGCGTATGCAACATGTCTCGCATTGTCGGATTGGAGGCATGTGAAGGCCTTTTAATCCTTGGGAAAGACCACATCTACATTCTAGATAACTTTTTCCAGAGGTCAGATGGCGAGATTGTCAATGTCTGGCAAGCTCCTACAGAGGAACGAGACCCTTATGTTCGCATGATCACTGGCCGGGAATCCAATGAACGTAAATCACAGGAGCATGAAACTAGAAGTTGGAAGTGGTCGGACCTGATCAGCGTCTCCAAGAGGCGGTTTCTTTTTCGTGATGTGGCCCTCGAAATATTCTTTACCGACGGAACTAGCTATTTGCTGACCCTCATCTCGTCGCCCGCTCGGGATAACCTTTGCAGCCAACTTGCAGCTAAGGCGCCGCAAGTGACAGGGAGCGTTGGCCACTCGCGACCGGAAGATGTCTGGAGATTCGAAACCCTTCGGAGCCCGGAAGATGCACCTCAGTCTCTTGGGTCAAGATTTGCCAGTGTCTTTGGTCATTCACCGGCGCATCCTGCAACCCGGAAGTGGGTGAAGGGTGAAATTTCTAACTTTCATTATCTCATGCTTATCAACACCCTCGCTGGAAGGACATTTAACGATCTGACCCAGTACCCTGTTTTCCCTTGGGTGCTTGCTGATTATACAAGCGAGGAGCTGGATTTGACTAACCCACAAACCTTCCGTGACCTATCGAAGCCTATGGGTTGCCAAACTCCTGAGCGAGAGGGCGAGTTCAGAGAACGATACAAAGCTTTCGCAGAGATGGGGGCGGGCGATTCTCCTCCATTTCATTACGGAACTCACTATTCTTCAGCAATGATTGTCAGCTCATATTTAATCCGTCTTCAGCCGTTTGTAAAGTCATACCTCTTACTTCAGGGTGGCACATTCGATCATGCTGACCGTCTTTTCTACTCTATTGGAAAGGCTTGGGAATCCGCTTCACGCGGGAACATGTCGGACGTGAGAGAGCTTATACCCGAATTTTTCTACCTCCCTGAATTCCTCGTCAATTCCAATAAATTTGATTTTGGAGTCCTACAGAACATGACTACTGCGATTGATTCTGTGGAATTGCCACCATGGGCCAAGGGCGATCCAAAAATCTTTATCCAAAAACATCGTGAAGCGTTGGAAAGCCCTTATGTGACTCAGAATCTGCACCATTGGATTGACTTGGTATTTGGTTGCAAACAGAAAGGCGAGGCCGCCATTGAAGCGGTCAATGTTTTCCATCACCTGTCATACCAAGGGGCCAAAGATGTTGATGCTATCGACGACCCTGTGGAACGACTAGCTACAATTGGCATCATTCACAACTTTGGGCAGACACCATACCAGATCTTCAATCGCCCTCACTCTCAGAGGGAGGATGTACGACACAAGGTCGCACGACTGGATCGCCTCGCCGAGTCTCTTACACAGCAGCCACTTTCACTTCTAGGTACGTTGTTGACTACCATTTCCCCCCTTCCTTACTTGCTAACATAGGAATCAAGACATCGGTGAACGGGTATCTTCGCTTTCAATGAAGCAGGATCGATTGTTGTGTGCTGCAGCTCTCAGGTTAAATATCCCACCGGCTTATGATAAGTATATGGAATGGGGCTTCTTCGATGGTAGTGTGAGATTCTATTCCGCGGATAGTCGAAAGGTACGTCACAGTCACTATTTTCTTTTCTTCTTACCTTTTTCTGTATAGAATACTAAAGACTACAGCTTCTTGGACACTTCGAACATCTTCATATTGGCCAGCTATCAGCTGCAGTATTTGCAGATTCTCGTACGCTAGTCACCTCAGGAGCAGATTGTACCGTCTCGACATGGACCTTCACCTCCACAGCAAAGTCTGTAGATTTGCAACCTGCAGGATCTCTCTTCGGACATCGCTCGCCTGTCACGGTCTTAGCAGTGTCGCGGTCATTTAGTGTTCTTCTTTCTGCGTCTACTGATGGTCAAATCATGCTTTGGGATCTCAACCGCCAAACCTTCGTTCGCGAGCTTCCGGCCAAAGGACATGTAGATGTGAGCTATAATTTACATATCATAACCACCTGGCCCCCAGTTGCTGATCTATCCTAGTGTGCGAGAATCAACGATGTGACAGGGGAAATCGCAGTCTGTCGGGGAAGTCGTATCAGCCTCTACACACTCAATGGAGCACTATTGCTAGACCAGGCTGTGTGCGAGTCAGACGATGATCAAGTGTTGTCCTGTGTCTTCTACGAGGGCATCAACAATGAGTGGCAGGAGCGAGAGCTTCTCTTCACTGGTCACCGGCGAGGTGTCGTCAATGTATGTGCCCTCTCAGAAATCCTGGCCTCGTGGCCTGTTCGTTTTTAACTGGAGGTTTACCATGCTCTAGATATGGAGTAAAATCGTTCACAATGGACGTTTCGAGTTTGAATTAATTCGACAACTTCATCACACCGACAGCAGTCGTGACAATGGTGCCAATATCTCCTCCGGTATCAGCTGTATTCTTACGCTGCCACATGTGGTCTACACTGGAGATGAAGCGGGGAAAGTGGTAAGTGCGGTTCGGCCCAACACATATTGACAGAAGCTCACCCAAATAATAGTATGAATGGAGCTGTGTCCAGCGTCGTTAGAAGGATATCCAGTGCTCGATTACACTACCTCCCACACGGCCCGTATAAACTCACGGTTGGGGTAGTCGGATATAGCGTACTCCCTCTTTTCCATCCTGCCCATTTTCCTTTCTTATTACTTCCTTTCCTGGTTGCGTCTTCCAGCCATACTCCATTTTTCTTTCTTCTCTTCTTTGCGGCTTTATATATTTGTGGCGTGGGACATGACGAATGATTATATACTGGTTTACAAAATATAGATGGCGGCGGTTAAATTATCCCGAAAGGGAAAGCCAAAAGTTTCCGGTGGGACGGTTGGGTCTTATGGTATTCTATACACTCTAGGTAATGAAAAGCCAACACCTACAGATGACATATCGTCTATCATGATTTCGCAATTTGGTTTCGATAGTAGGCCTACCCTCTCTGTGTTTCTTACTTCGCCTGTATACTCTAAAGTAGCGACAACCACACACACACACACACACCTAACTGGTTCCGGCAGACTCCACTTCGATAGCAGAGATTGCCACAATGGGGGCCACATCTTACCCCAGACTGGTCTGGTCTAGGCTATACATAGATCTGGTGATGTGTTGGAACTTGGAAAAACTATAACTTTTACCCCTGGCATCTTTTTAGTTGAGAGGTCCATTAAACATAGTATGTATGTGTATCTATATCTATATATCCTCCCGACATGTGGCTAGCTGATGAATCGAGGCTGAGGTGTCAAAGCTCTGCATTGAGCTTTTGTAGTATAGATTTAGTGGCTATTTAATTGTCTAGATTCTACTCCGTACACCATTCCTAATTGGCATACGTTGCGGTGGTGCTCTTCATACCTTGCAATTCTACTGCAGTACATTTCTGGGTCGGGTACAGGAACGAGACGGGATGGCCGAGAAGCATTGAATCCAGGACATTTTGGGAAACATAGAATGTGGATTGCTTTCCCATGCAGGTACTACCGAGTACTAATTTTGTCATATCCTGGGGAAGGGTCAATTTATGCCACGATCGCCGGATAAATCTGTAGCGCTTTGTCCTTCCTTGTTCAGTATTAACCGCGATTGGTATCAATCAATATATTGCATATCTTTGTTTTTCTGCCAGGATCTGGTCATATTTTTAATCCCTTTATGAGATGTACCATTTGAGGAAATCGTTCACTACTAGATAGAATATGCCGAGTAGAACGAATGTTTGCGATGATGTTCCTTGTTCTGATTAATTCCTTTGTCAGCTGCTCACCAAATCCTTAGTTACCATTGATAATACGGAGTCACTAGGTACGGGACTACTCCTCCGTAGTGTCTTCGGTGAAAGGGGAGGGACCTCCATTGAGCGGGGTTTTGTTTGGCGGGATACCAGGTGGACCGCTATACTCCGATGGCCATGCGTTGCCGGAGCACACTGCGCCGACTGAACCGGCTTCTGTTCAGGGGATTCTTGAAGGGGGTTACAATAGCCGTTGTGGATGGTCGCAAGATTTGATGTGAGAAGCAAGTATAGAAACCAAAAGCTGATTTCGCTTCTCTCATGGAGGGTTTGTAGAGAGAGCAGTTCAGTAGTAGTACCTACTAGTTTCGCTGTCACAGTGTCATTTATGCATGTACTGTACGTATCGTACCGGTGACAGTACGGCCTCACTGCCTGAGGCCATGGGTTCCGACCAGGCATAGCGTCATCGTTGCCCCACCATCCCACCTCCCATAGTCAGAAAACCACTGGTTTGCTCCCCTCCGATGCTTCTGCGTCTTTCTGCGATCGCCACGTCCGCCCGTTTTATTTCTACTCCGGCATTTCTTCCTGGACATCGATCCTTCCTTCTTCATACTTTGCTTTCCAATCTTCCCATCTTCTGATTATACCCCCCCGTTGTTCGTGATACCACTCCAGCTTTCACAATGTCTTCTTCTCTTGAGCAGCTCAAGGCCACCGGCACTGTAAGCATTCATTTACCCCTGGTGCCATCTGTATTGCCTCCCAAACTCTGTTGCTAACTTTCTTGCTTAGGTCGTCGTCTGCGACTCTGGTAAGTCTCTCAGTCACTGGGATTTCACCGTCATTATAAGTGATTCAATCCAAGTTAACAATTGATTCTTCAAGGCGACTTTGCCAGTATGTCCATCCCTGTCTTTCCATATTCCCCATCTGGTCATAATCTAACGGAAATGTAGCCATCGGCAAGTACAAGCCCCAGGATGCCACTACCAACCCCTCTTTGATCCTGGCTGCTTCCAAGAAGCCCGAGTACGCCGAACTTATCGACTCCGCCGTCCAGTACGGCAAGAAGCACGTACGTCACCCTCGAGCTTCAGTCTGAATTAATTTCCATATGAGACCAGCGGCCTAACAGTTTACATAGGGCAGCACCGTCGATGAGCAGGTCGACGCCACCCTTGACCGTCTCCTGGTTGAGTTCGGCAAGAAGATCCTTGAAATCATCCCCGGAAAGGTCTCCACCGAGGTTGATGCTCGCTTCTCTTTCGACAAACAGGCCTCCATCGACAAGGCCCTTCACATCATCAAGGTATGGCATAGTCAGATGTACTATGGTTGTAGTACGCGCGTGGCTAACATTATACGTAGCTCTACGAGGAGATTGGTATTCCCAAGGACCGTATCCTGATCAAGATTGCCTCCACCTGGGAGGGTATCAAGGCCGCTGAGGTCCTCCAGCGTGACCACGGCATCAACTGCAACCTGACCCTCATGTTCTCCACCGTCCAGGCCATCGCTGCTGCCGAGGCCAATGCTTACCTCATCTCTCCCTTCGTTGGCCGTATCCTTGACTGGTACAAGGCTGCCCACAAGCGTGACTTCGCTCCTGAGGAGGACCCCGGTGTCAAGTCTGTTCAGAGCATCTTCAACTACTACAAGAAGCACGGCCACAACACCATTGTCATGGGTGCTTCCTTCCGTAACACTGGTGAAATCACCGAGCTTGCTGGCTGTGACTACTTGACCATCTCCGTAAGTTTTGAGCGCCATTTGCTATGACTTGAAAAATCACAGTACTAACGGACACGTGTAGCCCAACCTCCTCGAGGACCTCTACAACTCTACCGCCGCTGTCCCCAAGAAGCTCGACGCCGCCAGCGCCGCCGGCCTTGACATCCCCAAGAAGACCTACATCAACGACGAGGCTCAGTTCCGCTTCGACTTCAACGAGGAGGCTATGGCTGTCGAGAAGCTGCGTGAAGGTATCTCCAAGTTCGCTGCCGACGCCGTGACCCTGAAGGACATCCTCAAGCAGAAGATCCAGGCCTAAAGGGAGACTGTCACTTGCATTAATTAACGTTATGTCCATGCAATGTCTTCATGTAAAAATTGGCGACCTACAAAATTGGTTTAGTAGATACGAATCATGAATGAGTTATATCTTTCACTTTTCTTCCCACGTGTGGCTGCATCTTGCGGGCCTAGATAAGCTTGTTTGATCAGGATTGTAATTGGAGACCCAGTGGTAGGAAAGCAACAAGCTACCAGCCACCAGCATGGAGACGGGACTTGTCGATCTTGAGCTATCGGACCGGAAGTGGAAACGGGCAGTTGTCAAGCTCCATTGCGTGCTTGAAGGCAGGGTCTAGCCGAGGCACAAATGGAACCAACTTGGTTTTAACGCTGAGGGACATTGTATCGTCGGTTGCTACGAACAGAATACGCCCTGACATTTGCAGCCGGAAAACTGCATGAACCGTAGCTCGCCTGGGGACTGGACAGCTGGTCTGCATTAGTAGACTGTAGCACACCTCTCCCTGCATGGTGGGGTCACTTTCGGATGGGGAAACCGGAACAAAGTAGAGCCACCGCTATTGACGACTACACAGTACAGGGTACAGAGTACAAAGTGAACGGACATGGCTGGAGATCTGGACCAGCGGTGCTTAGGAATCGCCGGAAGAGGGAGGTTGACTCGGATTTTCATTTCGTGCAAATACACCACCAGGACGTCATTCCCGAAACGACCCCGCCAAGTGGGGGTGCATTTTCTTGGGTTTCCCGCCGATTTTTCGTACTGTAGGCGGTAACATCAATACCAAGGAGGGACGAACAGCACTGGAAGCTCATCGAATAACTGGTCCGAGTAGTAGTACTGCTTGAAGCTAGTCAGTCAGGATGGAATTCCGTCATATTATTAGTTACCCCTCATCCCACCCCCTTCGCTCTCTTTTCTCCTCTTCTTTCTCCCTTCCATCTTCATCCGTGTATCAATCTATCTTCCCTTCACCTTTATTTTCCCCCCTAAGAATTTAAATTAATTCTCAACCGTCAAAATGGTCAAGGCTGGTAGGTACCCGTCATCTTTATCTGTGTTGTTTGCTATGTTATTGGCTCTGCGTGTGAAGGATCCACGATCGACCGTGGCCGGGGACCTTGAGTGAGCAGATTTGAGCACCTTGTGAAGCAAACCCCCTCGCCTTGCGTGAGCTTCCCAGCCTATCACTGGGCCGCATCCCAGGCCCTGCTTGGGATTTGCAGATTTAGATCTAGATCTCAACCCCAAGGTGCTCATGTGTCATGGTCCCTCGCTCTGTTATGGTTTTACCTGTTCCAGACTGGTCGGCTGGATCGAGTGGTGGACAAGCTTCACCCCATGCGTAAGAGCTTAGACGATGGATCGTTTCCATTGATCGACTACCCCATCGGATCTGGAATCTTTCCGATTTGGAGGAGTCGCTTTTTCTTTGGCACTGCTAGCTCCGAAACGAGAATGAGGACTGACGGCTCTAGTTGCTGTTCTCCGCGGAGACTCCAAGATCTCCGGCACCGTCACCTTCGAGCAGGCGGACGCGAACTCCCTTACCACCGTCTCCTGGAACATCACCGGCCACGACGCCAACGCTGAGCGTGCCTTCCATGTCCACCAGTTCGGTGACAACACCAACGGCTGCACCTCCGCTGGCCCTCACTGTATGTTCCTGGCTTCCCGGCTGCCTTTTCCTAAGCATGCGTGTCACAGGCTGACGACCGTCATTTAGTCAACCCCTTCAGCAAGGAGCACGGTGCTCCCGAGGATGAGAACCGCCACGTCGGTGACTTGGGTAACTTCAAGACCGATGCTGAGGGTAACGCCGTCGGCTCCAAGCAGGACAAGCTTATCAAGCTGATCGGTGCCGAGAGCGTCCTTGGCGTAAGTTCATCTCGAAGGTCGACGGCGCAAGTGCAACAGGCTAATCATCGTAGCGTACTCTCGTCGTCCACGCCGGTACTGACGACCTCGGCCGTGGTGGCCACGAGGAGTCCAAGAAGACTGGCAATGCTGGTGCTCGCCCCGCTTGCGGTAAGTGACTGGCTCACTTGATGAGACCTAACGCAGAATTGTATATTAATGGTGTCTAGGTGTCATTGGCATTGCTGCTTAAACACATAGTTCTAGTCTAATCTAGGATGTGAAGTGCTGGATCAGAATTAGAACAGTCTGCAAGTCAAACTGGGAGGTATCTGGGCGATGCTCAAAAGTTGATCTGGACGGATCTTCTATGTGGTTCCTGGAGGACTGATAGGAGGTTCTGGTCCCGGCGAATTCAATTCTAGAAATTGTATAGGAATGATGACACGAGTTGAATTTTCATTCGATATTCTTTAGATAATTGATTCCCTTGCACCAGTAGATTTGCCTCGAATAGGACTAGTGTTCAGGTGGTTGAAATGAGGACAATCTCCCTTTGGCCAGACTGTTTTCTTCCCCCCACAAATCCCAGCGCAAGTCAGGTGTCCGCCGGGACTAGTCTGGAAGCTCCCCTTCCAACCACATTTCATTTCTCTGCCTACCCCAAACGCCTTTCCCCCCCCTATCAATAAACCTATTCTTTGGCAGTCCAGTCCTACTGTGATTGCTGTTTCTCTGTTCATTCTTTCCCCCGACTTTTATTTTTTATTATTTTTTTTTCTTAACACCAGGATTGATTGTCTCCCCACACTGGTTCCCTCCAGTGCCGTCGATCTTTTATTTTGTCTTATCATTGGTTGCTTGCCAGTATGCCTCTGGAAGCCCGCGTGAAATCTGTCCTGTCCGGCGACACCGTCGTGCTGTCGCATATCACCAATCCAGGACAGGAACGCACCTTGAGCTTGGCATATGTTTCAGCGCCCAGGTTGCGCAGAGAAGGCGATGAGGTGAGCAGGTTTTCCTTTGTGGTGTTTCCCCAATTGCTGCTCCCTCCGTTTGTTTGGGGTCAGGATAGGTGGCCTCTATCTCCGAGCGCCGAGCTCCAATTTTGACAAACATGCCACTTCTACTGCACTGATAGCCATCCTTCACTCTTTTGCTTTCTTTCCCCATTGCTACCAGAGTATCTATGGGAAGGTTTTCAGGGAGATTTCGCTAACTCTTGTTCTCTACAGTCCTATGCTTTCCAATCCCGTGAATTCCTTCGTGAGCTGCTCGTAGGAAAGGTCGTCCAATTTAACGTCTTATATACCATCCCTACCGGTGCCAAACGCGATTACGGTACAATCAAGCTCCCTACTTTTGAAGTCTTGTTGCCCGACATTAGCGTCCAGGAAGGATGGGTCCGCGTCCGCGAGGAAGCCGGTAAACGCGCCGACGAGTCCGAAGAGACCGCCGCCTTGTTACAGCGTTTGCGCGCTCTAGAGGAGCACGCTCAGTCCGAGGAGAAGGGTGTCTGGGCCGGAGCAGACAAGGGCCACACGGAGACCACCTATAAACTTTCCGATGGAAAGGCCCTCGTCGAGGAATATAAAAACAAGCCCCTGGAGGCTATCGTCGAGAGAGTCTTGAACGGGGATAGGCTGGTCCTTCGCCTGCTTCTTACTCCCCAGGAGCACCTGCAGGTTGTGGTTGCAGTCGCCGGTGTCCGGGCGCCAGCTGCCCGACGGGTGAACGCCGAGGGTAAGGAGCAGCCTGCTGAGCCGTTCGGAGATGACGCACACCAGTTCGTCGAGTCCCGGTTGCAGCAGCGTAAGGTCCAAGTGTCCTTGCGGGGTGTCACGCCTCAGGGTCAATTGATCGCAACCGTTCTCCATCCCAATGGTAACATTGCCAAGTTCCTTCTGGAAGAGGGCTTGGCCCGTTGCCACGATCTGCACGCTCCCCTTCTTGGTGCTGATATGGCTAATTTCCGCCGTGCGGAGAAGGCCGCCAAGGATGCTCGGAAGGGTCTGTTTACTGGTCTGGTCGCAAAGGGTCCTGCTGGCGGGGCCGCCGAGGACTACATTGTTAGCCGTGTGCTGAATGCCGATACTCTGTTCCTTAGAAACAAGTCTGGCCAGGAAAAGAAGATCAGCTTGAGCAGTGTTCGCCAGCCGAAGCCATCGGATCCTAAGCAGGCACCCTTCGCGGCCGATGCGAAGGAGTTTGCTCGTAAGAGGCTCATCGGAAAGCATGTTAAGGTGACCATCAACGGCAAGAAGCCTGCTACCGAGGGATACGAAGAAAGGGACGTTGCCACGGTCATCCAGGGAAATACCAACATTGCTTTGGCTCTTGTCGAGGCCGGATACGCTTCTGTCATCCGTCACCGTCAAGATGATGACGACCGCTCCCCCGACTATGATTCTTTGCTGATCGCTGAGGCTGATGCTCAGAAGGACGGTAAGGGAATGTGGTCCCCGAAGCCACCCAAGACGAAACAGTACCAGGACTACTCGGAGAGCGTCCAGAAGGCCAAGATGGAAGTTTCCATCCTCCAGCGGCAAAAGCGCGTGCCGGCTATCGTGGACTTTGTCAAGTCGGGCTCTCGTTTCACCGTTCTGGTGCCTCGTGAGAACGCCAAGCTAACCCTCGTCCTCTCGGGTATCCGCGCCCCACGATCGGCCCGTAACCCCAATGAAGCGTCTGAACCCTTTGGACAGGAAGCACATGACCTGGCGAACAGGCGTTGCATGCAGCGTGATGTTGAAATCGACGTCGAGACCATCGACAAGGTTGGTGGCTTCATCGGCACTCTGTACGTCAACAAGGAGAACTTCACCAAGGTCCTTCTCGAGGAAGGGTTTGCCACTGTTCATGCCTACTCTGCAGAGCAGTCCGGACATGCCACAGAGTACTTCGCAGCGGAGCAGAGGGCCAAGGAAGCCCGCAAGGGACTTTGGCATGACTGGGATCCTAGCAAAGATGTTGAGGAGCAAGAGGAGGAGACCACTGATAACAACACCGCTGATGAAGCTCCTCAGCGCCGCAAGGATTACCGTGATGTAATGGTTACTTACGTTGACCCCACCAACGGTCGCCTGAAGATCCAGCAGATTGGCACCGGCACCTCCGCGCTCACTGAGTTGATGAATGCATTCCGCTCCTTCCACCTGAACAAGGCGAACGAGACACCCTTGCCTGGCCCTCCCAAGGCCGGTGATTTTGTTGCCGCCAAGTTCACTGAGGATAATGAATGGTATCGCGCCAAGGTGCGTCGCAATGACCGTGAGAAACAGCAGGCCGAGGTGCTCTACATCGACTTCGGTAATTCCGAGGTTCTTCCCTGGTCTCGCCTCAGGGCCTTGAGCCAGCCTCAGTTCTCCGTGCAGAAACTCCGTCCCCAGGCCGTGGACGCGGTTCTCTCCATGGCTCAGCTCCCCGGTTCGGGTGACTACCTGCAGGATGCTGCCGAGTTCCTGGAAGAGCAGCTCTACAACCGGGAGCTTGTGGCCAACGTTGACTACGTTTCTCCCGAGGGTACCCTGCACGTTACTTTGATGGACCCCACCGAGTCCAAAAACTTGGACCACAGCATCAACGCTGACCTCGTGCGGGAGGGTCTCGCCATGGTGCCCAGAAAGCTGAAGGCCTGGGAACGTTCTGCCGCGGACACGCTGACCCACCTGCGTAGCCAGGAGGAAGAGGCCAAGCAGGAGAGACGCGGTATGTGGGAGTACGGCGACCTCACCGAGGACTAAAACGCTTTACTGGGACATTGAGTTCTGGAGGTGATGCAGGAAGGGAATTTTTGTGTATAAATATTTGCAGGTAATCTACAATGACTCACAGGAAATGAGCTGTGTATTATGTTCTTTCTTTTACTTTTGGTCATGTTATCCTATAGCATAGTTGACCGGGTTTTGAATATGAATGAATACCAAAAGTTGGGTGGGGATTTACCCCATGGAATTGCCATCCGCGGGATGCAGGGGTTTATGCATGAATTTCTGACATAAGCGGAACTAAAAGTTCACTAATGCCCGACCCCGACTGCAGTCCAAAAGTTCATTCATTGTTACAGTCCAAGTCACCAATTCTGTTTGTCATCGCGTAGTGCTTTGCACCCCAATCTCTTCACCTCCTTCTCCTGACTATCGTCCGGGACTTGAAAAGACTCCGATCGAGTTCCGCACCCGAGCGAAAGGACCAGAAATCGGCCGTGCTAGACGACGATCTTTCTGCCCCGTGCGCCAATTAATCAATCAATTAATCCCTCCTTCATCCGAACGATCCGAAACAGTTTTTTTAACTTCCCAAGACTCGCACAAATATTTAAAGCGAACAAGATGCCTTTGTGGGGGTCGAAATCCAGCCAGGAGAGCGACAATGCCGCGCTAGAAAGCGATCCCAAGAACGACCCCGTTGCGTCGGCGTCTCAGGCCGCGGGGACCGGATGGCTGGTCGGACATTTGAACCATCTCACTGAGGATCAGGAGAAGAAGCTGCAGGAGTTTAAGAAACTATGCGAAGAAAATGGATACTACAAATCCGCGAGTGACACGGAGGAGGCGAGCCATGACGATGCGACAATGCTGTATGTTGTTGGTCTTGGCTGGGTCTTGCGGGGTGTATGGCACTGACGGGGCATTTTTAGGCGGTTCCTGCGCGCCCGCAAATTCGACGTGAATGGCGCTTGGGGCCAATTCAAGGACACCGAGGACTGGCGCAAGGAGAATGCCATCGAGTCTCTGTACGAGAATATCGATGTGGAGTCGTATGACGCCGCGAGGAGGATGGTAGGTTGATCTTATCCTGTGCGATGGAGTTGCATGGCTAATGCGACACAGTACCCTCAATGGACAGGTCGTCGGGACCGCCGCGGTATCCCCGTTTACGTGTTCGAGATCCGGCACCTGAACAGCAAGAACATGGCCGCTTATAACTCCACCATGACCGATCCCTCTGCGACGGCGGAAACGCACAAGTCCTCCACGGTGCCGCAGCGTCTCTTACGTCTCTTTGCCCTCTACGAGAACCTCCTCCGTTTTGTCATGCCCTTGTGCTCCCAGTTGTCCCGCCCGCATCCCGATACGCCCATTGTGAGTTCGAACAACATTGTCGATGTCAGCGGTGTTGGTTTGAAGCAGTTCTGGAACTTGAAGGGTCACATGCAGGACGCGAGCGTTCTGGCTACGGCGCATTACCCGGAGACCCTGGACCGCATTTTTGTGAGCCCCTCCCAGCGGCGTATTTGGTTTATGGAGTCGTGCTAACCAGCAAAGATCATCGGAGCTCCTTCCTTCTTCCCAACCGTCTGGGGCTGGATTAAGCGCTGGTTTGACCCCGTCACTACCTCTAAGATCTTCATCCTCTCCTCCGCCGAGGTCCTGCCTACCCTTAGTTCTTTCATGGACCCGACCACTATCCCCAAGCAGTACGGCGGCCAGCTAGACTGGCAATGGGGCGACATGCCCAACCTTGACGACGAGGCCCGGAAACTTGTGGGCGGGCTGGAGACTCCTCCCGCCGAAGGAGAGAGCAAGCCCAGTTTCATCAAGGGCCCTGTCCTGTTCAAGGGGGACCATGTCGAGGTGCTGGGTAAGGTGAACGGCGAGAGCCGCAAGCGCAGCGTTCCCGTGCCGGTAGCGCAAGCAGCTGCGTCGACCTCCGCCTCGGAGGAGCAGAAGTCGGACGATGCTCTCGCCGCCGAGGTCAACGAGAAGCTCGACCTGCAGAATGGCGCCACCGAGAAGACCGGCAACGGAGACGTCGCTGCTTAACTGTCTTTCCATTCTACATGATGGTTCTTTTCTCATACTTATAATTTTTTTTTTTTTTTTCTTCCAGTGTCTCTGAAAATTGGCGTCATGGTTAAGACTAGATATTGCATGTCTAGAGTCATCTTTGATAATTTGGTTTTGTCATAAGCCTTTGATTGGTTTATCACTTTAGATTTCGGATATATTATTATACCTGGCTACTACTGAATTAGTCAAGAAAATATTGGGGTTCTCACTAGAGCAGTTTTCAACTCGATCTCCGACGTGTGTGCATACGTACAGAACACCCTGACATATGGATATATATATTAAGCTGTCATGCTACAACTAGTAAACCATGCTTATCACACCAAAGACACAAAAAAAAACCAAACCAGTCTCTCCCCATCCACCAAGCTCTATCTAATACATGATATATCCCCACAATATATCATCTACAACCCAACCTAACGACACTCACCCACAAAAAAACCCAAGCACACCCCCCGCCAAAAAATTCTCCAACCCCAGCGTAACATACAACCACGGCACCAACGGATCAACCGTCAAGAACGTCACCGTCATCGCCAGAAGCGCCCCCGCGGACGTCGCCGCCAAATAAACCGCCATAACCAACGACTTCATCGACGTCGGCGCCTGCGTATACGCATACTCGATCCCAGCCACGGCAGCCAGGATCTCCGAGCCAGCGACGAGGATGTACGCAGGGGCCTGGACAAAGACGGAGACCTGGTTCGGGACCCTTCCGCCGAGACAGTCGGGCGCCCGGGGCCGGTCGTAGCAGGGCGGCGCGGCGTAGATGATGCGCTGGACGAAGGAAGCGTAGAACATGGACGTGCCGATCAGGATGAAGCCAGCGGCGATTCTGTGCACGTGGCGCGCTGGGATGCCCTGGCGGCGTAGGAGGGGGATCACGGCGCGGTCGACGAGGGGCAGGAGGAGGAGGACTGTTATGGTGTCGATGTTCGGCATGATGTCGTTCGGGATGCCGTGGGTTTGCATGGTCGCGGCTTGGGAGATGAAGTTGGTGAGGAATTGCGTGTACGCGGCCCAGTAGATCGGGTACAGCAGGAAGATCTTGCAGGAGGAGAGGGCGCGGCGGAGGTCGGAGATGAAGGTGTCGGTCCAGGGGAGGGGGTTTGCGTGGGTTTCTAAGTCTGATGCTGCTTCTGCGAGGTAGCTGGGTCTTGCGTAGTCGAGGTTTCCTTTGTGTTTGATGGCGATCCAGAATGCTCGACATGCGTTGAAGACGATGGAGCTTTCCGGGGGTCTGCTGACGTATTGGTCTTTGCTGGATAGGATGACTGTGAAGCCGATCAGGAAGACGAGCACTGGGAGACTGAATGCGGCGCTGAAGCCGTGCTTCTGCTCGATTGTTGTTGTGAGGAGGGGGCCCAAGGAGCCTATGTTGGTGAATAGATAGAATGTCGAGAATATCCTTGCTGCGGTGTTAGGGTTGACTTTGGTCGGGGTTATTGGTGATGTGTCACGTACCTTTCGATTGTCAGAGCCCTGTCGACGATAACCTCTTCCCCTGAGTCCAGGACGCGTTTGGCTTCCTTGGGACCGGTATATTGCTCTGCGATGAGTGAACTGACATTCGCCTTGATGCCGCCGCCCCCGAGGCCGATAAAGAACAGGGCCACCAGCAGACCTGCCAGCGACACGCCTAAGTCATGGGCAATTGACAACGAGGACAGGAAGAGCATCATCAAGCCGCAGATGTAGAGCGTAGAAGAGTGGATGATGGTCTTCACGCGCCCGAGGTACTGTTCTGCAACAATAGCGCCCATCACTGGGGTAATGTAACACCATAGCAAGAAGCCCTGGTTCACCATCGTGGCATACGCTTGGCCCAGCCCTAGTCACGTCAGACAGAGCGATAGATAGATATGTTTGATTAGCACGTACCGATTCCACCAGGACGCAGAGGGTCATCTCTCGCGTACTGGAGGTAATTCTGCATTGGCCCGAGGGTCCCGAAGAAGGCAAATCTTTCACACAGCTCGATGGTCGCAACGAGCCATACTGACAGGGGAAGTGAATCTGCGATTCTTCTTGTACCATCGGGAGGCGGCGACATGGCCCCTTCGTCGTGCGCCGCATCATCTGAGCTGGAGCTGACGGAGAGCAGCGGCGTGCGTTCGGTTGCGGGCTCTAGAGTCGGCATCTTGAATCAGAGTGATACCAGAGACCATCACAGATAGTCTAAGGATGTATGGATTATCCTGACGCACACCAAGAATAGAGACGCTCAACACAGCCAGGGAACTAGTTGCTTATCTAACGTGACTCTTCTTTGCCCTATCACGTCACTACCTAGGAATTAATCCCTGCCATTTGTTCATCTCGCCTATCAATTGATGAACTCAGTGGGTATTTATAAACTCCGAACAGATAACTAAATCATGCTGCCTGGATCTCGGCATTGGACGTTCGACTTACTCCGACCAGATTGCATTCGGTATCCCTCTTTAAATATGCCCAAAGCACCTATTCCTTCATAACAAGCACTATAGAAGCATCGATTGATGTTGTCTAATGGAAGGTTGCCAAGTGTATGTCAGCGTTCAATCGAACTGTAAAGCTCTGACTGAACCAGGGGTCGGAGTCAGGGCTTGTTATTCCGAATACGGACTGAAGGTATTCCGATGGCCACTTGTAGTAGGTTCATTCCGAGAGCTGTCAAGTTTACCCCGAAACGAGGGATCCTTGACCATTGAGACTTCTCGCATCTGTTTTTTTTTTTTTTTTTTTTTTTTTTTTTTTTTTTTTTTTTTTTTTTTTTTTTTTTTTTTTTTTTTTTTTTTTTTTTTTTTTTTTTTTTTTTTTAATCTTACTGTATGCATATCCTGGATTCAAGATTGGTGCCTGGATCTGTCTAGAATTGGTTCTAGTGAGTACATTTCTGTTGGCTGAAAGGGTGGAAGGAAGGTGGTGATGTTGAGATCACCACTATGGTTGGTTATAAGACGTGGATTAGTAGTGATTACATCCTGAGAGAAGGTTGTGTAGATATGGATCCCATGATTTAAACAGGTTACTGCTATAAAATAGACTATGTTTGAATATAAAGAACATTGTTTTAGATGGAGATTGCTTGTGTGATAGATACCAAAGTTTAGCGAATAAGAGAGGCATACTTGTGTCGAGGTGTGCTCGACTTGAAGGGATAAGATACTGATCCAGGGTCAAGCGTTAAGAATGACGACAATACTTCAAAAATTGGGGATTGCGAGTCATCAGCCCTAGGTTCATACATTCATACCCCGGAATACCCCTCCGTAGTGAGTTCAGGCCGAAAGAGCCAACAAGACCACATTCTAAGCGCAGGACTCATGAAGACCACACTAGGAACTACCCGCAGTCAAATGGGACTGGTTGAAGCTGTCCGGCCACTGGTAGTACACCGTCATATACGGACCAGTTTTCTCCGAGTACGAGAACGACAACCATGCATGCAACGTAACACACTCGGAGATATCAACACCAGGGCTATACGGTTAGCATATCCTATACCAGAAAGGATGAAAGTGCACTTACAAATACTGCAACAGATTCTCGGTATAGGACTTCGCCAATCCCGCACATCCATGTTTCTCAAAGAACGCAGCCAACACATTCGCAATGTCGCGGTCATTCACATCCGCCAGGGGAAAGTAAATCTTCGACTTCGGGTACTTCCTCCCGGACTGCATCTCGAAGTTGTACAGGAACGGCAGCCGAGCCGGCGAGTCACCCGGTTTAGGGGGTTCCCTCAGTCCCTGGGGAAGATCGAACGCCGTCCAGAGTTCCTGAAGCAATTCCAGCCCCTTCATGGTCTCTGGATCGGTCAATCTCCCGCCAAGGGTCCAGTTCCGGGAGAGCGTCTCAAAGTCGAACTGGAACTCCGCGATGTAGACCTTGGCCCGAGCCTTACTAGGCTCCAGCAGATCACAGGCCAAGAAGGTGACGGGGGTCGTCGCCGGATTCACACTCTGGTCTGCAATGAACTCCTCCATGACAGAAAGACACCCGCTCTCGCCCAACTTACCATTGTCGACCTTGCCCAAGGCAGAGAAGATCAGCTCCGAGATGGGTACTTGCTGCGCGAGAGCCTTGAGCTGCGGATAAATGTAAACCTTGACCAACACGTCTCCCCCCTTCATGTCGATTCCAAATACATGCTGGGATTTTGTTGGTTGTTTCTTCAGCTCATCTCTCTCTCGAAGAATGCTCAGCTCCGTATCGGAGACGGTGAGCCCCGCCACCAAGGAATGGTACAGCGATAAGTCCATGGTCGCGCCGAGTCGCTTGAACGTTGTCAATGCCTCGTTCATGATGAGCTGGTTACATGGGTCTTGCCCAGTGGTCGCCATGTAGTGCACCGGCTCGAACCCCATCCGGACTGTGTTCTTGTCCTTGGTGAAGTTTTGGCTGAATTCGAGGGTGCCGATTCCGCCGATGGGGCTCTTGTAGAGGCCCGGTCGCTGGGACGAAGGGTACGGACCCAGCATGGGGATGATGTGTAGGCCCAACAGGAGGAGATATTGATATTGTTGGTCAATGGGATAGTCAGCTGTGGAGAGCAACTTGGACAGAGTTGGCCCAGCTTGCTGCCACCATTGGTACTGGTCTAGATTGGGAAAGGTGAGGGACTTGGTTAAAGTGTGGTAGGGTTGAGACATTTTGGTAGAGAGTAAGTCGGTCGTTGACCTGGACGCTCTTTGGTTTGAATTTCGTAGCATAGAATATAGCAGAGACGCACAACAGGAAAGGTCTAGACCCGGCAGGACAAGCCTTCTTAAACAAATTGCCGACCGGCCACTAGCTGCAGTCTCGCGTCGTGTAGCTCGGAAGGTCTATATCTCTATAACATATTGCCCGGGATAGATCAGATGATCCCTTCCAAATAAGAACGCACGACCGTAAGCGATCTTTCAGTGGGACTCAATCGAGATTCGAGATAGTCGCCATTTTATACTGAAACCTTAGAGTTTTACGTTAAGACACGCACCTTACGGTACTATATAGAAAATCTTGTTCTACAGTACTGATAATACTCTAAGATTATTTATTAGAGCTGATACCTAAACCAAGGATCTTAATATAGTAGTAGGAGCAGGAGCAGTAGCAGTAGCAGTAGATCCAAGCTGAGGGATCACGGTACCTAAGATAGAATAGTTTAAAAGCGTAAATACTTGATGGTTCATATGTATAGCCTATTCTAATTGGTAGATCATATGCGGAGTACGGAGTAATAGATCGATCTACTCGGCTAATATGATAATATCTGTATATGGTACGTTGATATTGGTAAACTTGGTAATATTTACTCTCTCGATGGAGTTCACCGCAGTGGGAACAGGTCATATTTCTTCAAACTTTAGTCTTTGGCCAGAAGAACTTCTCCAATCAACGTACAATATCAGTCGAGTATCTGCAGTCCAATGTAAGTTTTTGCGGCGTTTTACACAGAATAAGCAAGGCTCCCAAACTAGCGACCGCCACCGGTCCAGTTCCGAGTAAAATCTGGTTCTCTATCAAGAAGACCTGGGATGTTCTTCCGATCGGATTGGGATTCTGTAGGATTAAGCGTGGATTTGGCTTTGTCGAGTGTGTATTTGATAGGGCTTTTCTCGTCAGCTGAGGGTGAAGTCAAGAAAAATAATATCTGTCAGGTAGGATGGCCCATGCGCAGCAAACAGAACTGTTCATGGCGAGAAATCTTAAGTCTCGGCCTAGAATCCCCAAACTGCACCATCGAGCGCCTTCTGGACTTTCCGCCCTGGCTGACAACTCGTGTTCGTATTTTTCAGCCGTCGGATGTGTTCTTAAGAGTTGTCGATTTTATTAGAGCCAAACCTGTCCAATCCTATAGAGGCCCATAGGCTCTGAAATAATATTACCTTGGTCAAGGGGAAATGCTTTGAACCCTTCTCTAATCTAATTACTACTCCCTGCAGGGTCTATATCCCGGAGAATGGACTTAGTATGGAGATGCACCATGGGTTTCTTTAACGCCTGTCGTAGTTTACAACTGGATTGGTAGCTATGTCATTATTGATATATTTATGTTCTAGTTCATCTTTCGTCTTCTATGTTCCCACAGGCGACTATGTTGTCTTCCAAACCTGGTTGACCTGTTTTTTCCGGACCTATGATAAAACATTAGCGATCAAACAATGCTACAAAGGGCTAAGGAAACATACCATCGGAGAAAGAATGATCACTCCAATTGTCAGTGCAACAATGGTCATAAGCAACTGCAACTTCGAGAATCCCTTGCCCAGAATGTCAAATGCCTGGCTGGGTGTCGCTCGGGTGCCAAAGATATCGCCACCAAAGCCGAAAATCAAACTAGTACTCTCAAGAAGTGTTGGCGCTGAGAGAACCTTATTGATGCCAGCCACATCGCGTTCGTGAGAGAGGTACCATTTACCGTCGAACTCGAGGAAGGGGTTGTACTTGAATAGGCCTTCTTCGGCCTCCGTAGCGGTCGGGTCGCGGCCGACGGGCCGGCGGGCATCCAGTACGGGGCGAGGAATGCCAACCAGGGAATTTGTCGAGGGAAGTGTGCAAAGGAGTTGGCGGGTAGTGATACCTTGACGGGTTTGCGTAACAGCCATGTGGGAAATTGGTTCGGGGATGATGAAGGACTGGGACACTACATGTGGAAGGGGCAGTGCGTCAAGGCTAGAGTAGTTGGATGCAGCATCCAGTGGCCCACGGTCATTAGGTATCGAAGACTCATACAGCTCGGAAATCACCAATTGGTAGCCCTTGGCATCCGATGGGTGGACGACATCACCCCAGAAAGAATATGCGAACCAGTTCTCGGACATGGCTGAGGCAATTGGCTGGGTGGTGTCAACGCCACTTTGGGTGCTTGCATGGAGAACCTTGCCAGAGATAGCATCCAGCAGGTAGAAAGTAGCGGATTTATCGCCCACGGCGGTGACAAGAACCAAGTTAGGGTTCAGATACTTGTACAGAACCGATCGATCGCCCAGAACCTTGCCAATCGATGCGACAGGATCATGAGCTGGTCGGGAGGTGGCATGGATGACTCTCTCGCCTTGTGGGGGTAGGAACTCCCAGACGGGGAACTTGTTATTGTTGGCGCTCCAGCCTAGCACGCGACCATTGCCAAGTGTGACAAAAAATCCAGGACGATCTACAGACTCCACGGGAGTACCGTTCTCACTAATCCCAACGACGAGGGGCGCGGGGGAGTCGTTGAGGACGGCGACAGAACGGAGCTTGGTAGTGGCCGGAGTGCGCTTGATGATTTCTCCAGAGGCGACGTTCAATGTAACCGAGCTGCCATCATCTGTGTAGACAGTGGCAAGGCCTGGTTGGGTGACCACTGCGACAGGAGCCCAAGTTTCTGCTTCCGCAGCCTTCACGCTCCAGGAAACAGCGCCGTGGTTTCCGCCATCGAGCGCATAGACACGTCCATTTTCAGTAGCAACGATAACATGTCTCGAGATGCCAAAGCTATCAAGGTTTGAAACTTCGTCGGTCAAGAAACTGGTAAGGATGCGCTTGGGCAGGTCTTGTAGCCACTCAGGAAGATGTTCGAGGTCTTTGATGTGGCGCCTGACACGATGCGCGTACGCCGCAAAAAGGCTCTCATGACCTTCAACCTCAAGCTGGTGAGCCAGCTCCTCCTGGTATTCCTCCTCAGCCCAATTGGCAGCCAAAGCGCCAGCCAAAGCTTCGTATCTAGTCCATTCAGGTTGGCCATTTCGGAGTAACTGCCAGTCACCTGACTCCAAAACAGCAGCCGATCGTACCGCGACGCTATCGCCTTTCGGGACAACTTCTGACACTGCATGTAGCGCGCGCTCCATCGGAGGCGACTGAAGAGGCCACCTCCCCAAGATGGCATGAGAGGCAGAAGATACAACAGTCATTTCCGACTGCGTGATCCGGGTAAAGTAAACATTTGCATCCTTGGTACTTGTAGAAAAGGCAGACCATCCTTCCAAGCGAGGCAGATCGTAGGCCTTGGATACAACTGCGGATTGCAAGTTGACGTGGTAAACCTCAGCCCAGGATGTAGATTGCGTTTGGTAATGAACCAGAAAATGGGGCAGCGAGTTGAGTTTCTTCGGAGCGTGAACGGTGATTGAACGAATCTCCTCGCCACTGGTGTTGTCGACATTGATGGCGCTAACTTGCTTCGTACCAATAACGTTGACTTTGAGTACTTTCTGAGCTTTATCTGCCCAGACAATCAGAGGCGAGGCGGTGTTTGCGCCCACGAAAAGTACAGACTCGGGCCCGGAAATGTCACCTTCCGAGTTCAAGGTCAATTGCTGGTTCTGACGACCGGTCAATAGGTCCATAGATGTAACCTTGATCTTATAGCCCTTCAGAAGAGCAGATTGCAGAGAAATATAGAAAACGTTGGTGGAGGAGGACGAGACTTGGAAAGGGAGATCGCCACTAGATGAGTGCCCACCAAACGTCAGCACTGGAGATGACAAACCAGACTATCTGGGGTCGAACCTTTCGTCTTTATATTCCCATTTGACCTTGCCCGAATCTCCATCCAGTCTTCTAACAACCCCCGCCTTACCTCCGAAAAGCGCAATCGTGTCTTTAACGGCAGAAGGCGAGGCGGCATCCTCTAGCTCCAGCAGCTCCAGATCTGCCACATGGTCGTCGGAAAACCAGCTCTCCCAGATCAATTTACCATCCAGGGCGCTCCACGATGACAGATAGTCGCCCACTGCGCTAACAATGGCATTGGTCCCGTCGGAAGCACGTAAGAGGCCGCTGTCAGCGGCTGCAGCGGATCGGGAGACATTTTGCCTCCACACCACCGACCCATCCCTAGGATTTACGGCACCAAGGAGCAATTTCTCGGACAAAGTGTAGAGCAGGGATGCATCAGATGAGGACGAAGGCTTGAGGAAGAAGGTCGAATGGGACGAAGCAGGACCGAGTAGAGCATGATGGAAATCGATATGGTCGACCTCGTCGCGATAGATAGCCAGCGCCGAGGGAACGCACGAGGCGAGCAGAAGGAGCGTCGCCTGTAGCCGCATGGTTATTACCTCAACAGAAAACTGGTCATGGGGGTCGCGAAGGATAAGTTAGAAATGACAGTATGACCTGCTGTAGTGTTGTTCGGGATTCCTGTTGGTCAAGGCTGCGGGCGGTGATCTCAACTGGCGCTAGTGGAGCTATGAACTGATGGAAGCAAACATATCAAACTGAACACTGGACTGGCTGAGCTTTACTATTCCATTCCAACTACTACCTATACTACTACGTACTTTCGCTGTCTAGATAATGCAATTCTTTCGATTTATATAATTCAACCGCTATGGTAACTGATACGGCCACCTATACGCCTAAATGACACCAACAAATTCACTATACAAAATTGGAGAAAAAACAAGAAAACAATATAACACCTCATCGACCAAAGCATGCCTTGTTAGCAGCTTCCACAACCTGTTTTTCGCCCTCACTCATGTCAGAGGTAACCTCCCATGGCTGATTGCCTAGGCCCATAGCACGCAAGCCCTCAGGGTTGAGCGAGTTCCAGTCAAGTGCGCCCTTGAAGCCGCTCTCGCCGGGTCCACCAGCGCCTGGAAAGTCCCAAGGCGGGGAGTAAGCTTGAGCTGCCTGGCGTTGCTTGAGCAGATAATCGACGTTCATGTCGCACATAGGAGTGGCAGGGATATAGAGTACACTCGAGTCACCTTTGCCCTGATGCTTCTTATCAACTGAGTGCAGAGAGTCACAGTGCCAAGCGACATAGTCACCAGGTCCCACCTCAGGTACCGACACCATAGTGCTTTCAAGCTCCAGGTGTGGGTGGGTGACGGGGTTGTATTCCTGGCAGGCACCGGGAACAGACCCAGGGAAGGTGGCATCCAATGCCGGCTGCAGTGTTTGCGTATCAAAGAATGGCCTGAGAATAGTATAGGCGGTGCTGTGAACAATCATAGGACACACATGCAGCGAGCCCTCACCTGGGGCTGTTTGGGACATGGAAAGCCACCCTTGGAAGAACCTCAGCATGGAGCAGGCGCCGGCGCCGTTGTACAAGTCCATCTTGGCCGAGACGCGATGCTTTGCGTCCCACGGGTCGTATTCTTCCCATTTACCCTCGAGGATCTTGGTATAAACGCGGGAATACTCAGGGTCTTCCCACCGTTCGAGCGAGCCACCATCGATATGGGGGCCAAGGGTGAACTTGGAATCACCAGGCATGCGGATCCGGAGTCGATCGGCGTATGTGAGGGGGTTTCGAGTGGAAATTTTGGTTTTGGGGTCAGATGAATGCCACAAACGCTGCAAGAAGCGCTGCGTATCGAGCATGTTAGGGTGCGCCCGGGCTTCCGCCTGGGCTTGGGTCCAATACAACTCGTATACTGCAGGCGAGTCTGGTGGGAAAGCCTTCACACGCTCTTTGTTGGCAGCAACATAGTCCTCAACGCGCTCTTTGTATTCTCTAGCCATTCCACGGGGTAGCACATTTCTGATTACTACTGTTCCACGGTGGCGGATTTCCGCCAGGACATTCTCCGGTACATTTCCAGAGACAACGTCCGCGTAATCCACAGAAGGAATAATCTGGCGTACAGTTAGCGACGCTGCCCGCAAAATCCATCACCACTTAGAACATAGAAAACATACATCGCTTCCTTTTGACTTGATCTTATCAACTTCCTCTTCTAAGCTAGGCAGGAGTCTCTTCCAGCTTTGCTTCAGCGCGGCTTCGTTTTTCTCGAAATATTGCAACTTTAAATCCCTGAAGCGCGATGGAAGAGGTTCTGGTTTGTAATCTGGTCTCAAACTGGGGAAAACGCTCGAGATATCTCCCGCCGCCTTGGTGGTTTGAGCGGAAGTCGAAGTGGACACAGCCCGAACCGCTGATCGGGAGAGAAGTCGTGACATTGCCATATTGTGTGGATCTGCTCAGAGTATAGAAATGCCTGACTTTCCTATCTTTTTACGATGGGGTCTTTGCGACTTTATATGGCTCGCAATTGCCCCAGGGCTCAAGTACAGATGTGGAGATATTGTCGGAAACACCTGAAACGGAAGTCGATCCGACTACCATGTTAGGAAGGCAACCGCTCGACTGGTGTCGCTCCCGGTTCGATCCCGGGCGCGACTGCTTTTTTTTTTTTTTTTTTTTTTTGCTGTTGCGTCGTCTATGGGCATGGGAGTTGTTACCGGAAGGCCGCCGAGCCGGAAGCCTCAGGCAACCAGGTGTGAATAACCTCATGTCGGGTATATCATAACACTCTCTGCTCATCCGTTTTCTTACACGCATACGCTTCTTGTGTGCACAACAGCTCTATACTACCAGCATGAAATTCAACACTATCACTAGCTCTTATCACTATCCCTTATTATCAGCACTATTACTATTTCTATAACCATTATCTAAATATAGTCAGATTTTCCTAACTCGCGATCATGTCCAAGACACCGCAAAACACATCGTAAATGCGATAAATTACTACTTCATGTTTCAAAAACCATATAGGAAAAAGAAATAATCACACCTGCGGCTGAGTACAAAATTTTTGTGCATCCCAGCGTACCCGTCGCAAATGTCGATTGGGATCCTTAACCTCATTTCTCGCGTGCAACCACCGCCCATTGTCCATGAGGATAATCGATCCTCGCGGCAACATCTCTGGCGTGAGATTCAGAATCCGCTCTTTCGCCGCAGGTCCCAGCAGGACGCTCTTCAGCTCCGCCAACGCCTTGGCCGCCTCCTCACACAGCGGCGTGACAATATCCTCCCGAAACCGGAGTTGCGTCGCATTGCTGTTGGGGTTAATCGTGAGCAGATTGCCCACGATCTCCGTCTCACCTTGCGACTTGATAAATTCTGGTGGAACAGTGATGCGATAGTTCGGCGTAAACAGCCACTTCCTCGCAAACGGGGACAGCAGCGTCAACAGTTGATCAACATTCAGCACGGACAAAGTGCCTCCACCACACTGATCTGGTTGGAGAACCTGCAATGCGAAGAATCTTGGCGGCTCGGCTTCATAGCTGCAATCTGTATGCCAGGGAAACTCTTCCGTTGTCTCCGAGCGCGCTTGATGGTTATTACTCTGGAAGGAGTCCGCGGAGGGACGGATATCCCACATCCAGCCGCGGTTGGCGGAATGGGTGAGTGGGAGGCCGTGGGCGTGGCTATTGTGGAGATTTAAGAGGAGGTTTTGAATATATCTACTCTCGTCGTCGGGAAAGGCGAGTTGCATGTGCAGAATACCTTCATTTTGGAGGGTGCGGTTGACGGTGTCTAGGTGGGAGAATTCAGAGGCGAGGGTCGGGCCGGAGACGGGGATGTTGGGAATTGAGTGGATTGAAGAGGTGGATCGGGGGTCTGTCAGTTGGCAGTGAGTATAGTGCGTGTAAGTGAGTATGCGGGCAATTGAGACGAACTGTGTCTGAACAGTTTGGAGGCCGTATGAAGAGGGCGTGATAATCGCTGCATGATGGCTGGCTGCTGCTGACTTGGGGCAAAGAAAGAAAGTCTGGTTCAGCCAAAAGCCAACAGAGACTGGATCTCCATCATGAATGCCACAGAAATACCGGAGAAAAGCCAGCTTTACGGTGAGTATAGGATGGTATTTTCAAAATTTCAAAATACGGAAAGCACCACGATGATCATGGATCGATCCGTCAGGGACGAACTCCGTCCAAGCGTCCAATGAAAAGAAATAGCATCGCGTAAGGGCAATGATCCAGCTCGCCACTCTCCGATGGAGGATCCACTCCAGCTGAAAATATTTTGAGGACCTAACATCCCGCGTAGCAAGCCTCGGAAGACTTCTCCAACACACCTCATTGTCTATACACCATGAAGAAACCATCCTGTGCTCTGCACACCATCCTCCTCCCCTCCACATCTGGGGAGCAACATATCTTTCCGCAAGATAGTGACGCGGCGACTCGCCAGGCTCTCATCAACAAGCTCCGATGCAACATGCTCAAATGCAGTCCTCCAGAAACCTGGGGGGCTGGCGATATCTACGAAACCTGTTCTCCACATCCAGTCCTTGTAACCCCCACTCACAAAAAACAGCTGCAAAGCCTTAGCGAAGCTCTATCGACGGCGATTGTCGATGTCGTAAACCGATGGTGGAGTGATGCTGGGGCGAGATTTCCAGAGCGCATGCCAATTGAGCCTTTTGAGGAGGACTTACTGCGGGTATGTCTGTCTCTGGTTGGGAAAAAGGCTCTGCGATTTCTAATCATCTACTCGAGTAGTGGATGGACTCCCAACCAGACAGTGTTATTCGTCCCTTTGAAACCTGCACGGGGTCATGGCGACCGGATATGCTGCTCGAACCGGCAGTCGACGGGGGAATTGAGAACTATCGCATCTGCGAGATCAACGCTCGCTTCTGCATGAATGGGTTTCTGGTTACTGCGTATGGGCAGCAGGCACTGCTTGATATGGGCGTTGGGCGGAATGGACTCAAGGGTGTGACAGATCCAGAGACGGTAAGTCCCGATTATCTCCATGAAGAGTAAAAGCTGAACGGGCTAGGTGAAAAATGGACTGAATAGTCTCTACAATCCCAGCCTACCGCTGCACTTCTGTAAGGGCGAGGAACCTGGGTATGACATTCATCTCTACCGCCACTACGCAAAATCCCTCGGGATCCAGGTACGGCTCATCGATCCGGCTGATTTGCGTGTACTCGAGTCTCCTACGTCGCCTGGCGGGTATAAATTGTACTGCCTGGCGCAGGAGAATGTCGCTGGTACCGTCGCCAACGAAAATGATGAAATCCTCGAGGAAATTCACCAGATCGGATTGGAACTGCACCAGAGGGAGCTGGCGAGGATGACCCCCCAAATGCTTCAGCAACTCAGCCTGCGATGCTTCAACGACATGCGCACCATTCTTCTCGTCCACGACAAGCGATTACTCGGCATCGTCATCCAAGAACTCGACAATTTAGTCACGCGCAACGTCCTCACCCCCGAACAAGCCACCATCCTCCACCAAGGCATCGTTCCCACCATCATCCCCGGCTCGTCACAACTCTCCCACTTCATCGCAGAATGCCGTAAGTCCTCCCTCCAAGACGCCTATCTCCTCAAACCTGTCCGCAGCGGCAAAGGAGCCGGCATCCTCTTTGGCGACGAACTCGGCCGGGATGAATGGTTGTCAAAACTGAAGTCTATGCGTGACCCTTATCTACAGCGGGGGAAGACGACGTATGTGATACAGCGGCGCATCGAACACGGACTTTACGAGGTGCTCCTGCGCGAGAGCGACGGTGTGCAGCGCTACCCCCTGATCGGCACTTTTATGATGATGCATGGCAAACTCCTGGGCCTCGGGCTATGGAGAAGCGGCCCAGGGCGGATTTGCGCGCTGAGCTTGGGCGGCGGCTGGATCTGTTCCGTGGAAGAGTAAAGTGGGTCTACATGGACTTTGCGAGCTGAATGGAACCAAATGATGCGTTCTCAAATACCACGTTCACCTCCGTTGACCGGCATAGCGGGTCATGATCCTTCAAAACAATAGTCGGTCGCTAAGTGTGTTCAGTCTGCAGAAATAATATAGAGTTAAAGCAAAGAAACATATGGTGTAACTCGTTGCCAAACGCATGCATCAAATACTGCTTCGCCGAGGAAGGGATCCTGAAAGCCAACCCTGAAATGCAAAAGTCAAAAGAGAGAGAGAGAGAGGGACGGGAAACCCATTAGCCGACAAAATTCCGGATTTTTCAGCCTTCACCGCCCTTTCCTGCTCGGGGAAGACTACAACGAGTTAACTTCGATCGCCTGGAAGTAGCTTGATGAGGCATCTCGGATCTGGGTGGATCTCCATCACTTCGGCATTGTCCATGTGGGTCGCATCAGCTAGCGCGAACTAGTATGGCATCTGCTGTATGAGGATCTTCAGACGCAGACCACGAGGGACCCACAATCTTGCGATGATCTTGTAGAACATTACCCGATCGGGAGTCGTGAAGGGCGTGGCAGATTCCCTCCTACTTGGGTCAGATCGGTGAAGCTGATCTCGATATGCAAATTACTAGCGTATTACCGCCGATGGGTTGAAATCCCCAAGGTCTAAAACCCGAGTGTACGTGGCCATGACCATGATTTTCCATCTTCGATGTTTGAAAGTTCACAATGGATGCCGAATGTTATTCTCTCTCCGATGTCCTGGCCATTGCCAGTGTTCATCCCTTCTACTCTGACGTTGTCTATCCTCCTACTCGTGAGGAGTTGCCCTCTGTTCTCACCAAGGCAAGGGAATCGGGCAATGGCGAATTGTTATCATTTCCTCTAACCCACAAAGAGCAACTGTACTGCAATCTCATCAATTCCCCTCCAATGTTCTCTACTGACTGTCCAGATATTCACAAATCGCACGCCTCACCCTCGATAAAGACCCGCGCAATGGCTACCGACTTGGCACATACATCAGCACAACGGGTGGAGGTTCAGGAGGACCGCCGATGGTCTTTGCGACTGATTCAATTGAAACTCGTAGGCAGCGCACTGCATTTGGTTCATTAATGCGAACCAGCGGGGTTCTTAGTCCTGGAGACTGGATATGCACAATGCACACAGCAGGGCATCTCTACCGGTGGGTTTTCCAACTGATTTGGGGTGGTTCATCCTTCATGGGCTAATATCAGCCAGAGCCCTTGACCTCATGACAGAGGTGTTTGAAGCCTCCGGCGCCACAGTGCTCTGCGCAGGAAACGAAATGCCTCTCGACAAGGTTGTTCTGACGATTACCGAATTCGGCGTCAACGCCGTCGCCGGCGATGCTGGGCAGTTGGTCCAGCTGGCGCAATACGTTGCCGGACTGCCCCACGCGCAAAAGCACACGCTGCAGACCCAGATCAATAAAGCGCTGTACACCTCGGAGCCCATGACACCCGCACAACGCAGCTTCCTGAAATCCGTCTTCTCCAATGTTGCCATCTCCTCCGTTATTGGCAGTGCAGAGGCCGGCCCGTGGGGTGTTTCAACAAGTGAGATGACCGAGAGCGTGTCGCAGCACAATTACGAAGACTTTTTATATGACGATCGTCTCATGCATCTGGAAATTCTGCCCTCCTCTATTCTGGACCCTGGCCGCACAGAGAAGACACCGACTGCTCCCGTTCCGGACGGTGAAAAGGGCCTCTTGGTCCAGACCTCCCTACAGCGTCTGCGTAACCCTCTTGTGCGCTACATTTGCGGCGACGTTGCCTCCTTTCACCCCCTCCCCGCATCCATCCAGTCCCAACTAACGCCCGAGGATGCATCGCACCTCCGTGTCGCGCGCGTCTACGGCCGTGACCGAAACATCAGTTTCGACTGGTATGGGGAATACTTTGAATTCCCAGTCGTGCAGCGCTTGTTCCAGACCGAGTCCTGGGGCATTCTGCAGTACCAGGTCATCCGGCGGTATCGCGAGCCGGACCCGCAGAAGATTAGCGTTGTACTTGAAATTCGTCTACTGCGAGACTCGGGCGCTGGCAAGATCAGTGATTTGGAGTTGACGCGGGAAATTAAGACCTTTTTCTACGTATTCGAGTGCAACGAGGAGCTGTTTGAGCTCAAGCTCTTGCCTGACTCTAGCGGGTTTATGCGCAGTACGACAGGTAGGAAGGTGATGAATTTTGTCGACTTGACTAGGACGTGAATAGAGAAACAGGCTAGTCCGTAGAGAATGGCAGAATAATATGTTCACAGTGAGCCAGCCAGTAGAATTAAGCCAAGAAGATTTTCTCTGGTATTTTAACAGTGTGTTTTTTGAAAGATGAACATGTACCAAACCCATTGGGCTGGACCCACCGTCAACAAGAGCTGCAAAGTATATTTTAATTCCCATACGCAACCACAGGACTACACGTGATCAATGAAGTGGTCTGCATTTTATAAGAGATTGCTATTGAGCTGTTGGAGTCTCCTCAAGTGCCCACTCTTGCTAGGACACTCAAAATGCAGACCCAGCGGGGCTTTCCAAATGACCCCATTTTCAACCAGCTTCGCAGGCTAGCCAAGCAGTCGCCGGGCGTGTTATTCCACGATGAATATGGTGTTGATGCAAGATATAGCGATTTGATCCGTGATGTGATCCACCTGCGGGAGATCTTACAAGGGCATCTCCCGAGTGCTTCCTTCGACGAGCAGGGTTGTCTGCGAGAGGATGCCAAATCGATTGCGTTTCTGGCCTATAGTGGATATAGCTTTATTATCAGCTTTTTTGCCATTGTGGCTTTGGGGGGGATATGTGTGCCTTTATGTAAGTCTTTTGTCTATCGTAACAGTCTGATAATATGGTACTAAACTATGATAGCAACGGGGCTGAATGCGGACGAGGCGCTCTACTTTCTGAAAAAGACCAAAGCAGCCTATATTTTGACCGAGAAGAGAACGCTCGAAATGGCCACGACTTTTACCGATCATGCCCGAAACGAGGGCCAAAGGGCGACTTTGATCGCAATCAGCAGAGCGGATCCCGCGACAGCGGCTATCTCCAGCTCGACGGAACTCGAGATCAACCAGGAGCTGACCTTTCCAGAAACAGCTGGCTGTCTGATTCTATTTACATCCGGCACAACCGGGCCCCCAAAGGGTGTTGTTCTCCCCCGGAAGATGTTCCACTACGAAGAAGATATAACACCCGCAACGCTCTATCTCGCATCCTGTCCCCCGCACTGGATAGGCGGAACAGGACTGATTGACAGTGTGCTTATCGGTGAAAATCTGCATATGCTAAAGAGTGAAGCCCCTCCTGCCCGGTTTTGGGAAGTGCTGAGGGAAGGAAGAGCCACAGAAATGGCCATATCCCCGACGATGCTGAGACGTTTGATGGAGTACTACCAGGAAAATGTCAGCCATCTTGCCGCTGAACAACGGAATGAATATATCAACGGGGCGAAGAAACTGGAACGAGTGATTGTGAGCGGCTCGATGCTGAGTCCGTTCACTTGGCGCTTCTTTACTGATTTGACCGGTATGCCCATTATCAACGGTTACGGGAGTACAGAGATGGGTGGGGGTGTCATTATCAACCCCCCTGGTGCGGCCTATAAGCAGGTGCGTACATGGTATCATTCCCATCTCTAATGCCCTGCTAACATAGCCAGGGCTATATTGGTAAAGTCATCCCGGGGAGAACAGTAAAGCTGTCCCACGGTGACCATGGGGAAGTCCTCGTCAAAAGCCCAATCAGATTCTCTCAGTAAGACTATCTTCCATCTTCCTAGTCATTTACTCACACAGACAGTTACATTGGCGATGAAGTAGCCACTCGTGCCGCCTTTGACGAGGAGGGATTCTACAAAACGGGCGATCAAGCCCACCGCGTCGGTGATGATTACTATTTCGACGGAAGGATTTCATCCGACTGTAAGCTCTTCCTCTATCCCTTATGTCCCCATCAGAGTAACCAACCAGACAGTTGTTCGCTTCCACGAATACACGATATCCATTCCCGAGCTAGAAAGCCAACTCCTGGGTCTCTCATATATCTCCGACGCGTATGTCCTTCCGGTCAAAGACCACGGAGCTGGCGGGTTAGTAGCCGCTCTTGTGCGCCTTCAAAAGCAAGAGGGTGAAAGCACTACCCTGAAGCAGATACGCGATGACCTCGCTGCGACGAATCTGCCTTCGTACAAGCTGCCTACCCTCTTGCGGGTTCTCCAGAACGAGGAACAAGTCCCGTTGACGTCGTCCGACAAGGTGTTGAAGAGGGAGTGCCTCCGGAAATTCTTCCACATCTCCGAGTACATACCGGATCCATATGCCGTGGAAGGTGTCGAGTACTGGGGGAATCAGCTTGATCTGACTACTTCGTCGCGCGTGTTTGACTGGGGAGGTTTATAAGCTGTCAGACTGGATAGTCACACACACAATAGAAGATAAACAATCAAGATCTACGAGTCAAAGGCGTTTGAACAATTTACTCACCCAGATGAAGAACCATAAAGTCCAGGTAGTTGGATATGTTGGGATGGTCAGTACTTAAGCAATGAGTTTCGTTCTCACAAGCCGTAGTCCCCTGGGGCTGTACCAGTGAAGGGAGCCTCGGCTTTGCACTTCTCCCTGCTTAATGTAACACAGCTAGATTTTGAATGTAAACAAAATTTATAATAGCCGGCAAAATACGAAGGGTCTATTACGATCTGAAGATGGGAGACAGAGGTCATGTGATAGAAGAAAGGGAAATTGTCATTAAATAGCTGACACCCATATGGTGCATCGGCTCTCTTTCTGTAACAGGCCCAAGGCCACATTGAGGCCCGGGCTCTGATAGTTTTATCCAAAACTCACGAGGTCGATTGAAGATCCACTTGGAAAGTGTAACTGGTACAGAGTGTGTGGGTGTGTGTGTGTGTGTGTGTGTGTGTTGAAATCATTTACCCTGACCCCTCACGAACGATATGCAGGAATTCCCACTAGGGAGGTAATAGATGGCACCGTGCATAAGCAAGCCCCTGCACCAGGTTCTAGTAGAAGTTGTCACTGTTGACCCCGCCTTAGGCCTACACTATCGTACGTTGCTCCCTGTACAGAAAGCCCTAAGACAACTTCCCTCCCTGCCCTATTGATTTTAAACAAGGACAAGTGAACCTATTATTCTGCTATCTCTATAGGTCCCACAACGCTTAAACCGTATCACACTATGTCCACCCTTGAAGACCAGATACGCAGTCGAGAACGATTCCGCCTCAATCATATAGGTGCTATTGATCTTGACCGGGAAACGTGTGGTCATGACAATGGCAACACCTTCTGGCGTCATTTCAGGCTATTTACGAAGAATATTGCTAGTCGTTACACTAGGTCCGGCCTTCCAATAGTCTTTTACGAATATGACATGCGTGAACTATGGTACATGATCATCCAAGGTGCCAAAATCACGGATGCCAACCACCCCGCCCAAGATCGCCTGGCAAGCCAAATCTTGCACGCTCGAGGGATGGGCGTGTTATCTCGCAAGAATAAAGCCTCAGGAGTCGAAGAGGAGGCATCGACTTCCGATGGAAAGATCTGGGTCGATCTACCCTTCCTTGCGCAGGAGTTCCAAGCAGCCTGGAAGACAGCCGATAAGCTACCAGCGAGACAGCGACATAACCTCAGCGCCTTTATAGCCCGCATCAGCGCTTGGGGCATCTGTGACCCAGAATTTTTCGTCTGTGCTCTTTCGATTTTCACGGATACGTTCGAGACGCGCAGGCCGTTGACTGCTGTCAACGACCAACAGGGCGGTGACTTGCTGCCCATCATTGACCTGCTGCCAGCAGCGGTAGCCTGGTTTGAGCTGTGTGCCTACAAAATCGAAAGCCTTTGTCTCTCGGCCCAGGGATTTGAGACTTCGACTATTGGTGATCTTGCTAGAGAAGCGCAAGTTTTTCCAGACACCGGTTTCAGCACTTCTAGGTGGCTCTTCTGGAGGCGACGTTTGGAGGAGATCAGCCATTGTGACCATGCTGAGACGGCGGCTTTGGCACAGCGGGGCTGGAAGGTTATGCAGTCTTGGGGTGAGAGAATTTTAGCCATTAATAGCAGTAATGACTTAGGCAGGTAGCATGCAGGATTCTGTTGACACTGTTATTCGTTTACCTTGTTTAATACATCTAAACTAGCTGTGGTTTACCGACTCTAAGGAAGGATTTACTAACTCTTCAGAAAACATGACTCCGGTTAAAAATAGGTCTAGAACAGTCATTACGAGTCTGACAGAGTATCTTCGGTTGGATATTCTAACTGCTGATATATTTATCTAAGCATTTATATATGAAGGCAAATACAGTGGTAATGGAGTATGCGATCTAGATGGAAGAAGATTATTGGGATGTTTTCTTGAACTAAGTGACCTGCTACACTGTATAACTTTGATGCAGTGGACTGTTTTATGTTCTATGTAAATTCATGAAACGTGAAATTTTCTCGTTGTATATAAGTACTTCCACAAGGCGAACCCTCAATCGCTAGCCTCCTGTACTGGTTCATAGTTATGACGGGGTCGAACAAACAAAAACAGTGGCAAGGATAGACCAGCTAGGGTGGAAGCCACTACAAAGGGAAGCCCAGTGTACTCAGTCCCGAACTTCAATCCCAAAGTAAAGGCACCTGAATATAATGGGCCTACTAAGGAAGAGCTCAAAACGTGGAGGATAGTGAAAATGGAGTAGACAACACTGATTTCATCCGGAGAAATGACCATAGTCACGAGAGACCGCAGTGCCGACTGAAGTCCTCCCCCTGTCGACATCAGAATGACTCCTAGAAGTGTACAGTTTAGTGATTTATAGTTCTGAGGCATGGATTAGATTGAAGGCATACCTATGATTGCAACGGGTATAGAAACGCCCAGTCCGAGTAACAAACTACCCAAACTAAGCATAGTTGTACTGGCAAGAGATATCGTAAAATCCGCTGCATATGCATTCATTCTAAAACGAGCTAAGAGCATCCTACTTATTTGCGGAAGAAGGATGATCAGGAACACAAACTGGACAGCCTCTCCGAGAGCCCATAAAATGTTGGCCTGCTCATGGTGTCAGCTTCTTGACTCTTATTCTCCCTGCGAGGTCGAATTCAAACACATACCTGAGCAAATTCCCAGTCATACCTTTTCGAAATGTACAGCAACAAGACCATAGCAAGCGAATCCTCACAGAGCTCGCCCAAGAACGACATCGATAATAATACGATGAGCGAAGAATTCCCGTAGACAACCCGTGCCCCTTCATGGAATTGCTTCGCCAACAAGAGGAGACGAGATCGAATACTAGCCTGTTTGCTGCTAAGGGATCCATCGGGACTCAATGTGCCCATACCACGCGCAATATGTTGCCCTGGGTTGAGCACGGCATTCTCATTCAGGGAACTCTCAGTGGAGAGGTTTGGTGCAAACGGGACGGCAAACACCGCGAGAAGAATGCAGAGTAATCCTAAAAGCCATGGCACCCACACATTACGAGTCATGAGGAACGAGCTCACGAGCTGGGCTAGGATGGCCGCTGCAATTGCCATGGCGCGAATAACAAAAAAGGTTGATGTCCGCGTTTCAGCCGTAGTCACGTCGGTGGCCATTAAATGTATAATAGTGATGATGATGGCAGGACCCCCACCAATGACTTCGAATAAGGGCGCAAGCAGGATGAGGCGGATCGGGGCCGAGTCTGAGAACCAGCAGATGAGACAGCTCCATGTCTCTTCGCACAGGACTCCAAGTAACGCCAATTTCAAGGAAAGGTAGCGGCCATATCTTTCGGCGAACATACTCCACGGAATCACGAGAATGGCTATCCAGCGTTACATTTGCATGGTCAGCATAGAAATGAGATATAGCACATTAAGGGTTATTCAAGATGTACTCGGTAATGCCCCAAATACTCTCTCTGCGCCCTTGAGGAAGGCCAATTCCTCTTGGACAGCCTTGCTTTTGCAACCTTCCCTTGCTGGTGTGTCCTCCGAGTTCCATGGCAGCATACGGTGGCAGATAATAGTCTCGTAAATTTGGGTTCGTGGGGCTTGTTGAATATTTTCTCCTAGGAAAAACAGAAAGGCCGTCAGATAGAGCAAAAGTAGCACACGCTTCGACCGCATATTGCCATTTTCATGGGACGTCCAATTGTGGTGACAATACTTGGTGGGAAAGTCAGAGAGATCAAATGTCCGGTTTGGGGCGGCAATGTGGGAATGTCTCGAGTACTGGATCCCATGCCCGGATCGTACTTTTGAACTGGTCCCCTAAACAGTTCCTTACAACACGCTAAACCTGACTCTTATCTTAGGTCCACTCATCTGAACTTGCCCATTGGTAGCACTCGGAAGGAACAACAAGGATTGTAGCCCGACCCATGTAACCGGACAGATAAGACGATGCGAGACTAAAGAGATATTGGGCCTTGTCGTATCTACTAGTACATAAGTGATTGCTTAGCCAGCAGGAAAGGCAACAACGACTATATATTCTCCATATAACTACTTATACCTAGGCTTACACATAATCATATTTGATCATAAATAAAAACGTATTCTAAAATTAGATCAAGCCATCAGATCAGACCTTACACATCGTTGCGAGTGTCTACTGTGTTAGAATTCGTGCTAAATTACTAGACAGAACGGAGTTCCACATCTCTAACAATAACTATCTGATACCCCTGTTGATGGCCAGAATGTCGATCACTATTTGGTCTAATTTACTTAAGTTAGTAATTAATAATGAAACAAGCTTTAAACACATTGCATCACCGGTCCGTGGATATACACACAACTGCATTCTAACATTCTATATGTTGCTGTATGAACGACATTTACGCTGTTCCTGGAGCCATTGCATGGATTCTGCCTCACCGGCGAGGCATCTGCATAACTAGACATCTGTCCAATAGTTAGGCTCTAACAGGGTAGTACATATGATCTGTAATCTGTGTATTACTCTTCTCGAGAGAGGCCTATGTTATAAGAACCAACCAAACTATGTATAGAATGTGACAAACGAAATGCTGGACAGCCCTAGAGGCTGCCATCCTTCCAGAGCTTATTGTGAGTTGGCGCAGAATGACTTCAAGAACCCACGATCACCGTCTCGTAGCTTTCCTGGCTCTTCCACCTCCACTAGTGGACCGCATTCGAAAACAGCAATACGGTCGTATTGAGTGATGGTGTCGAGTCGATGCGTCACCGTCAGCACAGTATGTTGGCCAAACTTTTTGTTCCAGGAATTTCAACGGTAAGGTCTCTGTTACTCGGTCTGTAGACTACTCGTACGCTTGTCAACTATCAAAATCCGTTTCTCAGCATTCATCAGGAAGCTGCGTCCGACGCAAAGTAGTTGCTTCTGACCATGGCTAAGAGGTGATGCATCCATATCGGAATCCAAGCCACCTCGTAACGACACTATTTGCCATAATACCAATGACTCCAAGACGGCCTGTAACTCTTGTCGGAGTGGACTAGCAAAGGATCGAGCTTTTGTCAAATACTTCCAGGGAAGATCACGGGGGTCTGAGGAATAGTGTTGCATAACTATGGATCGTACCGCGTCGCACAACAGGGTTGAGATATCGACACAGTCTATGACTATGGAGCCCTCACGAAATGGTAGCAGTGGAGTGAGAAGTGATAACTATCGCGAGGCGAAGGTAGAAACCCCAATATATAACTACTGTATATGGTTGTGCTGGCCACTCCCTACAGGCCTAGATACGGTTAGTACAGTTTGTAAATCACAAGCATGCCACAAAGTATTATGAGCTTTTCCAGCCAGCTAATCAGAATGAACGGAAACCGATCAATTCCTGTAGGTAGTAGGTACTATGTACCAACTTTCGAACATATGCTTTCAGGGGGCGGGTTGAAGTTCATTCTATGAGAGTAGATCAGGGAATATCCAGACTGGAGCAGTAATAATAGACCGCAGCAAAGAACTCATCCATAATAGATTATAAAAGGAAAATGTACGTGTGGTAATCTTGAAAGTTGAAATCACCAAATGAGGACTATGAAAATCTTAAAACAAACAGACAAACAAACAATGCAAACCTAGCTCTACCAAACTGCAAGAAGATTAGAAGAAAATGAAACAGAGCACAAGAGACGATAAAATGGTAAATTCATCCTCATAGCTCTCGTTGTATCAACTGACTAACTAACAAAACCCTTTAGTTACGACTAAACCCTGGTACCCTACCTATCGCCCTCTTCCTCACCACAGCCGCGATCGCATATACGCGCACAGGAACAATCCAACAATCTCTTGAATCCCTCCCTATAAACACATCTCTAGTTATCGCCCTCTTTTCATTTCTCGACGGGGCCCTAGAATCAATACGCACAAAATCCCCCGCCGCGTTCATATTGGGTCATGTATTCACCGCTGTCTATGTCGTGAGCTTTTCGCGTCTTCGCGCGGGCCACCCATCTGGTGCTGAGATTGGATTATTTGGGTCCTTTGCTTTGGCTGTGATTCCGCTAGCGGGCACAGGTTTGAATCTTGTGTCTAAGGAATTGGGGTACGTTGGAGGATATGGTGTTGCGGTTTTTGGGTATACTTATGGGGGTGTTGGATTGGCTATGACGTTGCTTTTTTCGCTGGTGTTGTTTGCACATAGGGATGAGATTAGACAGATACAGACTCGGGTCGATGAACGGATATAAGAAGGGAGTATATAGCGAATAATATGTAAAATATTGGATATGTTTGTAAATTATTCAGCGTGAAATTGTATACAAACAATATGCTTCTCTTCTTGGAGATATAGAGATAGACCTTGCGTGCTTGTCAGTAGCGCAAGTATTACTACGTTGCGGCCCTGAAATTCCCAGTCTACCTCAAGTACTAATTGGGCAAGGTGGATTTATTCATCCTCTGGATCCTCGTATATAAAACGAGCTGTTGAGAGCATGAACAGAAAAAAATGTCCAGTTGGGGAAGTTGGCATTATACCAGGATCTCACGGCACATCATGATGATAAGGGCTGTAATAACTATACAATATGTAGGTCTCTTATCAGACCCTGTTGATAAAAACTACAACATCAGAGAGAAGATGGAAAGAAATAGAAAGTTACAGACCACCAAACTACACAATTAAAAGATAAATACCCTCGCCCCAAGTAACGTTTATCTGTCAATATGGAAAGAAGTGCAAGCTGTTAGCGATCTGTTCCATCTCTATATTGCTGACTACTTGCCAATAATTCCAATCATTAGACATCTCACTTGGAGCTGTGTAGATTGTAACTACTGGTAGTTGGTGGCAAATTCCAGCAGTCACCGTCCATGATTATGATGCTACTGCTGCTGAAAAGTAATATCGCAATCGATGCGGCATACGGACTTCAGCAAATGGCCACCCTACATGGAAACCAAGATGTGCTACAGTGGCGTGCTCTCTTAATTGAGCATGAGTCAGGAACATTGGATTCTTCATAAGAAATCAGTCACTTTACATCTAATCAAATAGAAAAATATAGAGCCATTAAATAATTAGTCCGATACTATTTAGTTCTAGATAGTTAGCTAAACGACGGAGTAGTCTTCAACTCTTAGATTAGTACACGCTACACCCCACATAAAGAAGGTTTAAGAAAACTCCAGCGGGATTTATCCAAAACAGGAAAGCTACGATAGCCAGCTAGAAAATCAGGTATTTCTTGCTACATAAACTCGTATTTATACACATCAAGGATTGAAGCTATCTATCAAAGTCTGGCCATTGAGCTACATGCTACGTACAACTATATTACTAACTTAACTATAGCTGTTCATTCTATAGACGACCAGCATGCCGAACTTCGGTTTTCTTTCCGAGTCGGTTACGATCCTCGGGTCAATGCAGCCCCGCGGATTCACTCCACGTTTCCCAAGAGGGGAACTACAACCACCATCGACGTAGCAAGGGACCCCGAAGGTCCTGGTAATAATGCTTGCGGGCGGTATAAAATCCCCGTAGAATCCAACTTTAACTCCGTGGACAATTCACACTCCTCTCTGAAAGACGGTTCACTCTTATCTCCTTCAATATGTCATTCTCCGTCGAAGGAAGATCTGCTATCGTAACTGGGGCGGGCTCGGGTATGTGCAAGATATCTAGTGCTTCTTCTACATTCAGAGCCATAGGGAGTTGACTAAACCACGAGTGTAGGAATTAACTTTGCCTTCGCCAAACTACTACTGGAGCATGGATGTAATGTACTCATTGCCGATCTAGCGCTTCGTCCGGAGGCGCAGGAACTGGTGGATAAGTATTCCAAATCGTCCAGTATTCCCCGGGCCGTCTTTCAGAGGACCGACGTGACCGACTGGAAACAGCTTGAGCTGATGTTTGAGGTCGCTGAGAAGGAGTTTGGGGAAATCGATATAGTGTGTCCGGGAGCTGGGGTCTACGAACCGGTAGGTTTCTTTCATTCATTCGTCAATCAATCCGCAAGTTGCGGTAGCACACCGCCATTCAGTGCCTTAAGTCATTGTTCTCACGCAGTAGGTTGTGTAGCATTGGAGCAACTTTTGGCGCCCACCCGGTACTCCTGAAAGTCGGGACCCGCAACATGGCAATCGATACGCCCTGCTAGATATCAACTTGACACATCCGATTCGCACTACGCAACTTGCTCTGGCCCATTTCGTTCGCCGTCGGACGAGCGGACGTCCGAAACACATTGTTCATATCTCCAGCATTGCAGGTCAGAATCCAGCTTTGGCGGCTCCGATTTATGTCGCTACCAAACACGGTATCAACGGTCTTGTACGGTCGTTGGGCAAGCTTGACAGCAAATTTGGAATTCGCGTGACAGCCGTTGCCCCTGGCGTGATAAAGACCCCACTGTGGACCGACCATCCGGAGAAGCTAAAGATCGTTGATACTGCCAGTGATGAATGGGTGACCCCCGAGGAGGTAGCTCAAGTCATGCTAGCTCTCATTCAACAAGACCAGGTCAGTGAAATTATCGGTGATAGAACCGGTCAAGGACCACAGTTTCCGGTACGTGGGGGAACTGTGCTGGAAGTGTCCAAGACGGTGCGCTCTGTGAGTGCGATTAATGATCCAGGTCCTGGGACCAGAGCCGGTAATACAGTGTCGGACATGAGCGTATTAGAAGACGAAGTCTTTGGGTTATTATCGCAGAAAGGATGGGGAACTCCGAAATTGTGAGGATATGGCTTTTATTTAGTAATTAAGAACCTCTTTTCCCATGGCTCTCTCCCTTACGTAAATTGGTACGTAGATATTATTAGATCGAGAGCAGAGAACGTAATGGGTAAAAAGATCCCCTCCCCCGTGACTTGGATCAAACCAGGTCATCAAATGCGGAGAAAATCCGCCCTGCGGTCGGAAAGGGTCTAGTGCTTGTGGATTTATCGCCTTGACGCAACTCCGCCCGTGACTGGCAACATCCTCAAACCTGTCATCTTCCCTTATCTTCGGATATTACCCTTGCTCTTTTTTTTTTCCCTTTTACACCACTCGTTCACTTTCCTTCCCATTCTCTTTCCCTCATCCACCTTCGCCTGGTTGCGTCGCTGGTACGAGTGGCTATTATGTTGTTGGTCACACCCGTCGCAACTTGAGTTGGTTGATAACAGCTTTTTTTCCGACGTCGTGTGGCCACCTTCTTATCTATTCACTCCATCGCCTTACACATTCCCCACAACATGTTAGATGATGAGGCTACTGTCGGGGTTGGCCCCGCCGACGGACTTCGAAACGCATCGCGAAGGTATATTTTAATAATACCTTAACCATTGATATCGCTTTTGAATGGCCGCGTGTTGCTAACTAGGGGCAATTGCCCATTCTGTAGGCGTGGAATAAGAGGGAAACGGGACCCGGGGTTTCATGGTCAAGCCAGCTGGATCAGCTGTGTGATCAATCTGGTTAATACGAGTGAGTAGACAGACAAGCGGTCAATTCGAGAATCCATTCTCTAATGCCGGTGTGATATGTTAGTCATCGGCGCCGGTGTTCTTGCTATGCCTCTGGCTATATCTCATATGGGAATCGTTTTGGGTGTCATCGTGATATTATGGTCTGGAACGACAGCAGGGTTCGGTCTCTACCTCCAGTCCCGATGTGCGCAGTACCTAGACAGGGGAACGGCGTCATTCTTCGCCTTGTCCCAGCTGACCTACCCCAATGCCGCCGTGATCTTCGATGCCGCCATTGCGATCAAGTGTTTCGGAGTTGGAGTCAGTTACTTAATCATCATTGGAGACCTAATGCCGGGAGTTGTTCAGGGCTTCGTTGGTGGTACCCCAGACTATGACTTCTTGGTGGACCGGCATTTCTGGGTAACAGCTTTTATGTATGTTGTTTTGTACTGGAAACTCAACCCGTACTGACCCCGGATCCCAGGTTGGTTGTTATCCCGCTCTCTTATCTTCGCCGGTTAGATTCCCTCAAGTACACCAGCATTGCTGCTTTGGTTTCCATGGCCTATTTGGTGATTTTGGTTCTCTATCACTTCGTGATTGGTGACACAATGGCGGATCGAGGACCAGTTCGTGTGATTCACTGGGCCGGTCCCGTGCCGATGCTCAGCAGTCTGCCTGTGATTGTCTTCGCATTCACATGCCACCAGAATGTATAGTTTTGACCTCTTTTCGATTTGTTTGGGACCAACTTTCTAATTACCGGACAGATGTTTTCGATATTGAATGAGATCGCGAACAATAGCCACTTTAGAACGACTGGAGTTGTCTTCGCCAGTATTGGAAGTTCTGCTGCAACATATGTTCTTGTCGCCATTACTGGTTATCTGTCGTTTGGAGACAGTGTTGGAGGAAACATCGTGGGCATGTACCCCCCTGGGCTCTGGGCGACAATTGGACGCGCTGCCATCGTTATGCTGGTTATGTTCTCGTACCCCCTTCAATGCCACCCGTGCCGCGCCTCGGTTGATGCCGTTTTGAAGTGGAAACCGAAGGCTTCAAACAGCAACGATAACTCGCCTCACCGCCATCCTCTGCTAGGCCCACGAGGCAATCGAACACCCGAACCCATGAGTGATCTTCGCTTCTCAGTCATTACGACAACAATCTTAGTATTGAGTTACATTGTTGCTATGACCGTCTCTTCTCTCGAAGCAGTGCTTGCGTACGTTGGTAGCACAGGCAGTACCAGCATTAGTTTCATTCTTCCGGGGTTGTTCTATTATAAGATCTCCTCGCCCGACTCACCTGCTCACCAACGACTGATGAAAGAAGACGACGAAGCGGCTGAAGGCATATTTTCCGACGATGGTGATGACAACGATGATCTAGATAATCAGGCCCGCTCGCTTACTGAGAGTGGTATCCTTCGTCGTGGGACTCGCCATTGGCGAAAGGCTTTACTGCGGAAGCTGAGTCTGGCACTCGCCATATACGGAGTCATTGTCATGATTGTCTGTCTCATCACCAACTCGCTCTTCATCGCCTCACACTAGAAACGATTAGATTGATATATCACGCTATCAATGCCGCAAGGCATCTTTTTTCTGCTAGACAGGTAACTCTTCAGTTATGCTACTACCACTTCTTTACTCTCCTTCCCTTGAACTTACTCTCCTATTTTTCCTTTCTTTTTCTCTTTTTCTTCTCATTTGCGCCTCTGTTGGTTTAGAGGAACAGGTTTATTTTGGTCCACTCTTGAATCAATTACTACTATACCATTGATAGGCGTTGGGGATATGCGTTGGTTGGTCATGAGTATTTCGGATTCATTTAAGATTTGTTACGTTCTTTCACTACAAACTCATTTTCTTTCTCTTTTAGTCCTTTCTGTTCCCATGTCTATATTACCTATATAAGGATTTAGTATGATTTCTCAGTGTTACTAATTTGCCTGACCCTACACATGTGCATCGCTCGAGAGGAGTAGATTGGATTTTATAACACGACACAATATGATCTGCGACCGGGGATCTTTTCCTTTGTAGAGGGTGATTGTTGTAAATACATGTCAGAACGTGGGCCTGTCTCATATATCGGATTACATTTTATGGCAAATATTGGTGGAAGAAAGCTAACATATTCCCGCCTGAGGCAGTTGCGTCATGTGACTGTCTCCGACGTCACGTTCTAGAAGTTCCTGTAGGCCGCCATTGTCATCTCACATCCATCAATCTCATTGTAATACTACTTCTTCGCCATCGACGTGCATGCTGCACTTTTCTCTAGATTAATATCAGTCACTCGTCAACGCATCTGTTAGCACCATGGCTGCTAATACTAGATATGAGCCAGCTCCTCAGCGGGACTCGTTTGAGGAGCGCGCATACACTCAGCCCCCGCCATCTTATCAGGCAACGGCCGATTACTCCCAAGCGCCTCGCAGTGAGGACGACAATGTTCCCGATGACTTCAAGGTACGTATCCACTCGCTGCCGGATAATCGCCCGCATCCCTAAAAACAAAATGAACCAAAAGATGCTAACACAATCTAGTTCGGTGGAATGGTCGCAGAAGGAACGCTACCTATCCGGATGCAATTCGTCCGGAAGGTCTACGCCATCCTGTATGTCCCAGCCCTATCCCAATCATTCCTCATTCGATAAGCAACATCACAAGACTAACAGAAGCTTCAAACGCACAGAACTGCTCAGCTCCTTCTAACAACCATCATGAGCTCAATCTCCTTCTTCAGCGACAGCTACCGCCTTTGGATTCAGTCCAACTTCTGGCTGATGATCGTCTCAGTCTTCGGTGCCTTGGGCTTCATGCTCGTAACATACTGGAAGCGCAAGAGCTACCCGGCCAACCTTCTTTTCCTGACAGCCTTCACGGTTCTCGAGGCCTACTCCATCAGCGTCGTGACGTCCTTCTATGACGCGCGCATCGTAGTGCAAGCCCTTATCCTGACACTCGGCATGTTCGTCGCGCTCACGCTCTTCGCATGCCAGACGAAGTACGATTTCACCAACTGGATGCCGTACCTGTTCGGTGCGCTCTGGTTCTTGATCCTGTTCGGCTTCGTCGCTGCGTTCCTCCCTCATAGCTCTACTATTGAGCTCGTCTATAGCGGCCTGGCGGCGTTGATCTTCTCCGGTTATATCCTTGTTGACACGCAGTTGATCATGAGACACTACCATGTTGAGGAGGAGATTGCCGCAAGCATCTCGCTCTACTTGGATATTCTTAACCTGTTCCTGGCCATCCTCCGGATCCTAAACAACCAGCAGAACAACTAAACCTGTGTATCAAAGTTGGTTGCTTGAGACCGAAGCGCTGGGAAGACAGATTGTGTCGCAGTTCCAGACTGTCTGATAAGATGACTTAATTGTGGTCAGCTGCAAATTGGGCTTGTTTCTATATATCTATTAATCATGCTAGGTCTTTTTGCCCATGACTTGGCCCTGTTCCTGGCGTTCTAGCTCTTTCTGTCTCGGCCTCATATGTGATATACCGTATTTTAAGTTGTGCTTTGGAGCTTTGAATTATTGATAATTGAAGCTTGATATCCTGCAGGCATGAGTAGTGTAAGACTTGAGAATGACCTATGTAGAGAACACCAACATAAACTTAAACACATAAACACATAGACAAGAAAGGACGAAAGGCCAAGGAGATATTGTTTTCCCGCTTCTCCTTCTTGCACCATGCCCTTTGCAACTTCGTCTGCTCAACCTGGTTCCCATCCACTCAGGCTGTTAAATTCAATATTGTGAAGGGCCAAAGCAAGATTTTAATTCAAACTAATTAAACCACGAAATGTTACCAGCCTGCAGAAACAACCTGTTCCGCAGCAAATCAAGCAGATCATAAGTATCTAACCCGTTACAAGTACGAACCTCAAGCTACATAAATCTCACGATGTACTCTTCATAATGATCGAATCAATTCAGTCTAACCTGGCTATATCCCAAATAAAACACCCATATCTAGCCTTTCAACACGTAGTATGTCTCTTCGACAGCAAGCGCCTCTCTTCAAAAGTCTGTTCATCTCTCGGTAGCGTATCAAGACGATAGCTATCCTCCTCATCCTTCCGAGACGACCTGTCACCCTCATCAGGGAGAATACCATGCTTCCTCACATGCGTCTCGAAATCATAGTACTTCTTCCCCTTAGTCAAGAGCTCTACAACAGCAATACCGAGAAGGACCACCGCGGTCGTCTGCCCAAAGTCCCACTCGTTCTCATGTTTGATCTCGCCCTCGAACTTGCCCTGGTTTGCCTGCCGCAGTGCAATCGCCATATAGAGGTGCAAGGGGAAGTGGAGCGAGGAGAGGATCAGGATCCCGCGTCTCCCGCGAACACCCATGAACACGCCGGCAAGGATGACGATTATAAGCCAGGAGCCGGTGACAGCGACGTAGATCTGGTCTGAGCCGGGGTGGGAGGCCGATGGGCCGGTCACTAGATGCGAGAAGTAGCATCGGCCGGGCGCCGTGTTCGGGGCCCATTCGCCGAGGCGGACGCAGAGGAGGATGAGAAGAGCCAGGTATAAGATGATGAAGATGAAGGTGGCTCGGTAGCGATTGTGGAAATAGGATACGCGCTCGCGGGGGCCCTTGGAATGAGACGTGCTGGCGTCGATCTTCGCGCGGCAGAATCGCCAGCAGACCAGGGCGGCTGTGTTCGAGACGCCGACGAAGCTGACGATGTCGAACACGAGGTGTAGGTGGTATGTATCCATGATCTGGGCCTGCGAGAACACCGTGACCATGTATGATATCCCGAGCGTGGATTGGATGTCCGATCCGATCATGAGAATGTTCGACACGAATTCCAGCCGCTTGCGCTCGATCTCCCGCTGCATAGAACCCTCCGGGTATGTGATGTCCATGTTACCGTGGGTGGTTAGGAAGAATACCCACGCTGACAGGCCTAGGGATAGCGCTGCTTGGCCGGCGAAGCCCACAAGGACCTAATCCATTAGTTAGCATGGAACCAACTCATCGGTAGCTTTTGGAAGGTGTATACAAACCCCGTTGCCGACCAAGGTAGCCATTTGCTCTCCCACCAGCTCACAGGCTTCACCTACTTCTTCCATCATGTCGGGTTTGTAAAGCGCAGGATTATGAGACCTCACTGCAGCGGGGCCTTGCCCAACCCTGCTTTATAATATAATTATAATCTCCTCGCCTCACGCCTACTCCGTAGAAATAAGCCTTGCACAAGTTATGGCCTCTCCTTGTCGCGCGTTCATTCGTGCTGCATCTTGATTACCGGTATAGGTCTAGCCCCGTGTATCTAGAACGGTTACTTTTAGCCCTATCTCAAGGCTTGATTCTCCAGCTGTCTCTGGCCCCCACGCTGATCATGGCCCGTCGGGCTGGGATGTGCTGCGCTTCGGCCCCATCAGCAGTACAAACGACCTGGGCTAGGGCCTGTGCACAATGCTTCGCAAAAGCTGGGCGCCGCTGTTGGGAGGCCTGACGTACAACTGCCTCTAAGCCTCCCGCCGATCGCGGTGATTCGACCTGTGATCTGTGCGGTTTTTCGGCCCCTAAGCAACAATGTAAGCCACCTGCGCGATACAGGTGTACCCAATACAAAAGATGGCCGAGCACTAAGCGAACCAGCGGTGCTGATTGCAAGCCGATACTGCAGACACGTATCACAACCCGACTAGATCATAATAGGGGAGGATAGTGCGGAACCTCTACGCAGAGAACATGATCAGTCTGTGGTATAAATAAACTCGCAACATCTGACAGGAATAAAAAATTGAGGTTATCTAAGCTGTCCATTCAATTTTTCAGTTGTGGATGTTTATATGTGAGCGGCAGCTATTGCCAGCTCTAATACCATGGACTCAAATGTAGGTTTCAATCTCGTGTGCAAAAGTCCCCCCGTAGTATATATAGAGAGTGTAAGTTATGATCGATCGAATAAAAAGGAGTGAGTTTTACAGTTGAAGTGTTCCACGACTATCAGGATTATATATATGTTACTCGCGAGCTTGAGTCTGTGTGTCGGGACGATAGAAATGTTTGGTGTGTAACCACGAGTAAAAGTTGAGGTATGCTGGGGTATTATATACAGCGAGTACATGTATACGATCCGACTCCAACGTCTTGGGTAGTCAAAAAGCGAAGGACCAAAAAGTGTTAGTAGAAGATGAGTACAGCAAGCAAGTAGCCTGCGAGACATTTTCCTGGCACCAAAAAAAAAAAAAAAAAAGGTCCTTTGTTGTCGTTGCTTTCACAGTCCCCCAGAATCTAGCTGTACAAGACCCCATTTCACAAACAAACAGCCTGAGCCCTAACAACGCTATCTATTCCTCTTGAACTCTGATAAGCCACCCTCAAACCCTCATGCCAATTCCTGAAACCTAACCCCAAAAACAAAACCCCGAAACACCACCCATTTATTTACTAAGTGAAACCCTATTCCTAAGGAAAGAGGAAAGTTTTCACGTACCCAGCAAACTCTCGGCCCTTACCGAAGCAAAAACCCGACGATCATTGAGATCGACATGAATGACCGCCCATTATCCACATAGTTGGCCTCGTAGGGATGGGGCGCGAGGATCGACGGTTTACATTCTCGGAGGGTTCGGGGATTACGTGGATTGTGTTCACTTCGGGGGTTTAGATAGTTATCAACTGGAGGTTGGTGGGTGGTTTTTGGATTGGAGCATGTTTAGGACATGATGGATTAGGAAGGAGATCTTGTGTTCAATGCGCGGGGTCGATTGCGTGGAAATTTACTTTTCGGGGTTTGGGCAGTGTTGTCTACGTAGGGTTTGTAGGGCGGATGGTTGAGTTTTGAGTGAGCGACAGGGTTATGTCGATCCTGATTGTGGTCTGCTGAATTGCCATGGTGATGGAGGTATACTGGGAAGAGGAGAAAGTCAATCATCAACCTATCTCTATTAGACTATGTATTTCTATATGTCATTATAATTATGTCCATGAATATGAAATATGCAACGTTTTTGGCTGGTAAATCAAACGTGCTCCCGAAAATGCAAGATGCAAAGGATGATGTAGTCATTAGTGTGCAAATCTGTCGTCGTTGTCTCCATATGAGGCGTAGTCTTCGACAATGATATTGTCTGAATAGGGCCTGGAGTCGGTCGGGTCGTCGTCGTCGCTACTGTCCTCAGGAGTGTCTCCGTTTGAATGAGACGCAGATGCACCACCCAGATCCTCCGGTCGCTTTCTGCGCTGGAAGTCTTGTGCATGGGCGGAGGCCAGAATAGTTCCCACTCGGGATAAGCCGCGTGCCCGGAGGGATGTACCCGGCGTGGGCGGAGTTCCGTGTTCTATATCGGTCGCTGGAGGTTGAGGAGTGAGCTGCTGTGGTTCTTGAACCACCATTTCCTCCGTTGGTTGGTCGGTTTCTGTATGTGGCGAGGCCACCTCATAGGGTAAAGGCACGTCTCGTGACGCTCGGAAAAGCAAAACATTCGTGCAGTGTTCGTTCTCCACTCGAAATATGGTCCATATACCCCTTCGCGAAATCTCAGAGAACGCTACCACAAAGCTAAGCACAGCCGAATGTTGGATGTCGTGAGCGAATATGGCGTAGAATATCCAGTTGAATCGCACCACGACATCGACAACCATGGCTGCATAGTAGACCCATGCCCGGTGGAAAGCCAGAACCTCGCGTAGAAGGGGGTGTTTGGCATAAGGGTTCCCTAAACTCCAATCCATGGCAAGGTCCCAAACGCAGCAATAGACTGCATTCAATAGCGCGAATGTGATGAACGGTGCTTGGAATCGGGTTACCCTGTCGATGCGATACATACTCAGGGTGGCGTAATAAAGAACACCGAAGATGTACTTTCCGAAATTCAGCAAGTGTGGGAAAACATTCCGTGTGTCAGCGTATCGACGTAGACATTGCAAAGATCTCCATATCGATGGAAGGCAAGTGAAGAATCCCAATAGTCTGGAGTGAGAAGAATTGCATTGCGCGTGCTCGGTCCAGTGTTTAGCATAAAGGCAGAAAAATAGCTCGATATTCTGGACCCATCATTAGTTTCAATAACGTGTCAGAAGAGCGTCTTACACTTACCCCCATAGCATAAGTCTGCGAGCAGTACATGTCGCCCAGAAAGAAATCCCGAAACTCGACAGGATACAGTCCTGCTAGTAATAGACGCCACTGCTGCTTGTGAGCCAGGCCATTCCCGAGTACAGCTGAAGTTTCACTCACATTGGAATATGCCCACCACTTTCGACTGCGATGATACAGTATACGGGCAGGCAGAAAAAGAACGACCACCGTTATTCCTATAAGCACGACTGGCCAATAAATGTACATGGCATTGACCGATAAAAAGTTGAGCCACATGAAGAGACCCAATAGAAACATGAAAAGGCAAGGTAGCTGTTTTGACGTTAGCTTGACAGCGATGATGGTATTTAGGGACCGCATACCTCAGTTAGCTGGCGCCAGTCTAACGCAGTTCTCGTATCGTATTCGAAAATAAAGACATAGTTGATTTTGCTCCTCGTCCAAACAATGCAATCCAAGCAAAACAGTAAGAAGTGAAAGGTTATGAGGAAAAACCCGCCGTATATCTGTTCAAGTTAGTCTCGTTATACCTCATGTAGCCTAACATGGCGCATATCGCAGGGTTGTTCAAACTAACCTGAAGTAAATAGCTGGTGTGGATGGGTATCACGGGATCGGGGTGATGAAAATGCTGAGCGGCGTATATCAGCGCTTGGATGCCGAACAATATACCAGCCATCAGGAGAAGACCCGCGCGGAACGTATTCGGCGAGTAGTCGCCCGATTTCTTGAGGGTCTTGCGTAGTTTGGAGATGGCGATCTTGCGGTTTCCGCGTTCAAAATAGCGAGCATAAAGATCCTCCGCGGCGGCCATCAGGTTTTCGGTGACCTCACTTTGTACAAACCATGCCTTGTTGACCTTATCCGACATGTACCGCAGAGGTGGCCGGGAGTTAACAGCCTTGTCATACTTCTTATTGATTTTGCGAAAGGCAGTCCGATTGAGATAGGCGTACGCTTTCAGCAGCTCCACGCCGCGGTAGAACTCCTGCAGTGCATGTTTAAGCTTCCGCTTGGCGGAACGATAGGGGACCTCATGATTTGCTGCGTCTTCAGGTCGACGAGTGAAGTCCCTACGGCGGTTCACAACCTCTGTATCCTCTCCTTGATTTGCCGCCGGCGTGGCCAATTCGGCCAATGCCTTCGAATTCTTCCCGATTCGACGTCCCACAAAGGCCTCCTTTAACCGGGAACCGTTGAGTCCCCCGAAACCAGTCTCTTTGTGCAAGTGTCCATGCTGCGTTCGACCCTTTTTATTGCTCAAGACCTCCTGGATCCGTTGGTCGCGCATAATGTGAAGTTGTTGCTTGAGCACCTTTAAGCGTTCAGTAGCTTCCTCTTCTTTCATCTGATAGAACGACTCGATCTTGGCCAGCTCATCGTCCAAGAATGCGAAGAATTCATCTTGCCGCCGTTGGTATTCTGAAGATGGCTGATCATCCTGCTTCTCTTGCGACTCGGTGTATGTGAATACCCGCCTCAGGATCTCGGAGGCTCGCTTGCTGTTTGAGCCAGAAAATGTATTTCTCTTTCCATCCTTATCGGTGTTGGTGGACGGGCTCCGCTGGGACATTCCCGGCACGGTCCTGGTGCTGGCATTGCGCGCCATAACTGGCGAAGGACTGCGGGGTTCATCTTGGCGGGTGATCTCGCTATTCGGATCAAAGTCCTGTACCTTCAAGTCGATCGCCGGGTCCGGTAATTCGAACGAGGCTACATCTGAAGAGCCAGCGTGCAGCGGGGGTGTGGCGATGATGCTTCCATAGCTTCCTACCGTCGTTGAGAACCGGGAACCAGGTACTCGCAGGGGCTGGCGTTCGCTTCGTCGACCGGGAGTTGAGCGTGATGTCCGAGAACCGCTTCTGACTGGCGATGTCGGGTTGTAAGTCGGGTCGGTGGCTGGATGCTTTCTGTCCGATTGATGGAACGAGGAGGGAGGAGGGTCGAGACCACTGGCGGTTATCGTTGACGGATCGCCATGGTTGACGTGCCGGAGGGACGCATAACTGGGACTTCGATTGGTCTTCTGGAGTGCTCGTGAAATGGCTTTAAGTTTCTTTTTGCCCGCCTATAGCCCAAACGAGACCGTCAGATTGGGGGCACGCGCGAAAAAGAAAAAGAGAAACAAACACACACAATGGGATCAAACCTTGTAGTCGAGATATTTGGCGCGCCATTCTGGAACTAATTCCTGTTCCAGCTCCCTGTGAACTTGAATGTTAGCCGGTATGCATGTGAATTGGTCTGCAGCAGTGTAACCAACTTGGCGAATTTCATTCTGCGGAAGAGGGGAGATAAGAGGGCATGGTAGTGAGGCAAACAGTGGCGAGAAAGTGGTGGGAAGTATCGAGTTCAGACGCTAAATGGCCGTTATGTTGGAGTCCGGAGCGCTCTAGTCGGTCTTTATATCATCATGAGGAAAAGGGAAGACAGGAGAATTGGATGGATCTGTCTAGCATCAACTTAAGTATAGCAATGGAGTTGTGAGTTGAAAAAGAGACGAGTGCGAAACCCACCTCCACAAAAGGAAACGAACGGGGGTGGCTTCAAATCAAAAAAGAAAACGAAAAAGAAATGAAAAAATAAAAATGAAAAAAGCAAATTGGAAAGATAAAAGAATTTTCAACCATTCAGTAACTCGCCAAGGACAATAAAGCCTGATAGATCATCCCGGTGATTGAAGTTACTAACTCTCAGCTTTTTTGCCAACAGGGCCTCCAGGTCGATCTGGGCCGACAATCATTGGCTCACAGACGCTCTGATAGGCTCGGAGATATGCACGTGCAGCGGTCTAAGAGACATCATTTGTGGTTGGTGCCAGCGGGGATCAATGGGACTCCCCTTACTGGCTCCTCCGTCAAGCTGAGTCAGTGACTTTTCCACCTGTCGGAGAAAATCCAACGTGATTATGTACGCACCCCTGTCGATGTCATTCTGATCGAATTGATTACAGCATCAGGTACATGAACAGTACCGCACTCGTATTGTCACTATTGTGTATAGTTGGATCTCGGAGGCAAGTACGTATTCTAATGACCTTCCAGACTCTGCGGAATCCTACATAACTCTGATACGTACGTTGACTAAACCTGCCAAGGCGCGTTGGTATTTGCCAAGGATCATTCTTTGTTTTTATTTCAATCGCGGAGGTTTTATATGCACTCTAGAATAACCTGGAGAATCGACAAGTTGACAGATTTATTTCATTCATTTCTATTTACATACGTCATCACTTGGAACTGACTTAGGATCGTCTACCGCGATATGCCAGGAAATGTTTACCAGCGGTCGAAGGCCTCGTGGCGTCTGTGCTCGTTGGGGTTGTACTCAGGAGCATTTTGTCCTTGTACGTAGTGCTCATCGTACATGCGCTCAGCGTTCTCCTTGGCGTGCTTCTTGGCCTTGATCTCGTCGAACTTGTCCCTACCCTTGGTCTCAATGAGTCTGTCGACCTGAGAACCGACAAAGCCAGCAAGGGCTTCCTTGGCGAAGGCGTGGCTGACGGGCTTGCCTATTATAGTTCCAAAAACGTTAACAGGTGCTGTCACAAAGTCAAAACCACAGCCAGTGTTCACCTACCTTCCTTGCGCTGGTGGTCCTCCCAAGCCTTCATACCGGCGAAAGAAGCGGCACCGGCAATGAGCTCGTGAGAGAGGTGACCCTCGTGCTTCTCAGGCTCCTGCATCCGGCGGTGAGCCTCCTCGGATTCTTCTGTAAAAGGAATTCTGTTAGCCATCGCAAGTCATGTGGAGACCAACTACCCCGCCGTTACGAGAAGTTTTGAATTTCGACAAACAGGGGAACCCTTCATAGCTCGCATGAGGGATAACTTGGATGAATTCTGTGAAGATTAACGAAGAGAGGAATGACTTACGCCAGCCCCAAGCCATTGTGAATGATGTATGTGATATGTAAAAAGGAGGGAGAGGGTGGAGATGGGTTAGATGAGTAGGATTTTTCTTTGATAAAGAATGATGAAAAGAAGAGTCCGAGCAGCAGGGGGTGCGATGCATCTTAATATACCCCGACACACCCCACCAAGCTGGCGTACTCAGCTTATCGCTACCCCTCCATCTGCCTACATTGCTTTCTGCCCCACCTATCTCATTTCATGAGGATCGGGTTTCGGACCTAGGCGAGAAAGGAGGCAACCCATGCGATGGGTGGTGGACCAATCGAACAGATCACATCCAGTGATCAGACGGAGAGTGTGCCACGTTACCAAAAGCATAACAGCGGATGCGGGATAGGAGGCGATCACTGATAGGAGTGCTTCCATGCGCGACGATGTACATCAGCCACCGCCAAGACACCCAGGCGAGGAGACGCTGGCGCTTAGCTTCCTATGGTACCAGACTATGGTTTTGTTGAATCCAACCACGGTATGGGTTTAATGGACACGATCCAGTTGTCGGGGCTCTTGGCAGAGGAGAGGGGCGTGGCTTGAAACGTAACGAAGATGAGAGTGGATCAAGGTCCTCATTTCCCTGCATGGAATCCGTCGCAGCGTGTTTTGCTCATTCAAAAGGATCCCGCCTAAGGCATCGACGACGGCTACACAGCACAGGCTCCGGTGGATGAGAGTAGATAGATAGTGCTTAGTATCGTTGCAAAGGGACCGTTAGGGTGAAACCGCTAATCTTGTCATAAACGGAGTACTGTAGGTACGGAGTACATACGTGTCTCCAGAAGATCCATAGGCTATGCAGCGCCGATCGAATGGGGTGGGTCGTGCCCCCTCAGCCTTACTCCTGGGCGCGTAAACTAAAAATATGGCTATCAGCCACGGAGCCACAAATTCCGGTAGCCATGAAGCCGGTCGACCCGAGCCTCTCCCTCCTGCCAAGCTTCTCTTGTCCAAGGCTTGTCGGCGCCTTATGCCATATGCCAGGAGACCCGCGTCGGCCGTTTCAATCAAACAGTGGGAAGGGATAGATCCCCAGAAAAGGATTCCAATAATGCCTTGAAAACCGCAAAATAATTAAAGAGGCTAGTGATGAATCATGGACGACGCCCCTGCATCAGGAATGGAACAACTTGTTTCATTTCCCTTAGTCACTGGTAACTTCGCTTCTTTTTTTGGCTCATTGAGTGGAGTGTCGGAAGGCACCATTTTGTTTGGGGCAAGTGTAATGATTATCCCCACTTGAGAACATCAGGAGAGGTGAAGTGAGTAAATCGGAGTAACAGAAATGCCTTTGGGCCGAGGACCATCAAATGGCCTCCGACGTCGCCGGTAGTGGCGGTGAATAGTCCATGGGTACCGCAGGCAGCCACGCAGCTTTCCTCCGTATGAAAAGGAGGCCAACAATCTGTGGCTGAGGCTGAAGTGGGGACAAGGAGGGGAGCCTGAGGTACTAGTAACGACTAACTCGGAATACCAGACTACGTACGCTTTCAGCAAGGGGGTCTCTTGCCATGCGGAGTGTTTCCGGTGCGACTTCCACGTGAATCTTGTTGGATATTGTCTGTTCAGTCGTGGTCGAACTGCCTTCCCCTTAACATTGGAGCTGTCAACTGGGGTCTTCTCGCTGGGAGACTGCGTATTTTTGGCACTGCAGCTCAAAATGCTACATTCACTCCGTACACTCAGCTAAGACGCATTTATCCCCCATGGACGACCACCCTGGTAAGTTTCATTGCAATGGGCATGATTTACTATATCATCCGTATTCTCTATCTTAGCGGCAAACCAAAGTACTGCTAATCGTGATGGGGGTCTGGAAACAAGAGAAGACATCAAAATTCCCATCATCATGCAAGGATTGAAAGACGTATGCCAAATTGCAGCTCTTCGTGTCCGCCTACGTTATATCATATGCAAATGAACGACCGCTTGCCTCTGGTTGACACTGCAGGAAGGACTGCATCAGGATCATCTTTCCGTCCATGTTAGATGCCTCAGGCCGGTAAACTGGTGACAAGAGGGTTCCTGCCGGTTGAGTTGGCGTTCATGGAAAGTAATCACGTTCAACCAAGGAATGATCCGTTCGTGGCATTCATATGGGAAGCCATGGCGTCAGCTGTGGTAAACGAACTGGTCCTATAAAAAGGCAGTGACTTTTCTACACTTCTGAGGATACTTACAAACAGTGCTTTTACACCAAGTCTCTCAGAAGTGAAGTGGTCCGCACTTGGCCGAATTACTGCAGTTCAGCATGCAAGTATTATCAAGTCTCTCCTATACTAGTATGACTTCCACCATTTACGAGTATAATGTTTGGTTGAAGTTTGAGGGAAGCATTCACACGTCAGGGGCATCAGGAGAGGCTATCTTGTCTGTTTATTGGTTTATCGAATAAGCGACAGTATTAGACTCTTAATTAAACTACATATAGTAAAGATTATCCATGGCAGGAAATAGTATGACTTGTAGCTGGTGATCTGATCGGACTAGCAAGATAGATTTTCGCTAGCCCAGGGTTCGGCCCGTAAGGTTCTTCAGCTCATACCCGAAAGAGGATGGGTTCTTCAGGCTGGTCGAATAAGGGTCTGCTAACAAGACCAAACTATCGAAAGTCCTGTGCAATACGCTTAACCACCACCTATATCATGTGATATGTTCTACAATAGCAGTGACTATCAAATTCTTATCTCTTCTGGCTATTGAAATTAGAACCTTAATATGCAATATGTGAACAGCGGCGTTTGTCGATTGAGCCTCTGGAGGTCAACCAGGAAGGTTATATAAACCCACAGTAACTTGTTCAAGTCAATTGCCTAACCATACTTTATTTTCCCAATCATTTACCTGTATACAGTGCATCCAATAAGCTGTGCCCAACATGCAGTGGATATCCTCTTTCGTTTCATTCCTTATCCTCTGGATCTCAGTGACCAATGCAATGCCTGATAAGCTCTGTATGGATAACATGGAAGCAATCGGCCAGGTGGCGAAGAGCCAACTGGGTCCCGTCATGAATTCAGAGGTCTGCAGTAAGGGTATAAAGCCCAGTAAAGCAGACTGGGCATGGCTGGAGCCGAAGATGCAGTCAATCATCAACAATATCAAAAAATGCTCCCAGAAACCTGATTTACCAAATTACAAACCAAAAGTCGAGAAGCTTGGAGATGCGATTGTGGCGAAATGCACAAAGCCCTCCCACAATTACTGCAACGAAGAAGACCTTAAGGAGATCAAAGGATGCGCAGTTTCGGAAGCTCTGGGATGGGGTATGATGAACATGGATATGCTGAAATACGCCGACAGAAAAAACTGTGAAAAGCTCGTCCCCTGCTTGAAGAATCCAAAGACCTGGAGTTATGAAAAAAGGTTAATAAAGGAATATGCCAAGCATAAAAGGTTAGTTGTTGGAAAGGTCTCCAGATGACTTCTTTATTAACATAATGCCACAGTCGACATGCCTGAAATGTTACAGTGTAGGACCTCAACACTGTCCTATTTTGCCTGACGAGCGACTACGGGTTTTCAAGTGCTTACCTGATGGGCTGTCGAAGCAGTATAAGCATAATCCAATCGATGGAATGGATGGCAGGGATTCTTTTGTGTGTGGGTTTGAGTATTCACCTTAACATGAAAGGATAGGGTATGGAAGTACTGTAGGTACTTGAATAGATGCAGTCCAAAATTGATGAAGCCATTCTATAACATGCGACCGCTTCAGTACAATACCATCCTAATAGCTTGAATATTCCCAAATCCCCTTCCCCTGACACCCGCTACTCGGTCTTTGGCCGCTAAAGTAATGGAGTATCTGTTTCCTCGGATCAGGCTATTTCTAGTTCTAATGCTACAATATTTTGCTCTATTTCTTCGGTTTGCTCTAACAGTCGCCGTGTTACAGATTGTTTATAGAAGCAGGATATCATCTTCATTTTTATCAACCGGACCTTTATTATCATGAGATGCTATACCCTCTTGCTAATCTCAGTAGAAGCGATGCCATGGTTAGGTCTACAATAATTATTTACTAATTGGGGCGATGTTGTTTGCATATTCTTATAAAGGTTTCAAAACATTAACAGCATGCCACGCACCAGTCGCATCACCATCTCACTCCGTACTAGCGAGGAAATCTAGCAAATGTATTTCTTAGTAAAAGTATGATACTAAGAGTGTAGACAGCCTAGGGGAGCAGTGATTCAAGATTCCTTAACCACTCCCGCGTATACTACAGGAAGGATGGGACCAAGGGAAATTCCTGTATTTTCTAACGGCCTTTTTGTAAGTAATGGTGGATTATTGGCAAGCTTTTGGAGCAAGGTTCATTCAGTCGAAATCCAGAGGTGAGCAGTATGATCAATTGCTGTCCGAAGCACTTCAACAACCTTCCATGTCTCATCTACCAGGGCTGACATTTTATTGGATTTCTACTGAGAGACGTCTCCGGTGGCCATCTTGCAGAATTATAGTTTAGTCTATTTATATAGAACGTGCAGTACATACTTCCGGCATTGGTCCTATGGCTGGCCCAGCCCTTGGTAAAAACTGCTTATTTCCGCGTCTAATTCGATTCTCTGGCAGCTAGAGAAGGCGTGGGATGAACTTTGACCCTGCTTTTACGGCAGCTTTAGGTCCAACCGCTTTATCCTTCGATATACATCTACCGTCATTGCATATTCAGGTTTTGATCTCGTGTGCAGTGTTCATGTATTATGCAGGTGAGTATACCTCATGTCACTGTAGGCCGGGCTACGGGAACACATGATCTTCTACTCCCATGGGTCCGCGGCTGTCTTCTGATGATATTTGCTCCGGGCACGAATGCGAGGTCCATACCGATAGAACATCCACGGTAGCGGCGTCATCGCCAGGGAGACAAAACCCAAGATACTGGTGGCCCATGAGACGCCCAGACCCTTGTACATGTCTTGGGCGAAGAGCGGGAACACGGCACCAAAGATGGATCGCAAGACACCATTAGCAGCCAGGGCACTGGCGCCGTAGGGTCCATAACAGTCTGTCAGGTAAGCCATAATACCCAAGAAAAGAGGGATGATTGAGAACCCGAATGGGACTCCGGCGATGATGCCGCAGATCCAGTGGGTGGGGGGTTTGGCGGACCAGCCGAACCAGAACAGACTGATGGGGATGAGCCAGGCGAGCACGATCAGATGGGGCAGGCGAGCCTCTGGCTTCGGTCCGAGGCGAAGTACAAAGTGGCGGTGGATTACATTGATGTAAGGAGAACCTAAGGTCGCTAAGGTCATGCCGACACCGATCCCGAGAAATGAGAGGCCGGCCATTCCGGGACTCCAGTTCCGCGTCTCCTTGTAGACGATTGGATAGGCGGTAAAGTCCAGATAGAGGATACCGTAGATGAAGGCCATGTATAGAGAAAGCAGGAAGAGAATGGGCTCCGTACAGAGCATGAGCCATGGACGAGTCAGACTGCTGCACAGCTGCTGGTAGACCTGGGGCTGTCCGATCTCATTCCCATGGCCCAGACGCCGGGCTTTGTCGTACAGCAGCTTATTAGGATACGTCTCGGGCAGAAAGAACAAGACAGCAACGTAGACTACGCCGCTGAGGATAAGCACCACCCAGAAGTTCCAGCGCCAGGGTGCATACTGCGATATGAACCCACCCACCACTGGGGCAAAAACAGGGCCTAGGAAGCTAGCCGCAGAGAAGCAGGCCATGGGTACAGATCGGTTGCTCTGTGGCCAGAGGTCAGTGATGGAGCCCCCTGAGTTGCTGACGGTGGGGGAGCCGAAGAAGCCTGCGAAAAAGCGGAAGACGATAAGTGATGTGATATTGGGAGCCAATGCACAGCCGATCTGAAAGGCTACAAACAGGCCCATGGTCAAGCGAAAGATTTGAGTCCGGCCCCTGGGAAGGTGACGGATTAGCACAGCTGGGGAGATGTCGGGCATTGGTGCCCTATGGTGTTGGGGGAGGAAACAAGCCAGGCCTACCAAATCTCAGAGAGCGGCGCAAACAATAGAGATCCAGACCCGAAGCCTAGGAGGAAGGTCGTTACTCCAAGGGTCGCCACAGTCTGCGAACATCCCAAGTCTTTCATAATATCCGGGAGGGCAGCAGTGTAGATACTGGAGCAGCAGGCTACGGTCGCCGTCATCATCACAACAATACTGGTGCAGATCCCTACTCGTCGTCATTCATTAGCTGCCCTATCAGTCGCTCAATGCAAGCACCATAAGGACGCGCAGTTGTCTTACACTTCTTAGTTGTGGGCCATGTTTTCGGGTTTTCTTTCACATCCAACACAATGTGGTCTGCCGTGACAAGCACTGCATCGGCAGATGCTGGCTTTGATTGCTTTTCGTCTGGATTCATGTCTCCTGTATTCCCCGTTTGCCTCGACAACAGCACAATGAGATGTGAGATCTAGTATAGGCCTTCAATATAAATACCTGCCCATAATTATCTCAGGGCTGCCACCGGGGACCAATAAAAATGCTGTTGGTGACAAACGTTGAGTACATGGGTTGAGATGATTATTAATCGATGGGGATGGGACAACTTAGGGCTCTTCTGAATGCGTTTGAAACAGGAATGATAGCCATGAGAAAAATATTCATTGGTTGGCCCATTACTCATGCAGCCCACTACCTCCAGTTATGCGTATTGCGTGAGATCCCCATTAGTCTCATGGCCACCATCAATATGTTCCTTTCGTAGGAGCAAGGTATTGGTGGGGACCGGGAGGATCCTGGCCCCCAAATGCTAGCACTGTCTACCCCGTACGGAGTAGTATATTTCTCATTCTGAGCCAAAAGGCTGGAGAAGTGGGTACCAGGTCTCATTAAGCTGACAAATATCAATGGTGATATCACGACATCATTCGTTTTAACCACGATGCAACATCCGCATAGTCCATTGAAGGCTAGTGCAGCCGGTTGGATTGAGTCCCCTGTCTATTTTCCATTGCCTGCTGACGCGTCGCTGATCCATTCGTGCATTTGTTGATTCCAATTCGTATACGGAGTATATTTGGAAGAATAGTATTTCTTGCAAATGGATTATACCATATGCTCGCGCGATGGGGGCTTGCCCTAAAGCGGACATTTTGCAGATCCCCCGCAGGGCTTCGCATGTAATTTGTAAGCAAGGACACGCATGCCAAACAACGAAGAATATAGATCTTTAAAGTTAGAAAAATTGGGGACTGGCTACTAAGTGGCTAGATCTATATTATTCGCGACCCAATTCCCCAGATTCCAGTACGTTTTGAGGATCCTTCGACCTCACAAGCTAGTATTTAGATTACACAAAGCTAGAGAAGAGGAAGTGTATAGGCTGTATGTGGCTTTCTGCGAGGCGCGATCACCATCGGGGGTACATGATCTCATGGCGTCTGGCTTCCTGCTCAGCTTGGTAGATACAAAGAATACGGAGATATACTGAGTGAAGTCGAAGCTTTGGGTCTAGTCCTCGTATGAAGGCCGATCTATTTTAATCTGATAAAGATCTCTTTATAACTCTTATAGCCAATATCACTTGTGTATATTCGTAGATTCAATGTTCAGTTAATTGCAAGAGCTCAAGCTGGTAGCGCTAAGTAAAAGTGAATACCTGTGCAGCAGCTAGTTCTTTTTAGATCAATCAATGAATATTATAACTGTAGGAATATAGAATGCCAATCAACTATACCCACAAGAGCCCACATCTAGTATCAAAAAGTCAACTGCAGGTGTTGTTCTGCAATTTCTAGCTTATTGAGCACAACAAGCAGGATAACTAGAATGCTCTTTGACTAGCAGTTTACTGATTTACAATAGTGTTAAGATCGACTGCTTAGTGGTGAATGGGCATTCAGGTTATACTCGCGTCTCACTTGTGAGTTCTGCTGTAGAGAGCGGGTGATTGCCACGATGTGTAGTAGATTACAGATCGCTAGTAAGTTTCACATCTCTAGCACTGTACAATTTTAATATGCCCATGCTAACCCTTCTGAGACAACCGACACAGTACCATAGGGCATTGCGGTTATCAACCAGATATGCTCAGTTGACATTCCTCCTATATTCAACACAACTGTTAAATACGCCCTATATTCTCACAAATATCTTCCTGTCAACCATCAGCCGAACAAACAAAAGGGAACCCACGCTCGCCAGTGTCAGTGATCCAGCATAGAAGATTTGCAGGCCGAAAGCCGCAAGGCCGGCGTCTGTGCCGCTGTAAGCGTCGAGAAGATATCCACCGATAGGATCCCCCTAGTATAACATCAATATCCACTCAACAACGGAAATAGGAAGTGGCTGCTCCATCAGAATCCAGGTTTGCTGACCTCTCCTGCTTTGTTTCTTCTGAGTTTATCTTAAAGACTCATGTTGTTACTAGAGGGAAAGTTTGGGGATTGCCTTCACATCACCCACTATGTAGAACTTGCTAGATTCATGCTTCAACTAACAGCTCTGCCCGACCATGATATCACTGAAATGGTACAACAATGCAATATCCGGATACTGTGAAAGCTGGTCGAGTCCATGGCCAGTTAATTTGCGGAAGGCGAATTTCGACTTACTTAAGTATAAGTATGTATCCAAACCCATTCGTACTGAATATCAGTCAAGAGGGTGGTTAACTAGCAGGGCTTGGAGCGGGCACGGGAAGCGGGGCGGGGCATTGGGATGTGGGAAATCTGTGGGGGTTCTGAAGCTAAGCATATCTTGACTCTCGAGCCATTTTCTTTATATAATATAGAAACCAGTTTCAGAGAAATACATGTGTTTCAAGAAAAGCGAAGCATCACTGGCACCAGCATCAGTCCAGTTGTATACACCGGAGTTAAACCCAAAAGATCGAACTCTTGATCCAATATCCGGCGCCTCGTAAGAACTGACAATGAGTGAATACCACGACGTCTTCCTTATCAGGTCCACCCTCGCCATGCAAGATCCTGATCTCCCTGGACCAAGGTTTCATACCGCCCTTTTCGTCAAGACAGGGCCGAACGGTAACGGTACTACTCACGAAGTCACAGGCGATATCACCTCATCGGATGGGATGCACTATACTCGAACTCTTAGTGAGGCCCCGGAGCTTTCCCCGGAGTTCCACACAAGTCAGAAGCTGGGTGTTACGCAAGCCTGCAAACATCCCGGCGAATGGCAACGGGTTTTAGGCGGTTTACCAACGCCACCCCAGCAGAAAGCATTCAATGTGAAGACAATGAAGACAGAACCATTTAAGACAAGAAATCCGTTGGTTTTCTACGAGCCTGGGGAGCCCAGACGGTCTTTGATGAAGTGCACTGAGTGGACGATGGAGAGAGCAATTCCTGCTCTTAAGGCCAGTGGGCTTATCATTGAGGGATAGTACGTTTCATAGAATAAGGTTGGAGTTCTATTAAGACATACGCAAGCTTGTGTCTCTCACAATGATGTTGTACTTGACAGTCGGATATAAGCTCTCTGATTCCTCTTTGGAGCCATTCTAACTTATTTTGGGGTTTCTATTGATTCCTCTCTGATATATTGCGTCGAATGTGACATCTATGCGTACGGCTTATTTCTGAATAGCTAAAGAAAGTAGATGAAGTGTACCACTTTGGTCTATCCCGGAGGCTAAAAGCACTATGGTAAAGACGCCATATACAGTTCACTCATGCCAACCATCCCCAGCACCTAGCATCCAGTTCACAGCAACGAGCTCCAGTCCATGCTGCTGCACCCACTCAGCAGCTTTAAACGACCTTCGAGCCGTAAACTCTTCACCCCCGACATCTTCCTTTGAGAGTGATAGGCTGTGTGGCTCGCGGAACAGCAGAAATAAGTACCGATGTGGTCGCGAGCTACCGTACCATTATCTGGTAAGTACATCCACAAGTCATTAGTAAAAGTTGGGATTCATACTCATCTTTAGGTCCAGGACCTAGATACTCTGTTAATGTCTGAACAGTTTCAGGTGCCCCTGACGGTTGTAGTCCGGAAACGACCCAATGTCGCCAGTATGCGAATTTGGGGTCATCTGGGGTCGGTGCATCTGGGTCGATCAAGAGCAAGGTATATGTCTGTGGAGATTTAAGGTCCCTCTTTTGTACATGAATTATTAGCCTTAAGCCCCGAGCGGGGAAAACCGCATCAATGATATATGATTACAAACCTCGGCCGCAAATGATATCTTCGGAGCGGATTTGCAATCACTGACTCTGAACAGATTTCCTAGAGAAACTGATTTCTCGCCAAATGTGACCTGAAGTTCTGTTGTCGGGGTAAAGTCCTCTGGGATGAGGGGTGCGGAGCTAGGAAACAGCCCTGCTTGGCGCAGGGAGGGGATCAAGTTCACCACTTGAGTTTCGGACATTTCGTTGGGTTTTTAGGTTGGTGGTAGAATACGACACGGTGTGTGGAAGGGGGGAGTATAATAATATAAATATGTGCTCTTGCTTGACCTCGCAGGTGGTCGGGATACAGACTCGGATTGTCAGTGGTGGAAGAAAACAAGTGATTCCGTCTTGGGTCGTGTCTTAAGCTATTGGTGGAAATTGCATAGATCAGTGGTCCCTATCCCTGTTGATTAACTTTGTTAACATTGATAGTTGCAGTTAAAGATATTCTAGAGCATAGACTGGGGCTTCATCCGAGTTTCTCTTTAGCACCAAGTGACTTAGTACATGATTCTATGTATCATTGATCATCAACCGCTGTCATGCTTTCTTCTCGCCTTTATTGTCCCCCTTCATTCCCATCTTCGAAAATGCCTGACTAAAGGTCTCCATCGTCCCACGCCTCTTATGTCCCTGCGGGTCTTTTATCTTCATGATTGAGAGATTCGCCTTCTTGAAGCTGTCCCAGTCTAAGGAAAAGGCGCGAAGGAAAATTGGGGCCAAGCCATGAGAGGCGCACAACTCAATGATGAGTTGATAGTAGCCGAGCTCGCGATCCAGACTTCGCTCCAAAGAACTTCAAATCGTGTATGGAAACTTTTGCATTATTACTAAAATAACCGAATTCGCTGAGCAGACTGTCCAATGCATCGGTACGACCGACGGAAGTCTCTGAATAGGTGCCCCAGATTTGCAGAAATTTCCCTTTTTTGAGGACTGTGCAGAAGACTTCTGGTCCAGACATCCTTAGTCAATCTTACATCCGACGGTCGGCCTTTCAGCGTGATACTGGTGACAACGATATCCTGTAGAGAGGTTCCCTTTCCTGCGCCGGCCATAATTCAACCTACAGTAGAAAAATATTAGTAATAAGCTCCCTTTTTCTCTTAGACTCTCTCACTAGTGTTTATCCTTATCGTAAGGACCAAAGACTTACCCAGAAGGTAAGATACTGAAAATGTCTCATACCTCCCATTCCCTATGTCGAGAACCACCCTTTCGGCCTCAGGGAAGCCCATTATTGCGGGTAATGTTTCGGCATCAAGATCCGAAGGGACTCTGGGGCGCTTGGGCAATGACTTGAGTTTGGTGACGGATCGGAGGCTGGCCGTATGATGATAGTAACAGCATGATCTTGCTCACAATAAATACGGTAGGTCAGATAAATGCTGCGATCTGTCAATAATCGGACCGCAGCTTTCATTGATTCGGAGTTAAAAAAAAAAAAGAATAATCATCTGGGATTTCCTGGCCCCGACCCAAGGCAGGTAAAATTGTTTGAAATGTAAGGGATTCGATGCTGGCAGTATCTAGGTCTTTCTCGCACAGAACAAAGTCCTTCGATTTCATTTCCTCTAAGAGAAACATGGTCTTTATTGTCTTTCCGTTCTCCATGGTGCTTGGTGGTGGTGTAAATGATGGCACTCTATTGGACAGCATTAGCATACGCCAGCTCCAGTGTATCTTAGAAAATAGAGGCTAAAGTAATGTCTATCTGTGGGGACTCACCCTTAGAGTAAAATGAGGTCTTTCGATAGTGAGGCAGATTTGTTTGATGCTAGCTTGACACTACAAACGACTCTGTGGGTCAAACTGCTATGCTTCCGCGAGTAGCTGAACAAAGAGAAGATGAAGAAGAGGAAAATGGAATGGGGACAAGAAAGGAGTTCGAGATTGATATTGGTCAAGCAAGAAAGAAAATGGAAATGGAAATGGAAAAGGGAAAGGAAAGGCAAGATGGGTCAACAGGAAGGGGTAGGAAAAGGAAGGAACACACAGAAGCCCAGAAGAGAAAGTAGAGAGAATCCTTCACTCTTGGGCCGAGTGAACTACATAGATCAGGCGTAACATATATGTAATACTGAAACAGTATTCAACTTTTTCCGGGTGTTAGAGTTCGAGAATATAATTGAATGTTTCTTTCATCATCTCTTTTCTTCCGAGAGAGAGGATAATAACCTGCCTCGAAGATTACAGTTCAATTTCAACCACCATTCGCAGTGACCGTTCCTCCCTCACAGAAGGCCAGTCCTAAACAAATATAGTAGCTGATGCACAATCACACACTACAGTGTTGAAATCTCGTAGCAATAGATTACCGGCGTTTTCTAGTTTTAGGGGCAAATGACTTCTTCTTTAACTCACCCCAGCTTTGTTCTCCCAGGTAGAGTCCCTTTCCTTCAACCAGATTTGCAAATTGCTTGTCCTTTTCCAGCTGCTTCAAGTCGATGCCCAGTGCCTGTGCCATTATAGGAGCAAGATCGTGGGCGGCACAAATGCGGAAGTCACCGCTCTCGAAACGTTTCCTGTTACGTCGATCGAGACGCTTATTCAGTTCCTCTTCAACAACTTGTGAGAACTCCTTGCCGTTAATAATGGTCTTCTTGATCGTCTCTGCTTCTTTTGGAGTAAAATAGGGCTCGCCGATGAAGGATGGGTCAATGACCTTCTCGAGCCGTTTATTGGAAGCGGACTTGTCAAAACTCTTGAGATCGGCAATTAAAACATGTATTCGATACCAGAGATTTGGAAAGGTTGAGAAGTCTTTGAGGCTTTCGACCGTGGGACTTGGTACGTCGGCGGTATCCTCAGAATCTATGTTCTCCGGTGTGGATGATGATGGAGCCATACTGAGAAAGAAGGGAAAGGAGAAACGGGGCTTTTGAGCTTTTCATTTCTCGTCAGACTTGTAGGAGCTTTTTGAAAAAAAAAAGTAAGTTTACCGAGGAGTTCCTGCGACGAGGGGGTACCAGGCATCTATGGTTGCTTCCTAGCCCATTGCTTCATTCGATTGTCATTAAGACGTGGGCGGTCATCTTACTTGGCGGTACAATACCATCGCTATTACAGGCAGAATATGTCTTTGTTTGTGAGTCATGAATGTTTAAGCTCATTTAAACTCTGCTCCTCTTACTACGCCAGCGAGAGCGGGATGAACATGTGCTGGGAAGTATAACGTTCATTGCTTTGCTTTCGGGGGGTCAAATGCCGAAATCAGAGCTAACAATAGCAGAGAGATTGTAATGTAGGCTGACTCGGTTTGCCTGTCAGCTGCGCACGAAGACGATTTCTTGGTTTGGCGGAAGCTCGAACATGTGCACTGATGGAAGGTAGATGAACCGGTATACTTAGGGTTTATCATGGGCGATTTATACATGTGCATAGCTTATGTAAGTAGTACCACACTATGCAGCGATATCAATATCGATATCAAGATCTATCGTCATCTTTGATTAAATATCTGGTCTACACTACCTTAACGTCCATAACGCCATTGAGAACCCGCGAAACCACTACTTCTCTTATAATCGTTCCTACTCACCTACTGCAAACCCACAACAGAACTACAACCCCCGCCGCCTCTGTTAAAGCCCAACTAAACGCACATCATCAAATCACAACCACCCACATACTAAAAGGAAAGCAAGAGAGCCAAAAAACGCAAAAATGCCAACAAAGACACCCACTCAATCCGACTTCCCACCGCACCTAACCGTCTCAATCACCTCCCCAAACACTACCACAACAACTACACGCCCACCGCCAAACATCCTCCTCCTCCTGCACGGCATCGGCGACACCAGCGCCACATTCAGCACCTTCGGCCGCGCCCTCAACCTCCCCGAAACAACCGTGCTCACCCTCCAAGCACCAACACGCCTTCCCTTCGACATCCCTGGATTCCACTGGGGTGACGATATCTCGTTCGATTCCCGCACGGGCGCGCTGGACATGGACGCCGGGTTCGCGCGCGCAACGCGCACGATAGTCGACGAGGTTATTCGCGGCGTCCTCGTTCAGAAATGCGGGTATAAATTGCGGGAGATTATGATTCTTGGTTTCGGGCAGGGGGGTATGGTGGGGCTTGTTTGTGCAAGGGAATTGGGGGTACAGCCAAGGGTTCAGGATGTGGGTGATTCTGGGGCGAATGATGGTGGTGGGATTGGGGGCGACATGGCGTTGTCGGGCGTTATCTCCATTGGAGCGCCGTATCCGATTTCGGGGAGTGTGGTTGGTGAGAAGAATCGGACGCCGGTGTTGCTTGTTGCTGGACGGGATTCGGAGGTTGTGAGTGATGGGGCGGTTAGCAGGACGAAGGGAGTTTTTGACTTCGTGGAGGTCACGAGGTATGCTAGGAGGGGAGATGGGATGCCCAAGGCTAGGGAGGAGATGCTGCCTGTTATGAGGTTTTTGGCGCGCAGGTTGAGGAGTTGGCAAGGGGTTCCGGAGGGGAGTGTGGAGATTTCTTAGGGTTGTTTTGGGAGTTGGTAGAGTGAATCTTATGCATGGTGTGTAGTGATGATGGGTGTAGAGTGGGTAAGACGATTTTGCGACACTTTGGTGATCTACTGGAATCTGGATTGCTAGAGGCAACATGAGGCGATGGTAAGTATGGTACATTGCTCTACACGGGTCTATGCGATGAAACTAGTCCACCTGCTCCAGGGCTTTTCTTGCCCGATCGATTGTCTTCCTGGCCTCAGTTTCGCCGACGTCCTCGTTTTGTGGTCCACCTTCTTGCACGACGGTATGCAGGTGCTCCTCCGTCTTAATCAATGCTGTCCGGCCCTCCTCCCGGACTTCGTCTTCAAAGAAAGCGCGGGCAGATTCCCACTGCTTTTGTTGCCGTCGTAGGGCGTAGATCAATCCAACTGCGACAATTGTGCCGGTCTCGTACACCGACGCTGTCGGGACGGAAACATATGTCAGTGCCGACAGAGCGGATGTCAAGGTAGTGGTTGACATGCTGAAAAGGACTAGCCTTTGCGCCATTGCCTGCAGGGAGGGTACTGTCGTCTCGAGTAGCCGGTTGCGACTTGTGGTTATCTGAGTCGGCCACAGTTCATCGGATTCGGGTTTATCACTCGTGGAGTCGTTAGAAGGCTGTTGTGCTGACCGAGAGGCGTCCTTTAGCTGCATCCCAAGACCGGCCTGGTGGAATCTTCCCGCAGTCCAGATCACCTCTTTCTCTGCACGCGGCAAATAGCTCTTTTCCAGAATCTCCGACGTGATCATGCCTACGTCGTCCACATGCCAGAAGAGCTTCCACCAGGCAAGGCCCTTCCATTTCTTTGTCGCAAACCCTTCCTCGAGTGAGCCACGCAATTCTGTATGCCCCCTCTCGGCCCACTCAGACACTGAACGGTCTAGGTTCTCTCGGACCTCATCTGAAAGTATGACTGCTTTTTGATCCTGTAATAACTTGTTCTCATCGGCAACAACCCCAGTCTCTGCGGCGTCAATCAGGGATGTGATTAGAGACTTGAGGGAGGGATCGAGAGCCCCTTCCGCCCGCAACGACGACAGCCAATCTTGAACAGCCTGCACACCGCTTCCATTCCAACCACGTTCATAAAGGGAGGCATTCTGCACGGATTCGCGGAACTTCTCGAGGGCTTCGTCTGCTCGATCGATGTCCACGAACGCAATTCGGTCATTGCTTTTTTGTGGGGCGGTAACTGCCAAATCGATGGCCCCATAAACTGAGCTTGTCTCTTTCTTCAGGTCCGCGCGAGAGACCAAGCCATTGTACGCAACCAAACCGTCTACCCCGCGGCCGCACACAACCGTTCTGTGGACTGGGTATCGTACGGCATTATGGCGGCCGGAATGTGAAGTCGGGATCGTCACTGTAGGGACGAGAAATGTATCTGCCGTGAAATGTGCATCTGATAACTCTGTCTCAGCACCCAAGGTAGACACTAGGATCTCGAGATTGCCTTTCTTAAGGATGGGGGAGGGCACGGAGATAGTAGGGAGAAGATTGTTTGGAATGGACTCTGATACTTCGCCGTATCTGTCGAGCGTCAGTAAAGCCTCCTATTCATGTCCCTTTTGCTGCAATCTAAGCATACCGAATGAGCAAGCCCTGTGAAGGATCAGAATCGTAGGTATCCAGTGCATCCTCCCAGCTCTCTCTTGTATTTAATGGATCGGCGAGTAACAACCGAACAAGCTTGCGCGCGGCAGTCGCATCATTAAGACCGAGAACTATTTAAATATGAACAAATATATCTGAGAGTACTGTTGTGAGGAAGAAACCCACCAGCAATACGGATTATGGGTGTTTCGCTCTCCAATCCGCGCAAAGCGAGCTGCAATCGGCTGATATTCACCTGCTCTGTAGCTACACCCTGGATCTTATTTAGGGCATCATACAGCTCTCTCAGCCGCGGTGGCACATGTCGGGCGTGGATCACAGACGATGTAGTGATAGGACGAGAGGAGGAAAAAGAGAGACGATTAGCTTCTAGCCGGGAAGAAACGATGCCGTTCCGACGCGTGGACAGGGTCCGTCTCCGTGTTGCGCAGGATGGGCAGTAATAAGCTGCGGTTTTGTCCCCAGCACGCGGCCAGCTCTTAGAGAGCGAGCCGCGCAGTTTGAGAGGCATTGATGGGTGGGGAGAGGGTATCTGGCGGGAAAGGTAGAGGGTATCAGTGATATATGGATTTGGAAGGGCGGATAATTGAAGTTGGTGTTGTGTCTTGGCGGCCGCGGAGGCCCGTGACTGCCGATTGCTAGCATTACGGCGAAATAATCCTTGCTACACTATAATGCTCAATATGGAAGAATTTCGTAACTAGACTAAGAGAAAAAAAAAAACTGCCTACAAATACCGCACAGTAATAAACAAGATAGGGGTGTGTCATGGTGTATCGATTCATCAACTCATGGAGCCAAGACGTCACGGACGCCTCGATAACTACAACAATAGTCTCTGTCGCAGTTCCAATACTCAATGCAATAACAGTCTGTCTTCTTGTGACAGACAGAACATAAGATTATGTAGCTGGGCCGTTCGCCAGAGGAAAAGCTCCTCGTTATATCGTCCGACTCAAAGGCGCTTTATACAGGTACGGATCAATATTTGCACACCGAGAAAGACGGGTTGAGCAGGCACAAAATCAAAGTGGAATGTTTAATAATAGTATCCTTTGCTCATGCTTCTCGACTCTCTCGAGCGGCATCTCGCTGCCGCCGGCTTCTGCCCGCGCCCGCAGACCTGTGAGAGGTTAGAGTACGCTCTTTCAAATTGTTTCTTTCACCATGCAGACTTACATGCTAATCCGCCGGGCCACGGTAGCCAATCCAGCGTCGTTATCTGCCTCACGTTGAGCACGCTCCAAGGCAGCCTGCCTTTCCTCCTCACTCCGCTTGAAGACCTCTTCACTACTCGGCGGAAGACGCTCGTTTTGAATGTCAACCTTACGGGCATCCTCAAAGTTCGTAATGGCCTGTTTGATTCCCTCCGCTCCAAGCATCAAAGTACCGGCGGGAAGGCGACCACCGGCTGCTGTCTTAAGCTCCGTGACCCTTTCGGACTCCTCACGCAACACTTGGAAGACTCGTGACAGACGACCGATGGCAAGAATCTTGTTCTTAATTGCACGTCGCTTGAATTCGCTGGATTCAACGTCCATAGGAACAGGGGGCGAGGGCGGGCCCGTAGGTGAAACGGTCGTAGGGGTGTCATCTTCCAATTCCTCCTTGGAGCAGGTGTTAAGGATAGCAATCAGCATGTCCGTAATCTTCTCACCGACGAAGGGAAGAGACCAGGTGAACACATCCATGAAGTTTGGCAGCCAGTACGGGTGTGGTGTGCAGTTGAATTGACGGATATTCATCACGTTGTTCTCGTACTTCAGGACGGCAGCTTTGTTGTTGTACACATCCAGATAGTTGGGCGCACTGAATATGGTCATCACGCTAGGGAAACCGGTGGTTCTTGTTTTCCGATACATGCGGTATCCGGCATCCTGAGCCTCATGGGCACGAATAATGGAGAGCAGGTTGTTCTTTTCCAGGAAAGCACAGGCGGCAGGGTACGAGAAGAAGTAAGAGCATCCTCGAACACTGTTGTGGACAAAATAGTCTCCAGTCTTCTCCTGTCCAAACTCTTCCAGGGGATCAGCCCAAAGAATGTCACACATCAGGCCATGAGTTGGGGGCTCCCTGAAACGATCAATCTGCAGGCTGTATCAGTACCTAGCAGTACTACTATCACGGAATTTGCTTCACATACCGACTTGATATCCTCGAGTGTGTGTAATTCGGGGCTTAGGCCACCGTGGATACACAGGAATTGCTTGTTCATGACCGCCGCCAGCGGCAAAGAGCAAAAGGATTCAATGCAAGCCTCATAGATGCGCTCGCTATATTTGTGCTTACACTCCAGTTTAAAGGTGAAGTAATCCGTCAAATGCCTGCACTCGTGGTTACCTCGCAGCAGCCAGAGCGTATTCGGGTACCAGATCTTCAAAGCCCAGAGGTAGAGAACACACTGCACAAGGTCAGACCATTTCCGCTACATAACTCAGCCACGGCGAGACAGCCGAAGGAACTCACTTCAATGCTAAAATAACCTCTGTCAACATAGTCGCCTAGGAATAAATATCTCGTCTCAGAGGGATCGCCGCCGACTTCGAAAAGTTTCATCAAATCGTAATATTGTCCGTGAACGTCGCCACACACTGTAATGGGGGCATCCATCTCGAGCAAATTAGGCTCTGCCTTCAACAACTGCGTACCCGCTTGTATAATCCATAGCGCCTGGTCTTCAGTAAGACGACCTTCACGATAAAAGTGCTGTTTCAGAAACTGGAGGTTTGGCTTAGAGGGGTCCTCAGGGGACCAGAACTGTTCGTCCGTCGGCGTCTGCAACGCCGGCGCTTGTACCTCTGCAGGATCACAAAATTGTCAGGATAAAAATTACAGAAAAAGGAAGCAAGGGATGCGGCATATCCTACCTTTGACAACCCGCTCCATGGTGGACACCTGGGTGCCATCTTCCATGGTATGTAACGTGAAGTCAATCTCCGGGACTGGCTTCTTCTCCGTCACCGCTCGCGCTATTGTGCGGTCCATCTTGAGCCAAATTCACTAGAAGGCTCACAACTAGGATCTTGAAAATCGCAAGAATCCAAGGCCGCAGTAAATAGAGCGGGAGCGAAGAAAAGGGGATGGGAGAGGGGTGGAAGCTTGACAGCGCGGAGAACCGATGTTTGGTGGGGTTAGAGCGCGGCGGGATCTCACACGCGAGGCGAAACGCCCGAGTTGAGGCTGAGATATGGTTGACCCTAAGGTTGGGAGTGCGGCACGTTTAGAGGGGAAGAAAAAAGTTTTTGCAAATAAGAAAGGTTCCTTTAATCCAGCAGGGTAAAAAAAAGAAAGCCAATGAAAGGACACCTAGCTAAGTGGAGTGAGTAAAGGGGGTTTAAAAAAAGTAGACGTGGGTCAGTGTTAGAATAATTAAGAACAAGAAACAAGGAAACAGTCGAGGCCGGATCTAAGGACTCTGAGATGCTGGGCAGGGGCTGAATGGTAGTGAAAGGTACAGTCCGTACGGAGCAGTGGTAACCGATAATGCCCGGTTACTAGTAGTAGAGATGCTCTTTCAAACTCCAATGGTATAACATGCTAAACTAAATATAGATAGCGCATAAATTGACAAACAGTTCTAGGTCATAATATAACTTATATCTGACATTTTGAGATACTAGCGTGTACCATATAAGAGTCTAGATCTACTAGATACCTGGAGGACTAGAAATTCCACCATAGACTTGTAAAGGTAACGGTTAGTATCAAGAGTTCTCCATATCCCACAACTAGATTACTACGCCTCCCTTATTGGTCTACAGTCTACCTGTCAATGATTCGGGTGACACATTGGGTTCACTTCGGTAGATCACATTCACATATACAGAGGGATGGGGGTACTTGTTCATCACCTGCTGTGTTATTTGCGTTGCAGACCATGGTGGATCCCTCGAACCCAACGTTGCTGGGGGAGGTAGAAAAGCTCATCATTTCAAATCAGATACAGAGATAATATATGATTAGTTTGCGTTGCTAAAAAGGACAAAGTATGTCTTGAAACAAATAGCAAAATAAACAAGTAATCGCTCTGTAAGCATCACAAGAGAAACCCAGATTACTCAAGATACTGTACTTACCCCTTCAGCATTAGAAGTTATATCTTTCAAGTTCGAAAACAGAACTTCAAATGCAGTATCACCAGATCAAGGTCAACATCTTTCAGCGCCAGCAGTATGAAAGCAACACAAGGCAACCGGGGCAAGATGTCCAACAAAACTAACCCCAGTGGGAAAATGAGGGTGGGGGTCGAGATCAGCCAAATCAACATTGAAGTCAATCTAAAATTTGGAGATCCACGGATGGCATAAATTATGACGGGTAATTTATCAATACTGTACTCCGTATTTGCCGTACTAAAAGGTACCGATGGCGTCACGGGGGATTTCCCCCTCACTGAATCCGGAGTATAACCTCTGATTATCTTGAACAACAACAACCCCGTGTTCACCCTCAGATCGTTGTCTAACTATCTTCCTTCAAATAATTTCTCCCGAGTCACAATTCTCCCAACTACCAATAATGTATGAATCCTACCGTAAGTCCCCTCTGACCCCCCTTCTCGCAGCGTATCCTGACCATCTATCTGTCCATTTGTCCAGGCCCACATCCACTCCTGGCACAAGTTCCCCTGACCGTCTCTCCTTTCATCAACCTCCCTTCCTCAGTCACCCTTCCTTACACCTACAAATCACTTCCCTCCACACTTCCGGCATCCGTAACAGTCGACCCTAGCAATCCTGAGACTAAACCCCGCTATGTCGTCTCCGCGAGCGGTGAGCACGCTGCATCCCCCGAGGAAATCCTAGCGTCGTGCAAGTCCCTTGAAGAACTTCTCAACAAGAACCGCACGGATGCGGAGAAGGCCATACAAAATTGGGAGGAGTCCATTGTGCAGCGCGACCTCGCGGAGAAGAGACGAGTTGCGCCCGGGTGGTTGGACCGGGAAGAGAAGCTTCTACAGCCGAGCAGATCTATGGCGAGCCCAAGACCCTCGGGACAACCAGAGCACAGCTTGCTGGACAGCTTATCTACGGATCCAGATGCGTCGAAGTTGCCATCGATGAAGCCGCGCGACGAGGGTGAGGAGCTGGATAGAGTGTTTGGTGGGCTGAACGTAAAATGAGTGGTCTCGACCAATTGAGCGTCAGGTACGATCACCACCCTTGACGTGGCAGTGTCGTTTAGCTTCCTCTGCTGTGCTGTGCCCCATCAGGGAAAGTCACCGATTGGACCACTCCAATCGACCTTGCGGTAGAGTTTGCAGGTTTAGCTGCACCCCATATGCAGATTGCAGAGCTTTGTCAAGTGAGAACTGTGCAGCCTCAGCACAGACGAAGCTCACTATGCCGCACTATCGCGTAGAGTCGGCCCATATGCAGGGAGTATACTATGGGGTTAGAATCATGATCTTATGTGGGGAAATATTGTTTACAGTCGGGCCCAGTCTTGATCTTATCTTCAAGAGGTCTAACACCCATCACCTGCGGGTCTTGATGTTTACAGGCAATGAACAAAATGTATTATACTATTTAGTGCTGCAAAACCTATACTTCCATTATCCTATAAGCTAATTCTTTGTGGCATATGTCTAATTAAAAGCAATTATCTTCGAGTAAAGGCGAACTCCCCCACCCAGCAACGGCAGCCCCTCCGCCTCCAAGCTCACCTCCGCCAAAGCTCCCCGGCAGAAATATTAAACCACCGCCAACTAAACCTCCCTCAACCAAACAACCCGCAACTCACCCCTCAACAACCCTCTTTAAACAACCCCAAAAAACAAGATGGAACCGCTCCAAACACCACCAGAAACCTCGTCCTTCGTCCTCCTCGCCGACCACCAGTCGCGCACCCCATCCTCCTTCCACTCCGGCCCCGCAGTCCTCCACTACCACAGCAAGCACTGCAAGCTATCCATCCTGGAACACGAGCTCCAAGCCAACCCAGTGCTAAACTCCCTCCGCAGCGCCGATGCGACAACCACCGCCAACGGAACAGAGCCCCAAAACGGCTCCGACGCCGAAGGCAAAGAGATCGTCATCGATGGCGTAGACGTCTGGGTGACATCCGAGTAAGTCTCTCTCACACCCTACTTCAAAACTACAAACTACCTGCAATTGATGAGACTAATGTGATCTTGGGGGGGAAATTCAGTAAATTCCTCCTCTACAACCCAACCCACCAAAAAGGCCTCTCCATTCCCTACCCCAGCATCTCCCTGCACGCAGTCCAGCGCCTCACGCTCCCAGATACCGACTCCGAGGTGCAAGGCCTGTACATGCAGATCGCGCTCCCCGAGCAACCTGGCGCCCAAGAAGATGACTTCGAAGAATGTATCACGTTGACCGTTGTCCCACCCCCGGAGTCCCAGCAGCAGCAGCAGTCCGAGGAGGATAACAAGCCGGACGAGACGCCCACGCAGGCGCTGTATAATGCCGTCTCGGCGTGTTCGAATTTGCACCCGGATCCTATGAGCGACGATGAGGATGAGGAGGGTGGTGGTTCGGGGCTGTTGTCGTCCGGGCTTGTGGAGATGGGGAGTGGGGATGGGGGATTGCCGCCGCCGATGGATGGCAGTTCGGGGTGGATTACGGCAGACAATATGCATGAGTTTTTTGATGAAGAGGGGAATTGGATTGGGGGTGGGGAGGAGCCGACTTTGTCTCTTGGTCCTGGGGCCGGGACTGTGAGGGCTCGTGAAGGGGAGGATGGGGATGGGGATGAGCATATGCAGGAGGAGGAGGAGACTAAGTGGAGGAGGACGGATTAAATGAATGAGGTTTTGGGGGTATGTATAGATGTGGCGTAATCAATGGCTGGTTTGGTTCAGATCTGGGATAGGTGCTCTTTGGATGGGCAGGTGAGAGGATTGCATCCGTGTGTGTACTTCCTTACCAGCCTAAGGCCGGACAAATCTACTGTGATGCCTGGAAAAGCGTAAAATATAATTACATGCTATATTATTGGTATTTCGGTTTTACTAACTACGCCTATCTAACAATCCAGTGGATATCAATCGTTCGCCCGTACATCAAGGATCAAAGAAATAAAGCACCTGTCCTGCCTGAACACCCAAAAAGCATAGAATGCAACACGTAATAGCAGCTACCTGAGCCCGCCATACAATTATTCTTTCAAAAACCCGTCCCCATCATAGAGACTGCCTGGCGTCGCAGCGCCGATGCCCAACCCCACAGCCCTCTTAACGGGCGTCGAGAATTCCGGTCGTGCACTCTTGAGACGTTCTGGCTTCCGAGGTGACGACTCACCGTGCAGCTCTGCAGGCCCGGACTCTTCGGAGATGATGGATATTGTAGACTTTTTGGTGGGACGACGGCTCGGGGTGCGACCGTGGTCCTCCCATATCGGGACGATGTGGTTCCCAGCCCTGCTGGAACTGCGGGAAGATGGACGCTCTGACGGCTGGGTGTAATTTTGCTGTTGTGTAGGGAACGAGCTGTCCAGAGCCGGCTTTTCCTGCTCATTCATATGTTGGCTGTAGGGCCGCGGTGAGCTTGTGGTTATGCTTTTGGCGCGCTGCACAGAGTCGACTGACTTGCGGTTTGATCCATGCTTCACGCTCTGACTGCGAGGGCGGATCGGTGGGCTTGTGGCGTTGGCACCATTTTCTAGTAGATGTGACCTGGCGCTATTTAGGCGTGGTCTAGCTGGCTGGCTGCGTGGTCCTTTGACGGCGGACCGGCGAGGACTGCCTGGACTCGGGGCATTTTCGTACGCCGTTGGCGAGCCGCTGTACTTAGGAGCCATCCAAACTGGAATAGGCTTGTCAGGCGAAGGGGTATCGATCAGGCTATCTCCGAAACTAGGGGGCAGTGTAGTGATGATCTCAGGAAGGGTTTTGTCCATGCCAGTGTTCAGCGTACTCAGCACACTATCTATAGAATCATCTCGACTATGCTTCCGCTTCTTAGACGAAGCCAAGTAGGTTGAGTTTCGGTACGAGGGTGGACGACTGTCAGAGATCTCTGTGATGCGTGTTACGTCTCCTTGTGGGTCAGAGCCGATCCGGCTCATCGAGAAACCGGAGACACTTGAGCGCAAAGACGAAATATTGGAAGCCGATAGATCAGACATCTGTGATGCGTGCATGTCAAGCTCGTCTAACTCCTCCGGCTCCTCAACCATTGGAGCAAACGGAGCTCCCCCAAAAGTAATAGGTGGCTGGATTGATATCCGGACACAGTTCTGTCGTCGATGGCCTTTTCGGGGACGGTTGCCGCTTCTCATAGCGGAGGCTAACGGGGGTTTGAGATAACCATTAGAAGATGGCAAGTGCGATTCTTGGATAGGTGAAATGTTGGTCCACCCTTGAGCACTTGAGCGACTGAAGCCCGCAGGCATGCCTCCATAGAATGGGTCATTTTCCCGCCGCTGGCTTCCATACACAGAGTATCGTTGTAGTTGACTGAAATGTGGCAGCAAGGCTGGGTTACAACCCGCCATGCGCTCCTGGTCAGTTTGCGGAAGAGATTCTCTTCTAGGCGGGCGTACGTTGAGGGATTCGCTTCTTCTGGGGGGCGCGCTAATTCGTTCCATGGAGTGAATTGAACTGCGTGCTGTTAAACTTCGGCGGGGAGAAGTACGATCCGGTTCGAGTCTCTCCGCCTCACCCGGCAATGAGCCTGCTGGGAAGACAAATGGGGCTGGTGATCTGGAGTAGAAAGCAACACTCCTTCCAACGTCGTTGGCACTGTAAGGGGCGAATGTTGGACAGGGGGGCAAAGCTGGCGAAGTAAATACACTATCCATGCCAGCCGAAGCCCTTCTGCTCTCATTCATAATAGAGCTATCAGCGGTCTCAAGACTCAGCGACGAAAACCGCAAAGAGTCATTCTTGGAGAGTCGAAACCGGTTCGGCGGGTAGGCACATGGCGGCGGCGGCACTGGTTGATCTGGAGCAACCCCCGGCCGTTGAGCGATAATGCTTGCCGTTCGTGGCCGCGAGCAAGACAAGTCGAATGATTGGTATCTGTCCTCCAAGACAGGGAAGAGGCCACTCGAATGGTCCCTCTGGTATAGTGATGGTCCTGGTCCTGAAATTGGCCGTATACTTAGATCAGCATCGTGCTTCTCCTGTTCCCTGTCTGGTGTATTTCTGGGTGAAGTTTCTGTCGGCAATTCAAGAGCTCCATCAACTGCAGAGATCGAAACGTCATCCCTTGGCGAGGAGGGCCTCCGAGAGGCAGGTGGCCCATCGATATTCTCGGTCAAAGGTGTCAAAGAGTTTATCCGGTATGGCCTCAGCAGTCTCGATTGTCGACGGCAGCCGGACAGGGAGCGGCACAATGAACGGCCCTTCTCCGTCTGCGGAGATAGGGTATCCGAGTCGTCCTGTGAATGAGCTAAGCTTTCGTGTGATTCCAGCACACCCCACTCGTTTGGTCGCCCGTATGGAAGTTGCCCGTACTGCCGGAGCATGGAGCCTTCCTCCCGAGACAGGTCGGTCATTGTCTCTGCGGGGAAGGTCTGCATCCCAAGGAATTGCTTCCCAGAGAACCGGCGCCGTCTCTGGCGTACCCTAAGCCATGCCAGAGTGCCACTTACTCCCCCCACGATGCAGATAGCCGCACAGACTACTACTATCGCGACAACGGACGACAATTCCAACATCGTTGATTCCTCTTATGGTGGCCGACAGACTTTGTTGATGACCAACTTAGGAGCCCATTCATACAGAGTTCGATCCTATGTCTGCTTGATAACTCCAAAGGCAGCGTGCTGCTGCCTGGAAGGGTTCGTGGAGAACGTCCGGGCGGCTAGGGAACCTCCTGTCGGTGCACACAAACACAATCCACGATAGCAACGCAGGAGGCAAAAGACAAAAACAGATGCATCCCGGAAAAAAAAGGTAGGCGTCTGGGAAAGGGGGAAGGCGTCTGTTATGGAAAACCCGCTCGAAGCTTTGGAATGTGGTCACATTACAATTGAGTACGCGAGGAATGCTGCGATACTTGAATCCCCAGGCTCCTTGTCCTCCGGTCTATGATGACAAAGTAAATCATCAATTCAGGGGTACGATTCTAATATACAGTGGCGTATTCAAACAACTAAAAGGTTTTCCCTGACACCTGTATGTCCATGCCGTGGGAATGGGGCGTTTTTATGCTTAGGGTTACCCAACAAGGAGTCATCCTCGGAAAAGCGTTGTCACCCTTCCACACAAGAAAGTCGATGCTGTAATTTGCGCACCATGAGGTCAGGTAGTTCACAATCATGTTTCATATTTCCGTTGTGCTGCTAGAAAAATTCGTTGTTCTGAATACAATATATAGACATTCGTGCGCACAAGATAGGGCACGACGTGTCTATACGCCGGTAATTGCTTAGTCACCACAGGCATGCATACCACCGAATATTCCAGGGAATCCCAAGCGTGCATCCAAGTCAACGATCTTGTCCTTGCACGATACGTAGTTTCGGTGCGAGGTCCCGTATTATAGGACTATTCGGATCATACAGTCCAAATCGAGGACCTGTTGGCACTGTTTGGCCATGGTATAATACCTGCAGACCAATGGCCATGGAAGATCATATGCAAAGATAGAGCGAGTTACTCATTTGGCGTACTCAAATGTGACAGACGGAACGGACTCAGGGAATGAGGGACCATCATGGTTAGTTTAGTGAAGGTAGTCAGGATCGGATCCTAGCAACTGCGGTAGATAAATGCATCGTCTGATGCACATGAATTAACGTTCAACTGCCAGTTGTCATTCGGTTGGCGGGTAAACTTGGTCTCGTCGAGGACAGGTCATTGGCCGGGGGCGAGATGCAATGTAGGGTGACAATGCGCGTATGAGTGCTGGAATGATCTTCAAACGGGAGCATGTAGGAGGGGCATTTGTTTTGCTTGCCGGCCTCAGGCAGCCAAGGTATCACGGGACTTGGATCCAGGGACGAGTGGAATAGCATCATCGAGACCCACTTCAATCTCCCCTCTCACAATCTCACCCACTCTCTCTTCCCCCACCTTCTCCCGGCACCAAGAGACAAAGCCATCCACTTTCTAGTATCAAACTTAATGATCACTCAAAGGAGATGAAAATAAGCCCAAAGAAACGTCGAACAAAAAAAAAAGACCTGTGGAAACTGATCGGTCTCACCGCAAAATGACAGGGCAATAATCCCGGGAACCGTCGAATTTTAATCTGCCCAGACAGGAGTGAAAGTTCGCGCGGATTCCCTCCCCCACCACGTCTGTCACATTGAATCCCGCCTTTAAGACGTTGGTTCCCTCTGGGTCCGGGGCGGCATAGCGTCATAACCCACCGGGGCCCAGATCTCGACTTCTCCCAGAGCCACTGGGACAACGTACGTGTTGAGATGTGGAAGGTCCGTCGCTATTGAACCTTGTTATAGTGTGTGTGTATGCAACGCAAAGCATGAACAACATGAGAGGCAGCAGAAAATCAAATAACCAAAAAATCTAAATATGAATAATCATGTTCACCCCGCCATAATCTCTCTCACCGATCCCAGCTAGTACCCTGTGTGCGCAGCTCCCGTGCTTATATATAGCTATCTGCTGTCGACAGTTCGACTTTTTCTTATCTTCCTCTCCCCACTCCTACCTACTACCTCTTCCTTTTCTCTCCCCCGTTATTTCCACCGTTCTATAGAATATCCCGTCAGAATGGCTGCCAACCCCATCCAGAATGGTCTCTTCGTCCACGAGAACACTACTGCCCCCGAGCACCCCAGCTTGCTGAGCATGTTCTCTCTGAAAGGCAAGACCGCCATCGTTACTGGTGCTGGCGCCGGTATTGGTCTCGCTGTCGCCAACGGTCTTGCGGAAGCTGGTGCCAACGTTGCCCTGTGGTGGAACACCAACGACAAGTGCCCTGAGCGTGCCGCTGAGATCGCCTCTAAATACGGTGTTCAGAGTAGGTTCCTGCTCATCCGTTACGTCTCTTAACCGTCCTGCGTCTATATCATGGCCTGAGCTTTTACTGAATGTATCCAGCCAAGGCTTACCAGGTCAACATCACCAACGCCGAGGCCGTGCAGCAGGCCGTTGACCAGACCGTGAAGGACTTCAACGGCCGACTGGACGTCTTCATTGCCAACGCCGGTATCCCTTGGACCCAGGGTCCCATGGTTGACGGCCCTCTTGCCCACTACACCGACGTTGTCAGCATCGACCTCGACGGCACCTTCTACTGTGCCAAGGCTGCCGCCGCCCACTGGAGGAGACAGAAGGAGGAGGGAACCGACCTCAACGGCAACAAGTTGACCAACTTCACCTACGGTAGCTTTGTGGCTACCGCTTCCATGAGCGGTCACATTGTCAACTTCCCTCAGATGCAAGCTGCCTACAACGCTGCCAAGTCGGCCGTTATCCATCTCTGTAAGTTTTCCTCTGTTTCTGATCTGTCTCGGACTCTACCAGGCTAACGCCTCCAGGCAAATCTCTTTCGGTTGAGTGGGTTAAGTACGCCCGTGCCAACACCGTCTCCCCCGGCTACATTGCGACCGAAATCTCCAACTTCGTGCCCCAGGAGACCAAGAACATCTGGAAGGACAAGATCCCCATGGGTCGTGAGGGTCGCCCTGAGGAATTGAAGGGTGCCTACCTCTACCTGGCCTCGGATGCCTCGAGCTACACCACCGGAGCAGACCTGGTTGTCGACGGTGGCTACTGCGCTCCATAAGTGATATCCCTTTTTAATTTATTATGTCCCGGCGATTCTTTTACATCTTGGGTTTACTATACATAACGGCTTCAAACGATAAACAATAGACGGCTGAACGATCTTTGGATGTCCAAAAATGTATTGTGTGTGAAGTTAGAAAAGTAAATTCGGATCTTGAAACCCTGGTGGCGTTTTCCTTAGGGTTCCTGCACCACGATCAGGCCTTAAAGTCACGGCCGTGGACGGTGACACGAAGCCTTGCAGATGTGGCTTGCAGCATATCATCTCTTGGCCCAAGGGCATTGGCGCGTGACTCCCGCAAATGTCCGCCACTTGCCAGGTTAAACGTAATACTTTTCTTATCAGCCGTAACCGCCCTTAGTAGTTCACTGACAACCCCTCTTCATGTCCACGCCCAACCCTCGGGACAGAAATGTCATACTGCAGATATAGTGTCCCGAACAAACAGATATATCAATAATAATAATCCTTTATTTATCTCACAATCCTCGTTGTACTTTATCGACCATAATCCTGACCGTTTGTTGATTTTTTTTCCAAGCAGCTATTAGCCGCCGTGCCCTAAATAAATTTACATATTCCCGACTATTACTACCACACTGCTCCTCGACACACAAGACGAGGAAACAGATCCATCTGTATTGAATCCAAATGAAAAATACAATAACCATCATAATCAACCAGCCGGATAGCCCAACGATATGAACTACATGCACAAAAAATCCTGAGACTATAAATCGGTCTCCATGCCAGCCCTAACTACCAAGACTTGAATTGATGGGGTAGAAGGTATGCCTCAAACCACTCATAAAACATAAAGGAAAAAACGCTAGTGCAGTATATAAGAGAGAAGGCTCTCCGGAAAACAGCCATGTACGCAGAGTTAGGATCCTCGTTTCAACACCCGCGACAACTAATACGCTCATTTACTAGTCACCATCGGATATGAAGAGTATTCCCTTAGGCTGTCTGTTTTTACCTTAATTAAGGTGTTCCCAGCGGGATATCATGCTGGAAGATCAGCTTCCCAGTGCCTCTCATGTTGCCAAGTACGGGTTGTAGTGTAGTGAAGTAGGATGTGATTCAGCTGGAAGAACGTCAGGTAACTCTTAGCAGCAGTAAGCTTGAGTTAGATGCCCTGGTCAAGCACTCGAGGCTTCAAAGGTTTGGGGAATATATGTAGAGGAGGAGTGTATTAACTAAAAGCTGCGGTTGCCACTTAAAGGATATGGCCTATGGAATAGTAATTTCCGTGAGTATTTCAGTGAGACACGCCATACAAGTCAGGACGGTGATAATATTTACTACGCCTTATTTGATACTCCTGAGCTCACTAGTATTTTAAGTGTTTATTTATGTCTTATCTATAGTTTACTCTGGATGCAGATACCTGTTCTGTTCTAACTGGTCTTCTAGTATAGAAGCTACCTATTGCTATTTTGTAATTTCTAGATAATAAACTTGAATGGCCTGATAAAGGTAGCCTCAACGAGCAGTTGAGAAGCTGCTCTTCGGCCGAGTGGCCTAGAATTAGTCTCCTGTCTTGACTATCGATCGGAGATCTACCTTTAGAGGATACTAAATCTTAGGAAATTGCTGTCATCGAAATCTGTAATATACTTAATCACTCCGCCCTAGCTCGTTTATACTCTAAGCAAGAAGCTAGAACGAGAATTGGCAAGGGATAAGCTCTTAATAGCTGGGGAGCTATCTCAAGCCATCTATAGCTCTTCCGACATATACATAATTGGAACTATTATGGGCAAAGATCTTTCATCCACTGGGAGTTGACAAGAGATGAAGTATGAGGTTTCTTCAAAGTTAAATACTTTCTTAACCCTTTTGCGTTGGCTTCACTGTTAGGAAGAGGGTTGACTACCAAAGCGATTAATAAGAAAACAGCTAATGTCTAAGATATAGCAAAATAAGTCTCTGTGTATTTCTTAGCGCAATCTATGATTTCTCTACAGAAACATCGATCACTATTCCCAGCACCAGTACAATAATTGACAAGATCAAGATTAGTCCAGTAACAGACACCATGAAGAAAAGAATCCACACAAGCTACAAATTCCTCCCAATGTCACATATCACCAGCATCACATAAAAGAACATAAGAAGCAATTCTTCTAAAAGACCCAGAAAAACAAGCCAACAAACGTGTACTAAACGTGCAACCCCACAAACAACCCCACCATACAATCAACCGCGCGATCCCAAGACGCCTCCAACCCGACTCCCCTCTCAATCCGCATCCTCAGCTCCATTTCCCACGCCGGTGTCGGCGGCTCCAGGGCCTGCGGGTAGATTTTCCCCGTCTCCAGATCGAAGAACCTCCCTAGCGGGGTTCTGGGGTGCGATGCGGGGAAGTTCGGATCGTCGGTTGATATCGATGACGGGTAGGAGGGGCTGGTGGAGTTGTTGTTGTCGCTTGCGGGTATTGGGGTGGGCCTGTGCGTTTGTTGGTCTTCTTTCTTTCGGTGTGTTTTTTTTATGTTCTTCCTTCATGTTTCTTTTTTTTTTTTTTTTTTTTTTTTTTTTTTTTCTTTGGGGTTGTTGGGTTTGGGGATCGTACATACTATTGATCTTCGAAGTCTTCGCTCTCGGACTCGAATTCAGTGTCATCAGTTTGAGAACGGAACTCGACGTAGTAGTTTCCGGGATCGAGACATTGAGAACAGTAGGTGAGATAGTGGGTGATCGAAGCTCGGTTGAGGAAGACGAGGAACATGGCTGCGAATATGAGACAGGTTGCTGGGTAGAGGGTGACCATGGGTTCGGCCATTTAGGCTGTGGATATCTTTGTTTTCTAATGTAGTTTCTTTGTATCTTGTAAATGAATCCGATCTATGGGATTGTAGGTCTTTATATGTTTGAGATATTGGAAGATGTGTAAGTATCTCTGTTGTTAATGATGATATACTTCTATACAGCAGAGTATAGTATACGGCGAATTGCCGTAGGGCGATGTAGATCTCCTTGTTAAGATAGACGCTACGGTATGCGAGAATCCCATTCTGTTTGGTCATTGAGGTAGGTATTGTTTCTATGGTCTATTGTATTTATTGGTGTTTCAGATTATCGGATGCAATGCTATGTATGTAATGCATGTCATGATCTCCGAGATTGGATTAAATGTACATAGATCTGTTAACACAAAGCCCTACTGGATCACCACACAACGCAGACAATGAATGCACTGGACAATTTCAACAATAAGACTAAACTCGATGTGTTTGGAAGTCTGACAATAGGTCAAAGAAACACAATGCCTTGTCCTGTTTTACCCCAACCCAGTGATGGGGTCACGGGCATCGAGGACAAAAGTCAGGTGGGGGGCCATTTGATGTAGATCTCAAATTCTTGACAGACGTCATAGGCATTGTCGGTCTGGAAAGATCATGAGCAGGAATAATTATAGAGAAGTGCAATCGCTGTGTTTTAGATTTATTTCTATTTCAGTTTTTGTTTTCCTTCCTTTTTCCTTACGTAGTGTGTTGAAGAAACGAAGGAAATGACGATCCCATATCGCAATAGACGTCCAACACCGCGTACACGCATGCAGCGTCAGCCGACCAGCGACCAACATAAGACGAGAAAATCAAGAGACAAGACAGACACTGCCAATATGAAGCTCCTAGAGCAAATAACGATGGTATGTATTTTGTCTTCGAAAAGAGATATAAAAAAAAAATGTCATTAACGCAAGCAGAATATCGCAATACAAGAAGCCCTAAAATGTACTGCCTGCAAGATCGATCCACCGGACCCAGCTTCCAGTGGAGACCATGGCTCGGAGAAAAATGGCCTAGATGAAGACGTTCCCATTGCTGCTGAAGGACGCGCCTGGCGTGAGGAATCTCCTCTAGGCACAGTAGTCGCGGCCGGCATCGAAGAAGATTCCCTCCTTACAACGCCCGCACCAGCCTTGACGTCCGGGTACGAACGGTTAATGACGCCCTCTCAGATCGAGCTCTACGAGGAACGAATAGATCGATACATCTCCCAAGACCCCAATAGGGATAAGGAGCTCGCTCGGTATCGTGTTGACTATCATATCCACGTACATTACATGTTTCACCGAGGGATGTTGAGTCTTTGTCGCGACAATGATGACCGGGATGAACTGAAGAAGTGGATGTGGGGGCTGAGGAAGTACGAAGAGCTCGAACGCATGGCAGGGGATTCAGGCCTACAAATACCTGACTTCAGCATACCAGATAGGGCACCGTGGCCTGAGAACTGCGGGTTGATGGAACATGAAGAGGGGTTGTGGAGAAAGTGGGAACCAAGTCGACAGAGACAGGTCCAGAGATCGAAGTTCAAGTGGAAGAAGATCATGAAGGAACGCGAGAAACAGAGACAGTCCCAGTTCGTACAGCTACGGCTGGCGCACCAGAAATGCAAGGTGCAAAAGGTGAACATCTACTGGGGGAAGGGGATACTCCGCGAGGTGGCGCTGGACTCGCCATGGTGAGAAGATCAAGGAACGAATGTATTGTACCGTGGTAAGGCTCAACACAGACATATTAGCTTGACTGGGATGGCCATCCCTTCGTACGGTATACCAACTAGTAACTCAATCAGTATCAGGAAAGCTGCCAAGGAGCGACCCTTAGTGCGAGATTTTGAAGAGACTTAAGAAGACCAAGTATAAAATCAGATAGAAAGGTATCCAAAAACCAAAACGCCGACTCTTTCACACTCAACAAGTAGTACGGATATCAAACGAAAACATCAACAAACGAACATTACAGAGGAAAGAAAGAAAATAACGAAAGAAAGTCCGAAAGGAAGTTAGACCAACGACTGATCCGAGATGCTTCAATAGAACGTGTTTTCAACGTCATATGTACCATCACTGAGAGAAAAGTCCTGTAGATAGCGAGCTTGAACCACCCCGTAGCCTCGCCAGCCCGATAGGAGGCAGTGCATTTCTCAGTGCCCGCTGAGCAATAACTGTGACGCCACCTGAAAATGGATTGTTTCCCTTGTCTATACCTTCTCCTCTGTCCCGGTCATGGGAACATCTTGAGAAGGCTCGCGGATAGGCTGCTTCACATCAGGGGGATATGACGCATTGTGCGACTCGGGCTGTTGAGCTTCGCTCTGGGGCTTGCTGTCGGGCCGCTTCTTGCCCAACCGCTCGCACCAAAGCTCCGCACTGACGAGAGTATCATTCACGACTCCGCTCACCTGCGCCATCATGTCTAGACCTTCCTGTGCCAGAACCAAGATGCGATGAGCACCAATCGTGGCATCAGAGGATGCCATACTCGAGTCAGGTGGAGGGTTCGACGTCGAGGCTACCTGGAATCGATGCGGTAGGGAAGTGAGGTGTCGACGGACTAAGTTCCGGGCATTCTCAGGCAGTGCACCTCCAGCATACTTGGAGACGACATCTACAACCTGCTTCAAGGTCGACAAGACGTCCTCCCGGACGGCCTGGATACGCTGGGACAGCAAGGAGGTGTCTTGGTTAGAATCATTATCCTTCTTGGCATTGTCCCATTCCTTCAGGGCGCCCTGCAAGGCCACGATGGCTTTGCCCAGCCGTCCGTTTGCCCATCGTAACCATGTCAAACAATACTGCAAGCTGCGGAGGGACTCCTCGCTCATGGCCACACCCAATCCCGAGGTGGAGATCACCAATCGACTTTGCCACGTGGGGTTACGTCGCGAAGAGTTTTGCCGACCAACCTCCTCATAGCTGGGCGACGTCTCGTCGTCATATGGCGGGAGGGGTTCACCCATGGACAGGTCGGAGGAGCTACGCCCGCGGCGAGACGACATTGTTTCGTCAGAGCCCTTTTCCAAGTCTACTTCGGTTGGATGTTTGTCCCCGCTCACTTTGCGACGCTTAGACCGTTTGGGATCAGTTGAACCGGATCCACGACGCTGCAGCGCCCATCGAAGGCCGCTCTCGACTCCGGTTTTGCGGCCAACTGTACCAACGGTATTGGCGACGGGGGAGCCAATGTTACGTTCAAGGAACTCGGCCCCCGACTTGAAACGGGGCGAGTATGATTTTGAGCTGGTGTATGCCGAGACGGATCCGTTGATCGCGGAGGATATCAGAGGATGGGTCGAGGTCAGTAATGATAGGAGGGGTTCGGGTTGTGGTTTAGAGTCGGGGCTGGAGGTTTGTTGCGACACGTTTCGAGGAGGTTGACCGTACTCTAGGATGATTTTTGATTAGTATACTTCAGCGATCTCAGGAGGGCTGGCTCCTGGATGAAACGAAGCAGGAGTAAAACGGCATACCTGTACGGAGCCCCTCCAGGGCCTGCGCCGCCTCAATATCATCCATGGAGAGAACACTAGTAGCTCGACGTGAGCGATCCTCCACCACTGTGGTGTTATCGACATCCATCATGGAGGTAGGGACATTCTGCACAGAAGGATAGCCGGATGGAGGAGCGGGGAGGGTCGAGGTAGTCTGAGGTTTGCCGCTGTTGGCCGTGTTTCGGAGTGAGGAGACGGACGAATCGTTCGGCGTTGAAATAGCGCCTGAACAATAGTCCATGGAGGCCCAAAACCGACTAGTAAAGATGGAGATGATTTAGACGAGCAATTTGGGGGGGCGTCAGCGGTTTAGCTCTATCGAAATTGGAGAAGGGACGATCCCTTGCGAAGCGCGTACTAGACTAAGACCTGACTAAAAAGCAAAGGTTGAGAAGGGAAACTGATCGAGTCAGTGACGGATGTCTCTCTCATGTGCTCTTCACGTGAAAAAATACCAACCAGCAAACAAAAAAAATGGTTGAAAAATAAAATAAAAATTTAAAAATAAAAATAAAAAAAGAGGGACCGGCCCAGTTGACCGGCAAAATACACGGCAAATGAAGGCCAGGTCTCAAATACTATCCCCAAAAAGAAAAATATAATTAGAACTTCTGGTCAGCACGGTGGGCGGTTATATTCTTGCAATTCCTCTATCCAGATATATCATTGGTACATAGAATGGAGTGATATGGAACTACCCCCCGTTACTACCCTGAATAATAATTTATATCTTCCCCCGGAACGCTCAGAGCATCAACTCTTATGCGACCTGTAAGGCAGAAATAGACTATGTAACCATGAGATGCAGCAAGTAATCCTCCAAGTCGACCAGACATTCCAAGCGAATGCAACTTACCCCATTCTATCACATGCCGAATAGCTCGGAATTGAAAGAATCTGAACCACCAACGAAACGACTAAACCTTCTTCCCAGTGCCGGATGGGGACGGTTGCCGTCGTGGAGGGCACTGGAATTGGTGTTCCAGCACCAGCCCTTACTAAGGTTATTATACCCAGAACGAGTTATCGACGTACCCAACAATCTGACATTCAACATGATTCATGATTTGCTTCCGTTTTTCAGCCTGGGGCAAAATCGTGACATGTGATTCCCACCTGAAAGAAAAGGGCGACAATTAGCCGCCTGACCGCCTTCTCCATGCAGTTGCAAACACGTCAGGTTTCGTCAAAAGCGTCTCCACTCTCTCGAGCCGAAGCAAAAGTCCCAACAAAGTCTCAATTGACCGCCTTCCGGACTGGCTGTGATACGTCAACTTACCTTTGAATCCATCTGTCGTCCAATATCCTGATTAGGAAGACCCAGGAGAAGAGAAGTGTGCACGGTGAAGACCCTGGTGATCTTCGATCTACTTGTCTATAGTAGTCTGTAACTAGCACTCCTTCAATTAGTGGGCTACTTTGATTCTGGTTAGGGCATATCCCAAACGAGTTCGTTCGTTATCATTCCTAGCATTACTAGTATTGCGTGTACTGTCACCTGATTTCCCCGAGTTACTGATCCCTTTGAATATTATTAAGAACTACTATTAACTATAATGGTCATGACAACCAAGTAATCCGCGACAGAAATACTATCCAGGTTTGTTAAACCGCATCCCTGTTTGTAGATCATCACAACCACTGGCCACAGCCTGCACAGAGACGCAAACTTCTAGAAAAAAAAAAAGTACCGACGACCCACGTCTACTAGTCAAATGGCGATCCCATGTGGTGGAGGTCCCGTCCCACACTGCACACTGCAATCCCGAAGATAGATCGCCCATCATGGATGTTCTTGTGACGCTTGGCTGGCCCGGAAATACAGGTGTTGGGCTGCTTCGGTTTATCTATTAAGCGAAGTGTGTCTTGATCTCCCCGAAGCTTTAATGGTGTTTGTTAGTGTGCTCGGCCTTCCCATGGTTCAGGCAACCCTACGTACTGGACTGCACTCGCCATAAAACAGGTGGGGAAAGATAGCTGCAGAACAGGTATTACGATTGTGACAACTTAAACAGTGCATAAGTGAGACGGGGGCAAGAGAGGTAGATTTGTGCATTGAGGACGATTGCTTAGAATTGTTCATGGGACGGCATCTCGGGTGTAAAGCTTCGGCTCTACTTCGCTCAATGGACGAGGCCTGACGAGCTTTGGTGGGAAATGTAGATTCTGGTTATTTCCAAGTGTGTTTATGTATGTATGTATGTATGTACAGCAATGAAATCAATATCTATTTGAGATTCCAAAGAAGATGAGAAACCCGAAATGAAAGCCAACAGACCAACATCTCACTCCACAGATCGACCATCATCCCAGTCGTAGAACCCCCCAGAAAGTTGTGTTGCCTGAAGCATCGTTATAGCATCTGCGCCTTCATATTCATCGCCGCCATCACTGTCTGCCTCTTCAGCTGTGTTCCCGGCTGTCAACCTTGCGACCACCTTCTGATTCACCCGGTAACAAGCTAGGATTTCGTTTACCACTGATCGTGACGGCACATTACTGGCTTTTAATTGGCAGAGTATCTCCCCAAAGGCATGGAAGGCAAAACTCGATTCAGGATGCTTCTTGTACGAGTACGAAGCGAGCAATTGGAGCCATGCATCCTTACTATGTCGCCAGACAACGATCATAGGGTGATCACCCTCGGGTGGTGAAATGGCTCTAGCATGATCAGCGATCTCCAACGAGACAGCTGAGAATGAATGTTCGCCGGTGACCGAGCGGACCCATCTGTCAAAGAGATCATCGATATCCTGGGTGACATTTCTCAGAATCACATGAAGTTGTCCACCTTCACGTCGGTCTTTCTCGGCCTGCTCCCGTGCCTCGTCCCACGGCTTTGTAAGGTCTCTATCATGTTCGTACGTGGTCCCCGCTTCAGCTAATGACCCCTCCAGTAGCCTCAAAACAGTGTCCTTTTCTTTCCGAGCAACTTCGAACTGCAGATAGTCTATTATGTTGGTGGGCTTGGGTCTTCGACTGGGGTTCTTGTATGCAGGCACATCCCGTGCTCTAGGGCTAACCCTTTTGCGGTATGCTCGCCACGCGTGTTCTGATAAGCGGACCCCTCCCTTACGACCATCCACCAAGTGGCCGAGGAGACAGGCAAGCTCTTTGGCATTTGGTGAGTCGATCGATTCGTCGTAGGATATCTTCTCGTGCTCGACAGTACACCTGCCCAGATTAGACATG